TAAGTAGATGTGTGTGGACCTATTTGATGAAATCTAAGGATGAGTCTAGACTGCTGCTGCAGTCATTTTGCATTATGGTCAAAAACCAGTTTAACAAGAATGTCCAAATCATAAGGACAGACCAAGGGATGGAATTCCATATGAATGATTTTTATAGAGATCATGGGATTGAGCATCAAATGAGTGTGGCTTATACCCCACAGCAGAATGGGAGAGTGGAAAGGAAGCACCAGCATCTCTTGAATGTGGCAAGAGCTCTTAAGTTCCAATCTGGTCTTCCTCTCACTTATTGGAGTGAATTTGTTCTTCATGCTGCCTATTTAATCAACAGAATCCCTACTCCTGTCTTGAACAATCTAAGCCCTTATGAGAAGTTGTATGGAGTTCCTCCTGATTACAGTTCTTTGAAAGTTTTTGGCTGTCTGGTGTATGCTTCTACAGCAGGTCCACACAGAACTAAATTTTCCCCTCGATCCAAACAATGCATCTTTCTAGGAATACCTGCAGGAATCAAAGGATTCAAACTATTGGACCTTGAAAGCAAACGTGTCTTTTGCTCAAGGGATGTTGTCTTTCATGAAAACATCCTGCCTTACTCCAGCCATTCTTCTACTACCTCACCTGCTCCTATTCCTGTACCTAATACAGCATCTCCTTCTTCTTCTACACCCTTCATCTTTTCACCTACACTTACCCCCAGTACCAATTTCCCAGCATTCCCTTCTGACACTAATCCTACCTCTCCTGAGAATCCACAGTCTGAGGGGGGCACACAGTCTCCCTCTTCTCCTTCTTCTTCTACACATTCTCCTCCCATTTTTCAAACTCCTCAAACCTCTCAAACTCATCCTGTGGATTCACAACCCACTGTTTTCTCCCCTACTCCCATTTCATCTCCCATTCCTCAACCTAGTCCTGTTTCCTCTTCTCCCTTTTCACCAATACCTCTTAACTCTCCTTCTCATTCACCATCTCATGTTCAATTGAGAAAGTCAACCAGAACAATCAGACCTCCCAATTGGCATAGAGATTACCATATTCCCCATCCCATTCACAAAGCACTCTCTTACACTCATTTGCTCCCTAAACACCAGCATTTCATAAACAGCCTGACTGCACACACAGAACCTGCTACTTATGAAGAAGCAATGCAAAACTCTCACTGGAACAAAGCAGTATAGGAGGAATTGAAGGCCTTGATTGATAATGGCACATGGGAGATCACAGATCTACCAGTAGGAAAGAAACCAATAGGCTGCAAATGGGTCTTTAGAGTGAAATTGCATTCAGATGGATCAGTGGAGAGATATAAAGCAAGGCTAGTTGCTAAAGGGTATAATCAAGTCTATGGCATTGACTACTGTGATACTTTCTCACCAGTAGCCAAGCTGAGTTCAGTCAAAACCTTGCTTGCAGTAGCAGCTGTTCAGAACTGGCACTTGCATCAGATGGATGTGAGCAATGCATTCTTAAATGGTGATTTGACAGAGGAAGTCTACATGGAAATTCCAGCAGGTCTGGAGATGGGATTTGATTGCAAAGGAAAAGTTTGTCACTTAAAGAAATCACTCTATGGATTAAAGCAGGCAAGTCGACAATGGTACACCAAATTAACTGAAAGCCTACTGAAACATGGCTTTCATCAGACTTCTTCAGACTATTCCATTTTCACAGCTCAGATTCTAGGAGAATTGGTGGTACTCATTGTGTATGTTGATGATATCATGATTGGGAGTATTAGCCTGGAATCCATTGCAGAAACCAAAAGAATCTTACAAGGGGAATTCAGAATGAAGGATTTGGGGGAGTTAAAGTATTTTCTTGGTCTGGAAGTTACAAGAGGAGTTAAGGGAATCACAGTTTCACAAAGAAAATATTGCTTGGAACTCTTAACAGAATCAGGGTTCAAGGATTGTAAGCCTGCACCTACTCCCATTTATGTCAAAGAAGTTCTATCTGCTCAAGGAGGAGCTCCTTTGACTGATATTGCAGGTTACAAGCATCTTGTAGGACAACTACAATATCTTACAACTACCAGACCAGACATTGCATTTGCAGTTCAGCAATTGTGTACATACCAAGACAGTCCAACAACACTTCACTTGAGGGCTTTACACAGAGTGCTCAGGTATCTTAAGGGTTCACCAGGTCAAGGATTGCTTTACTCTAAGGATACCAAGCTTGAATTGACAGGTTTCAGTGACTCAGACTGGGCAACTTGTCCAGATACAAGAAAATCCATAACTGGATATTGTACCTTTCTTGGCTCAGGAATTATTACATGGAAAAGTAAGAAACAAAAGACAGTATCTAGGTCTTCATCAGAAGCAGAATATCGAGCCTTGGCTAGTTTGAGCTGTGAGATTGAATGGTTGATCAGATTGTTAAAGGACTTTGGAGTGGATCATTCTCAAACAGTCAAGGTATTCTGTGACAATCAATCAGCGATTCATATCGCTGAAAACCCTGTATTTCATGAAAGGACAAAGCACATAGATGTCGATTGTCATGTCATAAGGGAAAGAGTACAGTCAGGGTTGATCTCATTGCATCACATTTCAACAGAAATGCAACCTGCAGACATATTCACTAAGAGCTTATCAGTGGATCGATTTGCTTCCTTGTTGTCCAAGCTGGGAGTATATGACATATACTCGCCAGCTTGTGGGAGGGTAACAAGGAGCCATGATAGTGATGATGATTTAGCAGAAGAAAGAAGTTGCTTGACAGCAGCTAAGAAGAAGAAGAAGTTCTCTGTTCTGGAATTGAAGAACAAAACGAAGGAAGAAGAACAGAGCGAAACGGCAGCGTACAAGACAAAGAAGATGAAGCAAAGTGAAACGGTGGCGTGCAGAATAAGTGGCACACAAAACGCAGCACTTCATCAACGAACTGCCTTTCATTATTTACTGTAGTTAAGCTACGTGTACAGCTTAGATAGGTCAATTTGTTTGTTAGTTTTGATAGCCGTTAAGTTACAGTAATTAGTGTAAATCTCTGTATATATACTGCTGATTCATCAATGGAAAAGCTCAGAGAGCAAATTCCCCAGATCTGGACTTTTTTCTCACGGTGACTAACGATGAAACGATTTGTAAAGTTAGTGGCTAATAAGAAAGAAAAGTAATTTGAGTGGCAAACGTGAAAGATTTGTATAATTTAAGTGACCAAACATGTAATTTAGTCCTTTTACCATACATGATTTATCTATGGGTGTTTATTTTTATGATCCGCCTAGTGCGCGCTTCAATTATTAGATGTATTATGACTTGATCGGGACTCAGACCCCATTTGATTAATTTATAAGGGTTAGAGCAAGGTTGTCAACCCACGGGTCGACCCACTTTGACTCTGACCCGGTGAGAAAAACGGGCCGCACGCACCCGCCGGGCCGACCACTACAAGGTATCGGGTTGGAGGTCAAATTGTGTCATTTTTACATTGGTTTGCGAAATGCGCCTATTTTCCGATTTTTCTTTTCGCCTAGCTCAATTTTTGGAATGCTAAGTTAAACATTTGAATATTTATGTTATATAAGTGTGTGTGAATTTTCACTATATGTTGGATCTATATACGATATGTTATTTTGGTGTAATATTATATGTTATAACTCATATGTTAGATCAGATTTGATATAATTTATGAGGATAAGTACAATATAATGACTTTTTCCATATTTCCGAGCCAAACCGGGCTAAAACAGTTGACCCATTAACCCTTGATCCACTAACTCGACCGGGTTCGGGTCAACTCGCGGTTGACAACCTTGGGTTAGAGCATCCCTACGCTTTGTCTTTAAAAAAAATAAAAATAAAAAAGCATGGTAAAATTCCTCTGCCTAGACGCGGAACCCATAATAATACTTTAGTAGAAGTGTAGAACCCGACCCGTTCTATCAAGGAAAAAATCCCAAGTTACACATGTTTTTAAAAAAAATTCTCAAAATACACACGTTATGAAAATAGTTCCCAATCTACGCATGTTTGGGCCATCACCGCTGTCGACGAAGACAGTAATTGCATCACTGCTGTCGACAAAGACAGTGATTGCATCACTGCCGTCGACAAAGACAGTGATTGCATCACTGTAGTACACGGCCGCGGTGAAGGCCTAACCTGCGTCGAAACTTTAAACAAACGTAACTTTGTGCTCGGTTATCCGATCGTAGCGAAATTTTTTTTGATTCCGCATAATTTTTCGAGATCTTGCAAGCCGCAAATTGCCGTAGGAGGTTTGGTCCCGCCTTCGTCTTGAAAATATGTCGTTTGCTACCCCGAACGAGCCTTTTTTCGATTTCTTCAAACTTTGAACGACTATAACTTTGTGCTCCACAATCCGAAAATCATGAATTTTTTTTGATTTCGCATAACTTTTTAAGGACTACAATATTTAGTAGGAGAGCATTTTCAAAAAATAAATTATTTATGGATATAAGGGGTTTTGGGAATAACTTTACCTTCCTTTTCACGAATCTAAGTACATTCCGAAAATATGTCTATGATAAAAATTGTAGTCCTTAAAAAGTTATGCGAAATCAAAAAAAAATTCATGATTTTCGGATTGTGGAGCACAAAGTTATGGTCGTTCAAAGTTTGACGAAGTCGAAAAAAGGCTCGTTCGGGGTAGCAAACGACATATTTTCGAGACGAAGGCGGGACCAAACCGCCTACGGCAATTTGCGGCTTGCAAGATCTCGAAAAATTATGCAGAATCAAAAAAAATTTTGCTATGATCGGATAACCGAGAACAAAGTTACGTTTGTTTAAAGTTTCGACGCAGGTCAGGCCTTCACCGCGGCCGTGTACTGCAGTGATGCAATCACTGTCTTCGTCGACAGCGGTGATGGCCCAAACATGCATAGATTGGAAATTATTTTCATAAGGTGTGTATTTTGAATTTTTTTTAAAAAACATGTGTAACTTGGGATTTTTTCCTTCTATCAACCCACTAACGTTATCCCGCTTCGCCGGCTTTCCTTCTGGAAATCAAACTGTTTATTTCCCAAGACTCTATTTTCTCTAAATCTCAACTGCTTCTTCCTCGACCACCGGGCCGTGGCGGCTTCGTTCATCGACTGAAGTTGGGCGAAATCACTTTCCTTTTCCGGTTCGAAGAGGGAATGGTCCTAGTTTCTTGGCTAACGAGATTACTGAACCGGTAACGAGCTATTCTTGGAACCCTTTGCAGCTCAGTGAGTATCACTTCATCTTGCTACTACGACTCTCCTTTCTTCCCAGAATAAAGTCACCTGCTTTGAGCTAGTTTTGGAGTTCGAATGAACAATTTGTTTGGTTCCAATGATGAATACTTTCTTAGGGATTTGATTCGTTTGATTTTGGTTGACGTTACCGAAAATCTGGAGAGACAGTTGTTTCACGTTTACGGTTGTGGGTTTGATTGTTCATTGTTCGTTGCTGACTTGCCACTATGTGAGTTCCAATATTCACCTTTTGGGAATTGCAAGAACTTGGTTATTGAAAATTTTCATTGGATTTCTCTTGAGTTGAATGTTAGTTAGCTCAATGTCTCTCTTATCTTGAAGTGTTTAATTTAATCTCACCTTACTGACAAACATTTTGCTGACTGGTGATGATCGCATATGCAAGTTGTTTAGTTACTGCTTGAAAGATGAGGTTTTTGCATATCAGTGGATAGCTGAGCCCCTATCGTTTTGGTTTCCTGCAGGTTTATGCATAAATAAACTTAGTGCTGCATAAGTTGAGGGATAATGTCATTCTGCATTCAAGCAAATCCATGCCTGCCTAATAGTACCCAGCTTCAGTTGCCCCGGGTAAACAAATCATGGAGCAGTCTATCACCACTGAAGTTTTTGAGACCTGCTGCTAAAACTTCAACATGCCTTTCTTTTGCACTTGGCTTGAAGGTTAGACAGCTCAACCTTGCCGCGAAGTACCCTAAAAAATCCCTTGTCTGCTTACTTGGGGGCAAGGACAAATCTGATGGAGAAAATGAGGTATTGCTGATTAGGTGTATAACTATTGTTGGAATGGAAGAATTATCTTATTAGATGCATAATTTTGATTCAAGTTCTCATGAATATTAATTGTGCCCAATGTTTGTGTAAGAGTTGACTGCCAAGTCAAGTGCATTGTACTTGAGGTTAGTCAAAAGTTTTTACTCTAATGGGTGGGAGGTAGGGGATGACAAGTACTTGTCCTTGTTCTGGAGTTTCTGAGGAAAAATCGTTGCAACTTTATTGTAATGTGTGGCTTCTGATCATGGCTCTATTGCTTCTATGTACTCTATTAGTGTTCATATGCTTATCCTTTAACCATTAACTCTGCAATATCAACATTTTGGTCTGCATTAAGTGGAAGGATCTTGTTTGAATTGAGACACATGGTCTTTTAATCTTCTTTTCATTCGCCAGGACACCCTGATGACGAAATAAACTTCTCTATTGACACCAGGGATCTCCTTTGAAGTCTCTTGGAAATGCTTTCGGAAGTTTCCAGGGGAAATCAGTAGAAGATGTGCTGAAGGAACAAATGCAAAAACAAGAGTTCTACGATGGAGGAGGCAGCGGCGGCAGCAGTCCACCACGAGGTGGTGGTGGTGGTGGCGGTGGTGCTTCCGGTGGATCCCAGGACGACGACCTTCCTGGAGTCTTGGACGAAACACTCCAAGTGGTTTTGGCTTCTGTGGGGTTCGTTCTTTTGGTGAGAAAAAGATTTCATCTTTTCCATTATGGTTTACTCTTAATTAGTGCATCCAATAGAAATATATCAATCAATGGCTTTCTGACTGCAGTACATTTATATCATCAATGGCGAGGACATGACTCGGATACTGAAGGACTACCTGAAGTATGTGTTTAGCGGGAACAAGAGTGTTCGTCTGGCAAAAGTGTTGGATCAGTGGCAAAGTTACCGCCAGAAGATGGCGGAGAAGACGGTGGTGGACAAGTTTTGGCTAGAAAGAGAGATCATCAACACCACGACTTGGTACGACAACCCAGATAAGTATCGACGCATCTATCGAGCCTATGTTCAGGCTGCAAATGATAATGACGATGAAAATGATGATAATGACGATGATGATGTTATTGACTACTAGTGCAGTTGTAAGTTTATGGAAAGGTTTTGAGATGTAAGCATGTTTTTCCGTGCGACAGTCTTCATATATTTTTGCCAATGAGTTCAAATTGGGCTCTACCTATATTCCAATTATACTTTTGGCTCGAATGTGGACATGCCTGGAATTGTTTGGCTACCCGTTTATATGAACCAGGGACTATTTTGTGCCTGCAACAGAACAAGATCAATAATGGCAGTCTGGTACTGACTAGTGACTACTGAGGTTTCAGCTTCACAATAATCGTTAAGCTGGAAGCTAAAAAGTTAGCACTTTCGCTTTCTCTGCCATGATCAGTAGAATGAGCATGATTTATAAGATGCACATTAGTGGGGGAAGATGGAGACCAGAATCGGACAAATAACAGATTCAACTCAATTTAATCTAATCTTATTCTGTTTCCAGCAATGCTTTTCTTAACTTTAGAACTGAAATCTTATTGAACTATACATCAATCCATCCAGCTTGCGATGTGCTCATGCATGGCTGGACGAGGGCAGAATTGGACAATAGCACATTCGACACGTGAAGATAATGATTAGATGCACGAACAGGCGTTTGACTCAGTTTGTTCTGTTGTGATTCTAACTGATTATTTGTTGTGTTCAAGAGATCCAATTGAGTGAAGTCTTTAACTTTAACAACAAAATGACGCCGAATTATACATCAATCATTCTGGTCAGTAACTCAGTAGTGTCTATAGCTATGGAAAGAAGCATCTCATGGTATCTCAACTATTGTCTTCATTCCTTCTGTTCTTTATCCCCATTTCACCATGTGTTCTCTTCTCTTCTCACCACTCTCCCCACTAGTTTTTCTTTACTTCTAAGTTATACCTCCCCTGGTTAGTAAAAAAAGGGGAGGAGAAACAGAAGGAAAAGCAGTAAAAGAGTCTGTGCCTAAAAGTGTCTCTCGGAAATAGATGTGGCAGATCTGTTTCCTTCCCGCTGTGCAATGCTTCTCTGAAAACTACTGTTACTTTAAGTTGCTTCTTGCCACTTCCCCAAAGATACTTCCATTTTTTGTCACAGTAAATCCAAATCTCCAATGTTCCTTTTTGTTTCATTGTAAGTAACAACCATCCATTCATCTTGCCAGCAGCTGCTGCCGGCCCATGGTGCCTCCTGTAATAAGTGGTTTCTGTAGACTCAACAGAAGATTCTTCTTCTCTGGAAAGGAGAAGACCCAATTTTGACTGTCAGTTCTCCAGCTCAAGCTTGTAACTTTTTTTCCATTCGAACTCACATATTCAAGCAAATAAATGGAGAAGTAGCCTTTAGTCCTGGACTTACCCGGCATTTAGACTCCCGCAAACCGTCTACCAACTGTGCAATCTCCACCTGCCTCACCACTGCAGAATGCAGCACCTGCAAGACAACAAAATAAACTTCTGGACACGGCAAAGATTCTGCAACAAAAGAATGATCGATCAAGGGGCGTGATTGTACCGTACCCTCTTTGTTTTGTTGAGGTCAAGCTCCACAGATTTGATTCTGTCCAGAGATTGCATGAGGACTTTTTCTTTTTCTTTTGGAATCTGAGGTGGCTTGTTGCTCAGTTCCAAAACTAGTTTCTCTAGTCCCAGGAGGCGCTCCATGCACGGGCGAACATGGTCTTCTTCCTTTGGCAGCTCAGGTTCAACAACCTTTAGATCAACATCACTAAGACTACTACTACATCCTACTCCCACAGTAGTTGATGGGTGAATGTCGTTGTTGTGCCTTCTCCAATAATCGAATGATAGGTGGCGGAAAATTGCAATTAGCTTGGCTAAAAACAATGCTAATGCTCTTGCTGCATGCATGACTTTCCCTTTTCCAAGCTTCTCTCCAGCAATGTTCAACCAACAAACTGCCCCTGCTATAAAAAAAGAAAAGTACCTTAGTTTCACAAATTATGTAACTTCAGCTTATAACTACAGTTCACTGACTTCGCCACAATCAAAGCAATCTGGGAGAGGTTAGTGTCATCGTTCACTGAACTTTCTTCATGAATTTTTAACAGACTTTCAGTGTAACTAACATAACAGTCACTTGGTCCATTTCCCTACCTCATGTTTTTCATATAAAATTAGTGACAGCATACTCTAGAAATCGGGACAAAACCTTAAAGTTGACAATAATCTGTTGGATTTTCTAATGTGAAAGGAGAATGAAGAGTGTATTTCCGTTCATGAAGCACAACACACAACGATGAGAGATTCTCGGCAGAGCTCAATATTGTGTCTTTGTTTCGCTACTAACTACAATGCAGACTTCCTTGAAAAAAGGCAAGTACCTTGCAAACAGTGTGTTGCCTCAGAAGAAAGGCTCTTCCTGTTGCTGACCTTAGTTAAACGTTCTTTGCATAGTCCCTTTTCATCCAGAACAGGACTTTTCATCCAGAACAGGATCGTCATCACAGCTGTAGTATCCATTTGCATCAGATACTCTTACTTCATCACGAGCTGAGGCCAAACTTGGAACCGTCGTCCAGGTGTTGATTTCAGTAGGGGAAAGATCAATATAATCCAGCCCTGGGTCAACCTTCTCAGGGTGAGTCATGTATGGGTTCTTCTGATCGGTCGAGACTCGGGTCACTTGCCTCAAATATATTTCTGCTTCAGTATTTAAATGCTGAAGACAAACGAGTTTGGATTAAATTTTACTGATAAGTATAGAAACACGGAGATGGAGCCAACTTGACAAATAAAAAAAGAACAAGACGAGAAGGCTGTGGTGGTCAAACCTTCATCACTTCAGGATCATTCCATGGGCCTTTGTTGGATCTCAGGCAACCTCCTTCAGCACAAGAAGTACAAGAGCCACCCAAGAAGTCTGGCAATTGGCTGTATCAAAAGGAGAGTATAAAGGTCAGGGTTAGAGAAATACAAGAGTTGGAATTTATAGAAAACAATACAGACCTGGAATCGATGACTTCTAATAGCTTGTGCAAAGATCTGGGCTCCAGAACCTGCAAGGGTGCATGAATTAGTGGATTAACTTCATGACATTCACGAAAAGGGAAATCACAGGGTACAATCTAACAGCACGTTCTGTTACCTGTATTTTTGCAATAGTCTTTGCATCTAGAAACTTTTGTGCAGCTGGCCAAAGCATCTTCTTAAACCCGGGACCTGCATTAACTATGTACATCCGGTGTAGGGTCTGCAAAAAGGAGCCAAAATTGTAAGAACCTAGAGTAATATGCCAAACAAGAAGACCCCAAGTGATTCCATTAGCTCTGGGTAGTAACTATTATCAATCCTTGCCATAGCTGCCAAAAGACTTGCAGAAGTCCTAGAGAAATTCTTCATGCCCTGTGAAGTAAAACATAAATAAAAACTTCACTAATACATACTGATTAAATATGAGGCAAACTAAATAACAAGCTTCCAGAGAGGATATGATACTTATATGTCTACTACAACCAAGATCAGAAAATGTCTTCATATGCAAAGGTTTGGAAAGGTTTGGAAAGGCATACCAAGCCTTGGACATCCAATATTGTGGTAGTTGACCATACTTTACTCTTTGCAGCAATTGAACAAGCGGGGAACTTCTCACACAAAGCCCTCTCGAACTCCTGGACATGGTACTTCAAATACCGATCTATAGTCGTGACACGCATCAGTTTACTCGGATTAGCTTTCCCGAGCCTTTCAATGTATAAAGGACGACCTTCCTTATCCACTCCATGGTACCCCTGAGGGTAGTACTGTAGCACTTCTTCCAACTCTTCCAACTCAAAATCCTAATCATGACAAATCTGTTCAAAGACCTGTTCCATCTACATTCCAACGTAATGATCAAAGTTACCATTATAATTTTCTTCTTACCTCCAATATGGAATCAGTTCCATACTCTCTCCTCCATTCAAGCATTTCTTCCCACATCTGGATCGTTTTTTCAATGTTGAAGCCTCTAGCTTTCAAGAATCTAAGAAGACATTATAAATGAAGTCAACACTCAGGCTTCCGAATTCACATAGTATATTTCAAGAAGCAAGACTCAGTAATTGACCTTAACATGGTATGATAGTCGTCATGCCTTGGAGGCAACAGCGCTCTCTCCAGCAGCTTTCGCCGGAATTCACCCACAGCTCGCTCTTCCTCTTCATCCCTCACATCTTCAATGGGGACTGAACAAACCCTGTAGTCAATCTTCCTCTTCCCTCTCTTCTTCAATGAATGAGTGAACTTGTTAGAAGCATTGATAGCTTTTTTCCTTATATTCCCAATCTTGGATCGCCTCTTCTCATCCTCAGAGTTATCAAAATCGGATCTTCTCTCTCTAAGCTCGTCACCATCACCAATGAAATCTTCTGCAAATGATCATCTCATCAGAAACACAATGTACTGACTACTATCTGAATTTAGGGTTGTTTGTAGAGTTTAAGAAACTCACCTGACATCTTTGATGACATGCAATAGTGAGACATTTACTTCAACTCCATCGCAGGCTCACGGTAACCCCAGAAGAACTGTGCAAGAAGAGGATCAAATTTCAATTCAGAAAAGATGGCAGCATTGATCCAATTTTTCTAGTCAAAATGCAAACAAATTATTACATTTACAGCTAGAAAGTATGAACTCATGTTCAACCGGGTCGCCCCTCTCCAGGAAATTTCAGCAAACTGGAAACAGAGCTCTTTTTTGGTGGAAAAGCCGAGAGATTAGGTACAAATCGTTCAACACCAATCTAGAAAACTCAAGAAAATTGAAGCAAATCACAAATGATCCATAAATAACATGATTAATCGAAAGTTTATTCCTTTCAATTAAGTTTCTTCACTCTCCACTCGATAACATCAACTTCATTCTACACAATTTGAAAGAAAAAATTAGACGTGTCTCCACAAACATAAATAAGATTAGTTGTTTAGAATATTAAATATACCGAGAAACCCAAACTCAACCCAACCCGGTGAATAGTGAACGGGTTTAAACCCAAACCCGACCCAAAACCCGTCAACACGAATTTTACCCGCGTTGACCAAGTTGGGTCGGGTAGGTACCCGTGAGTTCGGGTTTTGTTGCCATCCCTTCTTCGAGCCCCTTGATCACCTGTTCTAGTTAATAATCCCAGACATTAGCCACAAAGCGCACAACTTACAAAAGCAGTGTGCAACACATTTTGAATAGCGCCATCTGTTCCGTGTAGTCGATAAGAACACTGGGGAAAAGAAAAACGAACCAAGCTTCCAGGAACCTTGTGCAAACAAATGATCATTACCTGACCAGAGCCGACGCGGAAAATATACAGTTGCCTTTTCTCCAAAGAACTGCAAAATCAGAGATACAACAAACATATTTAAACACAAATGAGGGCCAAGTTGTTGAAGATCATTGTGCAGGACAAGGTACCTACCTATCAAAGATTTGTCCGGATGGAACCATGGCAACACAATTAGCAGCAACCTGCAAACTTGCATCGATACCTACATCAGATACGGAATTGAAACTGAAAAGAAAGCGAAGGAATAAAAAACCATTGCAGCTTAGGATTAGGATGTACATTTGTGAGACAACTCAACTCTCAAGCTTAATCTAATCGACCATTCCTTTTGCATTGCATCAGAAAAATAGCCCCAATGAATAAGTCAATGACATTGTGTTGACACCTAAAATTAATTCGGCCCGAATTAAATGCCGCATTAATTAGTCTCGGCATTTAATTCGATACCGCGGGTAGAAAAACGGTGTCGTTTGGAGTTGAGCGGTGTCGCGTAGAGTTAAAACGATGCCGCAAAACAAAAAACGGTACCGCAAGAAAGCTCAGCGGTACCGCAACACCGGAAACGACACCGCTGGCCGAAAATAAAAAAAGAGGGCCGTGTGTTTAATGGGGTTGAAGGAGGAGTCTTTAATTGTTTAATTATTTTTTTTTTTATTCCTTGTGAGAAGCGGCACCGCGGGGAGTTAAAACGGTACCGCGAAACAGAAAATCGGTGCCGCGAGGAAGCTCGGCGGTACCGCGGAACTGGAGAGGGGCCGCGCAGTGTAGGTGTTGGGGAAGGAGTTTTGTTTATAATTAATTAATATTTTAATTCCTTGTTGGAAGGGGAAAATCGGTACCGCATGGAGACAAGCGGTATCGCGGAGAGTTAAAACGGTACCGCGAGTAGGCCCAACGGTACCGCGGATTAACAAACGACAGTGTTTAATAATAAACAGTGTCGCGGAAGAAAAAACAAACGGAGCTGGTTGGGAAAGAAAACGACACTGCAAGGCTGGAAGCGGAGTCGTTTAATGTTAAAACGATGTCGCGGGTAGAATCAAGCCGTGCTGCTAAGTTAAAAACGACACCGTTTAAGGCATCAACAACGCCGCAGTATCACTAAGCGGTGTCGTTTAGTTAAAAACCATACCACAATGGTTTGGATTTTGGCGAGGCCTGGCAAGCACAACGGTGCCGTTTGGTTGAAAAGAAACAATGTCGCGGAATGGAAAACGACATTGTTTGTCAGCATCGATTAGTGAAAGGTGATGCCGCGGTATTGGTGAAACGACATTGTTGCATGGACAAGGTTGTAGGATTTGGCTCAATGTCGTTTCGCCAAGTTTCTGCAAACAGGAGCGGTTTCGATGGCACGTGATTTTTACGCAAAGCAGAAAGAGGAGATCAAGGCAGTTGAGACACGTGGGATTTCACAACGGAGCAGTTGAGGAAGCGGTTCCACCGAGCGTGAAGGCTACGAAGCAGTTTTTCGAATAAAAGCAGTGGAGCAAGGAGAGAGAAAGGGAAAACCAAAAATCAACACAGAACAACTCTGTCAAAACTTTACCTTTTCTCTGTAACTCCTTCGCGGAGCTCTCCTTCCAGGAAGGATCTCCATAGTTGTAGTCTTAGTCGTAGTCGCGGAGCTCTCCACAGGAATCTCCATAGGAGTAGCGGTATCGTAGATTCCTCAAAACTCAAACACCCTCGTTCGAACGTAGTTTGGAGAGGTGTGAACCGTAGTCACAGTCGTCTTGATTAGAAGTCAGTGGCGCATCAATTCGATCAAATCAACATCGTCGCTTGGCACGCCGACGGTGGTATTTGGTCAGAAGATAGTGGTGCATCCGTTCAATCGGCACCGCAAGAGTTTCCACCGCGAAATATTAAATCAACATCGCCGGGAACGAATTCGGCACCGGCGGTGGCATTTGGTTTTTCCGAGGAAACAATTTGGCACGCCCGGTGGGATACGTGTGTTTGACACGGCTCTGCGTCGAGGAAATCCAGATCGTGATCTTCCACACGTACCTGTGGAGGCGGAGGCGCCCGACATTGAAGTTGGTCAGGCGAACGAGGCAGATAGACGTACTCAAGGAATGGAGGAGCTGCTACATGCTGAAATCCTGTATCTACGTCAATCCATGGAGGAGTTTCACCAATCCATGAAGGATTTTCACCAAGAGGTAAATCTCCAATTTGATAATCTTGAAAAGAAAATGGATAAGTTTGAAAACAACATAGATCGATGGTTTGATAAGTTGGATGACTGTGTTTCTGATTTTAGTATGTCAGTACATAGAGCCACATGTGATTTTGATGTGTTTAAATCTGAAACCATGTCTGTTGCGTGCGATGATTTGATGGTTGATCGGCTAGCCAATGTCAACCAAACGCCATCGACGAGTATGGCTACAACATTGTTGCCAAAAGCCAAGGAGCCGAACGTGTCTTTTCCTGTGAACAATGTTGTTCTTAAGGACACACAAGTTGGGATTGGCTTGCAAAAGCCACTACAAAGAAGTCAGTATCGACTTACTTCTATTAAGATTGAAAACAAGAACCAGGGTCGAGAACCTGGTTACAATCGCGTCGAGCATAGCAAGCTCACGTATGATGGGTTGTCTAAGCAACGTCACGATGATGTTCGATCTAAACCGCTAGGGGGGCATGAGATCCCACTGCAAGGCGGGTTGAAGGAGAAACAATATCACAAGTGGCGAAGCAGTTTGCCACATCCACCCTGTTCTAGGAAAAAGCAGATGTGGGTTGCCACAAACACTATTCAATATGGAGGTGGTGATCACGTGAAAACCCCCAAGGCCACGAAAGTTGGTGTAACTTACCTAGATCCTTCGTGTAAGTTGTCCCCAAAGCCGCCACCGAGTGAAGTGGGGGGCAAGTTCAAGCAAGCCCGACATGGAGTTGCCACACCAGTGTCGAGGAGGAACAAGTCTGCTATGAATGGAGGATTGGGGGGCAAGTATAATACTCTACAAACTCCAAAATCACACGGGAGCTCAAAGGAAACGATGTGGATGTGTGGTAAGTGTCGTGGTAAACAAAACACCCACACACTTGTCGGTGAAGCTCGTAAGCATCGGTGCTTATACTCACAGCAACATGGTGAGAGTGCGAAGCTGACAAAACCAGACCTGTTTGGGCAAGCAATGCCACATGGTCGACTTGATAAGACAAAGGTGTCAAAAAACGTGAAGGTCTTGCCTAGAGCCAAGAACGCATATGATTTTTCATTTCGCGAGGCTGAGATGAGACCAAATCAGGCTCGTGGAGTTTCGAACAAAGGCGTTCGAGCTGAACAACCTGGAGAGGTGCAAGCCAACATTACTCCCAAAACATCAAAACCAACATGTGTGAAGCCAACAAGTCAGGGTATTTATGGATGGCTTGTTTGGTTTGATCAGTGGAGTTGGCAGTGGGTGTGGACTTTTGGCATGAGGGTTTATGCTAAAGCCAACCCTGTTTTTGTTTAGATATTATTAAAATAAATAATTATGGCTATTTAAGCCACATATTGTCTAGAAAATTTTATGAAAAAAAAAACAAACAACGTTGCTTATGACTTGCCGCAACATTGTAGAAAATTGGCCAAGGTAAAATTCGCAGCATTGCAAGTCGTGAAAGAGTGAAAAATTTTATATTAATTTTTCTTCTTGCATGAGGCTGCGGAGCATACCAGTATTGGTTGAAAAGAAAAACGGAGACGTGGAGAATACTATTCTCACCGCAACTCTGTTTGGCAACAACCATGTTTTTGTAGTTGTAATTTGGCCAAGGTTAAAAAAAAAAAAAAATTGGTTCTCAGCCCTGCGGCTGCACAAACAGCCCTGAAGGAAAAAAAAAAATTTGTACATGCATGCAGCGCTGCCGCTGTTTACCAGGCGTGAAAGAAAAAAAAAAAAAAATTTCAGGTCTGGCACAACAGCTCTGGCGGCAAATTATAAAAAAAAAATAAAAAATTTTCCCAGCCCTGCGGCTGTTCCCAACAGCCCTGGTGGAGAGATAAAAAAAAAGAATAATAACAACAGAAAATCAAAAATCATAATCAGCGCTGCTTGGACGCGGATCAGGGCACGGCGGCTATGCAGACCTGCTAAGGTGGAAAAAGAGGCCAAAATATTTACGCCAATTTTTGGTGGATTGGTGGTATAATTCAAAACTATTTTAGGTGTTGTGGATTATGTCAACAATTTGGTTCATAATTCTTATAAACCAAATTGTGGGGGGCATTTGTTGACACCTAAAATTAATTCGGCCTGAATTAAATGCCGCATTAATTAGTCTCGGCATTTAATTCGATACCGCGGGTAGAAAAACGGTGTCGTTTGGAGTTGAGCGGTGTCGCGTAGAGTTAAAACGATGTCGCAAAACAAAAACGGTACCGCAAGGAAGCTCAGCGGTACCGCAACACCGGAAACGACACCGCTGGCCGAAAATAAAAAAAGAGGGCCGTGTGTTTAATGGGGTTGAAGGAGGAGTCTTTAATTGTTTAATTATTATTTTTTTTATTCCTTGTGAGAAGCGGCACCGCGGGGAGTTAAAACGGTACCGCGAAACAGAAAATCGGTGCCGCGAGGAAGCTCGGCGGTACCGCGGAACTGGAGAGGGGCCGCGCAGTGTAGGTGTTGGGGAAGGAGTTTTGTTTATAATTAATTAATATTTTTATTCCTTGTTGGAAGGGGAAAATCGGTACCGCATGGAGACAAGCGGTATCGCGGAGAGTTAAAACGGTACCGCGAGTAGGCCCAACGGTACCGCGGATTAGCAAACGACAGTGTTTAATAATAAACAGTGTCGCGGAAGAAAAAACAAACGGAGCTGGTTGGGAAAGAAAACGACACCGCAAGGCTGGAAGCGGAGTCGTTTAATGTTAAAACGATATCGCGGGTAGAATCAAGCGGTGCTGCTAAGTTAAAAACGACACCGTTTAAGGCATCAACAACGCCGCAGTATCACTAAGCGGTGTCGTTTAGTTAAAAACCATACCACAATGGTTTGGATTTTGGCGAGGCCTGGCAAGCACAACGGTGCCGTTTGGTTGAAAAGAAACAATGTCGCGGAATGGAAAACGACATTGTTTGTCAGCATCGATTAGTGAAAGGTGATGCCGCGGTATTGGTGAAACGACATTGTTGCATGGACAAGGTTGTAGGATTTGGCTCAATGTCGTTTCGCCAAGTTTCTGCAAACAGGAGCGGTTTCGATGGCACGTGATTTTTACGCAAAGCAGAAAGAGGAGATCAAGGCAGTTGAGACACGTGGGATTTCACAACGGAGCAGTTGAGGAAGCGGTTCCACCGAGCGTGAAGGCTACGAAGCAGTTTTTCGAATAAAAGCAGTGGAGCAAGGAGAGAGAAAGGGAAAACCAAAAATCAACACAGAACAACTCTGTCAAAACTTTACCTTTTCTCTGTAACTCCTTCGCGGAGCTCTCCTTCCAGGAAGGATCTCCATAGTTGTAGTCTTAGTCGTAGTCGCGGAGCTCTCCACAGGAATCTCCATAGGAGTAGCGGTATCGTAGATTCCTCAAAACTCAAACACCCTCGTTCGAACGTAGTTTGGAGAGGTGTGAACCGTAGTCACAGTCGTCTTGATTAGAAGTCAGTGGCGCATCAATTCGATCAAATCAACATCGTCGCTTGGCACGCCGACAATGGTATTTGGTCAGAAGATAGTGGTGCATCCGTTCAATCGCCACCGCAAGAGTTTCCACCGCGAAATATTAAATCAACATCGCCGGGAACGAATTCGGCACCGGCGGTGGCATTTGGTTTTTCCGAGGAAACACATTGATGTTGTTCCAAAGGCATGAAGGCATCACTAAGCAACTACATCAAAGTAGTGAGCATGTTATCCTTACTAATAAGAACCATTCATAGAATATGAATCAAGACCAATAGAACAATCTCAGACAATCTGTTTGTCTCACATTCGAAATCAGCAGTGATTTCAATGGGCCAAACCGTATCCATTTCCTCCCATCAATATAAGGAGGTTCTCCTTAAGTACCTACCTCATTCCGTTTTTGCTGTGTTCTGCGCAAACCAAGGAAGGATGCCTTGGTCATTTTACCATTTACTAAATCCAGAGAACAGGTGGGCTTCTCTGTAATTAGTGGGCCCGACCTAAATGTTGTGTTTCTTACTTTCTTTTGTGTATGTATAATTTGTGGTTCTTCACGTTTTCTTTCACTTTTTGCACATCAATATCAAGTAAGGAGGCAGGAGGGGGATTAAACAAAGCAAAAATACCCATAGCACATATATTGAACCTCTGCCACAGATCTGCAAATGAAGCGACCGAGATAAGTGCTTTACCTGACAGCTCTTCTCTACTATGTCTTAATACGCCCAGCCCTTCAAATCTCCTATAAAAACATTGTAAAATCGAATCGGAAGTAGTTATGGTAAAGTTTAATTATCATTTAATTGTGGTTCAACTATTTTATAACAATATAATTCATATACTAATTTGTTCTTTGATATAAAGATTTTTTGATCAGATCATCGATACAATACGATTTTACAAACACGATCCGTCTCAACCCTTTGATTTCTTGAGGCCCATAATTCAATTAATCTGCATTAGTTCTCCGTTTTCCCATATCATTGTAATACCTTTCTCTTATTTTGATAATTATTGCAGGTGGAGAATCATCCAAAAGTAAAATATATGTTGCAATTCAATTTTTAAAAATGGAATTTAAGTAAATATATTTTTATTTGTATAATTCTATACATCTTGCAATTTAATGTGTGTTCATATCAAGTGCGATTTAGGGGAAATGAGTCATTTTTATATCATCAGAAGTTGTAGTTGTTTCTTATTAGTCTCTATATGAGTGTAAAAATAAGTTGGTTGATGGCATGCACATTGATTATAACTATGAGTTGTTTCTAATCTCTCCAACTATTTCACGCTACTTGATGTTACAAAATTACAACTATCCATCTTCCATTTTCATAAATTTATTGACATAAATATAATATGAAGAGAACTGATAAGCCATTCACTCATAAAATTAGGAACAAGGAAACATGCTCTTTGTATAAGTCAAAAGCGTATATAGGCGGAAATTATCAACACTCCAATTAGGGTTGTTCAAATGGTTATCATGGTAACTATTATACCAAGTAAGTTTAAATTCTATTAACTTGGAAGTACAACATCTTCACCAAATCAATCAAATTAACCAAAATAAATTTTAATTTGTTTGATAAATTAATTAATTTGATTAACCAATAACACACACACACACACACACACATATATATATGGGGAGTTCTACGGTACCCATGGTAAAATCCGGTGTACCGCATACCTTGAGTAAGAAAACGCTATCCAGAACTTGAATTGACTGATCTTTCGGACATGATACTATACTCTAACCTGTAAAGATCAAAATCTAGGTATTAATTCTCTAAATCTTATACACCAAGATCAATTTAATTTGAAACAATAATCAACGGTTATGATTCGTCCAAATATAGGCAAAAAATAATTGCACCATCTTAGGGTTTATAGTTTATGATTTAGATAATTAGGACCTAGGGTTCACTCATTAAGGGTTAGGGTATAGTATCATGCCCGAAAATCCTGCTAAATCGAGGTCTAGATAGCGTTTTCAAACTCAAGGTATGCGGTACCCCGGATTTCACCCGGGGTACCGTAGAAGGCACCATATATATATATATATAATGAATAAAAAATAACAATCAACTCAGAGTTACCCTTTTACATAAATACACACAAACTAATGCGATTATCTTACACACAAAAGTAGCCACCTAACAAAATATATACCAATGGTATAGAGGTAATGAAATGGGTGTGTCTCTGTGAATTACGCTTAGAGCCTTATCAATTATCATAGGTTTCCAATATAATATATGAGCTTGATATAAATTAGGATATCATGTATATGTTGGTGTCTACACTCTACAAGAATCAAGTATAACATATGAATGAGCTTTATTTTTATGGGTCTAAATGGAAAGAACATTTGATATATGACTAATTATCTAATTGGTTAATAATTTGGATTGGTTAGCAGTGCATGAAACCAAACCATATAAACCAAACCTGCTAAAAAATTATATTAATGGTGCTAAGAAAGTAGTGTTGTGCACGGCTTCTTTCAATAATGGAGGTTTGCTATTGGTTGGAGGTCAAACAACTCATTCTCAAGTTTATACTTCAATAAATTGTGATTCAAATCGACATGCTAATTGAACAAGAAAGCGAGTTAGCATAGTGATTCGGAAGGGCTCTCTTATTATTTCGGATGAAGATCATGTGGTTAATAAACTTAATATCTCATAGACATTTTTGCGTGTGAAAAAACAAAATAGTGGGTACATGATCTTTGGTGAATTTTTGTTGTGTTTGCCGGAGATTTTTGAATAACATTAACAGTAATTACTAGGAAAACTTGGATATATATTGTAAATTCTTCTTTCAGGAGGTCGTATTTTGTGGTCCACGTTCAAAGGTTTACTACTCTCTCAAAATATGAGATTGAAGAATTCAACAAATGAATATTGGAGATAAATTATGGAGTGGCTACCCAAAAAGTAATTTTCATTCGAACAATTATTATTGTTTTCCAAATTGTAGATGACAATGAAACTAACTTTTACTTGATGGCTTTGCAAGTATACAAAACATATTTCTTTTGAATGTTATTTGTTTGAAACTAAGGCATAAAAGAAAAATAGAATTGTGCATTGCTACTTTCAGTATTGGAGTTTTGTTAATGGTTGGAGGTCAAACAACTCATTCTCCATTTTATATTCCAATAGACTGTGATTCATAATCGACATGTCATATTGAATAAGAAAGCGAGTTTGCGTAGTGGATTAAGAATGTCTCTTTAATTATTAGGGATGAAGCTCATAGAGCCGATAAACATAATATTGAAGTAGTGGATAAAACTCTCATAAAGATTTTGCATGCGGAACATCTAAATAGTGAGTACATGATTTTTGGATAAATATTGTAAATTCTTCTATCAAGATGCAAGAGGTCGAATTTTGTGATCCGCATTCAAAGTTTTGTAACTCTCCCAAAATATGAGATAGAAAAATTGAACAAACGAATTTTGGAATACATCATGGAGTGGCTACCCAAAAAATGTCAATATTCATTTGAACAATTATTATCGTTGTTTACTCGATTAATGAAACATAACCGGCCAACTGGCCGGGTCCCTACCTAGTAGCGGTTATGGAGATTCAGGAATCACCTGGAAACCAACAGGAGGAGAAGGCCCTCCACCGACTTTGATATCCTTGTACTGCAACCCAGACTCCGTACTCACCATCGGCACCTTCATATTCAAATCATTAGAATAAACCCATCAGCAACGATTTTATCCCCAAAATCCGTCAAACTACAATCGAACCTCTCTCTCTCTCTCAGCATACATTTTCAAGCTCCTTCTCGCAACTTTCATCGCACAGCTTGGCCTTATCCTCGGGCGGCAAACCAGCTCCTTCAGCCTCAAATCCACCGACAACTAGCCCCGAAGCTCCCAGAAGAAGCGCCCCAATCACATCCCTACGATTTGCGAGAGCGCAGGTTCTCGTCCGATTGAAATTGCGCCTGCTGCTGCTGTTGCTGCTGAGCTCCGCGGTGGAGCAGCAGCGGATCAAGCGGCCGCCACCGAAAATCAACGGGGTCACGCAGGGAAGTGGATTACCTGTTGAATTCGAATGCGAGATGATTTTAATTTTAATATTCAGGCAATGCGGCCTGTGTTCTGATTCCGACAAAGTTTTTGCGGAGGAAATTAATGGAATCGGAATTGCATTACCTCCTAGAGTTCGCGGGATGGAGCGAGGCAATACCCCCATTGTCATAGCTTTCCCCGAGCTTGAATCCCTTCGTCTTCCTATTCGTCTTCTGCTTCTTGCTACTGTTCTGCTTCTGCTGTCTTGGTTGCAGAAAAAATGAGAGGGGAAAGCAGAAGGGGACGGAAGAGGCGGGACGAGGGATTCAGTAGCGCGAATTTGGAAGTGGATAAAAGGAAGAGAAATCTTATGCTATGTTCACTTATCATTTCGTTTTCTATTTTCTGTTTAGAAAATGAAAATCAAGAAACAAAAGACAAGTGTGTTCACTTACACTTTTAGTTTCTTTGGAAAAAACTGTTTTCTACAAATGAGAAAGCTGGGCGAAAACAACAACATGTTTCCTGGAAATAATGACACGGGTTATTCCCCGATTCTTGGTGGTAAGTGATTCACTATTCATTAATGAGGTCACTGTTTTGATTCCCACTTGCCACTTAATTTTTGCATCTGCTCCGCTACACAATACACCATCGTTTTGCTCTGCTCCGCCTCTCCAACCCTAGATGAGTTGGATAGCAGCGGCGTCGTCCTCTTCCTCCAGCAGCCCTGCGTCCGCGACGAGAAGCTCTCGTACCGGTGACGAATTGATGCTCCTTCCGGCGACGAGAAGCAGCAGCGACGGACCGTTCACACGCCTGCAATCGAGTGGCTTGAACTAGACCGCGATACTCCATGTTTTTTTATCTTTCGTCCCACTACCTCACTGGCCCCCTGCCGCCGTCGATCTGCAACGCTCCCCTTCTCCAGAACGTGGATGGGTATTTTGCCTCTCTGCAAATTAAATGGCTTATCATGGATCCCAAAATCCAAGATCCTAGGCCTTTGCTTTGCTAACGCCGTCTCTGTTTGGTTTGAAGTCCCCTTTCTAATGATCTTCACCATCTGATATGGGTGGTGCCTACACATTGCTGGTCCAAATTCCCGGTGATAGGAATTTTGCCGATTGCTAGTTGCTACCGATACCATATATTATCCAGCCCTTTTTTCCCCAGTACAACAAAATAGGTCTCTCTCTGTACCTATTTACCATTACATGTTAACCTCCCACTATTAGTGTTATTATCTACTTTAATTGTAAAGGATGACAAGAAGGATCACAAGAAAGAAAAGTATAAAATTTCAATTCAAATCAAACTCGAGCAACAAATGTATCACGTGATGGAATCACAAACAAATAAGTTGTGAGATATCAATGTGATTCATATTACAAATTATAATCATCACTAGAGTGGTATGATATTCCATGAAAAAAATGATGACAATCATGTATCAGAAAACAATATGAAGTAACTAAACAGGTTTTCATTTTCAGAATCTAGTTTCAGAACTCACCAAATTCCCAGCTAAACAAGTTTTCTTCAGGTTTTGTTTTTTAGGAAACGACAGCTTCATTTTCATTTTAGTTTGTTTTCTGTTGCCAAAACAGTAAGAAATGAAATGGCAAGTGCACGGCCCATTAACTTCTCAGTTCGCCACGTGGCTCCTTGAAGTGGGTAGGCCCGTTCCCTATCCTGGCCAGGCAGGATCAGGATCAGCTACTTAAAATTGTGGTTAACGGCCCAAATACTCTTAGTTGGGCTTGGTCTGTACAATTTTTTTCGTACGAAAAAGGGCCGAGGTTTCGAAAAGTCAGCGGCGGGAGCGGATTACATTACACCGTCGTGTTTGGCAACCACAGAGGGCAGTAAGAAGTGTGCCAAGATCGAGTCTCCAATTATTTTCTACTTCTCCTCCTCCTCCTCCGAAAGCTTCTCCGGTGGATTCTAGTCTCTGATCATCTTCGGCATCGATTTCCGGCCAACAATTGGTGGAGCCTTCCCCCAGGTTCTTCTCTCTTTCTCTCTTGTGTGCGTTTTCCTTTCCATTTCTGAAGTATGATCGTCGCCGGAGATGGACTCCTCGAGTTACGATTGAGTACATTAATTTTCAATTTTATCTGGATTCGTTCTTGTGAGCCAAACTTTATCTATAACCAAAACCGTTACGAGAGGTCCTTCTTTTAGTTTCTAGTTGACTGATCAAGAATTCTAATTCGGTAAATCGGAGAACAATTACCAATCCAATCTGAGTTTCGTGGACGAGCCTCCTTTATTGTTTCTGCACAGGAGCTCGTTCTCAGTCTGTTCTTTCTTCTTCCGTTATCTGATCAAGAATATGAATCTGATTTGAACGATCAGCCATTCCAGAGTTGCAAGATGATAAAAGATTTTGCTTCCTGAATCTACTTATTTAGAATGATTGAGTGATTGATCAGTAGTTGCAATATGACTTCCTCCAAGTATGGGTTTAATCAATGCTTGTTGAAGTGCTCTCTTACCTGGTCTATTTCATTATGTAGCTTGAGGTAGGTTGGAATCAGCACACATCTTCTATCCCTGACTGTCTTGGTACGGTAGCAATGGAAGGTGATGTAGTGAAGGCTGAATCACCTAGAAGAGTATGGGTACCAGAAACAAAGATTGAGTCGAAAATGCTTGATGCCATGAAGCAGAGAGGAGCTGCGGGATGTTCCTTGAGATCATTCAACAGCATACTCTTGAAGTTCCCCAAGATTGACAATAGCTTAAAGAAATGCAAAGCCATCTTTGAGCAATTCGGTAGGTGTTCGGAAACCCTGCACATCAATGTCAAGCAATCGCTTATTGGTGTCAGAAGAATCACATTTAAATTCTTTAGCATTAGTTTAAGCATGGATCCATAGTCATTTGTATATCTTCTTAGGTTCCCCCTTCAGTGTCAAAAGAACACATCCTTTGATAACATAGTTTCAAAGTTGGTTTGCCTGCCCAGGCGAGATTTTGTTTGTTAATTACTCCTAATGGGTTAGTCTTCATTGTATTGCTTTCTAGATTTGGACTCCAATGGCACCATTGATCATGAAGAGCTGAGAAAGTGCTTCAACAAGCTGGAAATCTCTTTCACTGAAGAGGAGATCAATGATCTCTTTGCGGCCTGCGATATTAATGACGACTATGGAATGAACTTCCATGAGTTCATAGTACTTCTGTGCCTGGTGTATCTTCTCAAGGCTGCTGCTGTTGCTGCTGATCCTAACGTATCCAGAACAAAGTGTTTAAATGCTTCGAGTTTGTGCCTAGCTGCTTGTGTATTTCTCCCAAGTATTTTCTTTTTCTATTAGAGCATATAATTTCCATTCAGGCGTAGACTCTAACTTTTTCCAGGTCTTAGCATCTTAGCTTCCCAGGCACTAATAGTAGTAAACAAGTACCATTATTAGTTTTGCTTCCTGTGCCGAATGCCGATGTATTCCATGACCAATGCTAGAAACCGAAGATGGGGATGCCAAACTTGGAGGGTGCCTTCGAAACATTGGTCGATGCATTTGTGTTCTTTGACAAGAACATGGATGGCTACGTGAGCAAGAATGAGCTGATACAAGCTATACAGGACTCTGGGGAACGTGCTGCTGGACGAATAGCCTTGAAGAGATTTGGTAATTCTCTCCCTCCCTCTCTCCACATGTTGGAAGCTTCATCGGAATGTGGTTTTGAGTTGCTTTTAACTTTGAACATGATAATGGCAGAGGAGATGGACTGGGATAAAAATGGGATGGTGAACATCAAGGAGTTTCTGTTTGCTTTTACTAAGTGGGTTGGCATTGATGACGATGACGACGAAGATGATGATAATGCTAAGGATGATGAATGAAGGACAGAGATGCAAAGAATGCTTCTCTGCCTCCATGGTTCAGAAGAGCTACTTGCTCCTATCGATTACATGTGGCCGTGTAGTAATAATAGAGTGATTGAGCTTGTAATGTAAATAGTCATCATCCATATCTATCTATCTTCGTCAGATGTTACTTCCATTCTTTGTACTATGTTGTTTCTCTTTGTTAAAACTTCATAGTGCGAGCACTAGAAATGCAATTAACCCTTTCTTTCCCCTTACAATATTCCCTAACTGAAACGACGCCGATCAAAGTCGTTAATGAACCGCGCGCAGGAATCCTTACTTCAGTTTCTATTTCCCTCTCCCCGTCGCCGCTTCTAAGTTCTAAGTACTCCGTCGCCAGTCCGACTCTATTGTCCTCGCCCTTCCCGCATAGACACCAGCTACCAGTCTCGCGCCTCGCCTTTTCTTCCCCGACAGTCCTTCCGACCCTCTGGTTTCATCCCCGCCGCCTCTGCCGGCGATTCACTTTTCGACGGTGAAACAAATGAGGAGGGGAGGGTGCTTGTTTTCATGATATATTGGCAAAGTTGAATTATCCCTTCTTTGGGGCTGTTTGCTTCTCCATGGCTGACGGTTGAAGCTGTTCCTCGTCCTTTTGATTCGATAACATTGTTCGCCATGACCGAGCAATTCCGAGGACTACCGCTGGAGCCTTGGCCAGGGGCAGACCGACGGGCTGTGAATATGCCCATCATGTGTTTGATTCTTGGTTCTCTTCTTTGTCTTCAAGTGATCACTCTCCTCGTTCTAGCTCTAACGTCAATTTCGACTCTCGCCTTTTGAAAAGACGCAGTTTTGATGATAATGGTAATGATCAGTCCAAGAGGTTGAGGCAAATGGGCGTTTCGGATGTTGGGGTTAGGGTGAATGAGGAACTTGAATCTGATTGCTCTGATGAGTTTGAAGAATCAGATGGAGATGATGATGGCGATGATGAGAAAGGCTGTAAGGTTTTAGATTCCTTCAAAAGGGATCGTGAGCAAAAGCAAGAGACAATGAGAATTGAGCTAGGGGAACATGAACTTCGGCATCCATCGGTGAGGAAGTCTGCAGGCTGATTGATCTTAGGTCAGCTTGGAATCCCAAGATGGAAGAGGAACTGAAGCGTTTGCTCAGAAGCCTCAAGCCTCGACTAGTTTGTGCTGTTCTGCGATCTCAATCAGATGAGAGAGTTGCTTTAGGTTTCTTCTATTGGGCTGACCGTCAGTGGCGGTACAGGCACCATCCTATTGTTTATTACGTGTTGCTTGAGATGCTCAGTAAAACTAAACTATGCCAAGGTGCCAGGAGGATAATCGTGCTCATGCTCGCCGAGGTGTTGAACGACAGCCTGAAGTGCTTAGTTATTTAATGAAATGATTTCATACAGTCGAGCTGGTAGGTTGAGGAATGCTATGCAGGTGTTGACGAGGATGCAGAAAGCTGGCATTGAACCTAACCTCCTGATATGTAACACCACTATCCATGTTTTGGTGTTGACAAATAGGTTGGACAAAGCATTGAGGTTTATGGCAAGGATGCAACTTGTTGGGATCACTTCAGACGTTGTAACTTGTAACACTTTGATCAAAGGTTACTGTGATGTCCACCGAGTTGAAGATGCTATGGAGCTGATAGCTGAAATGCCATTCAACGGATGTCCTCATGACAAAGTGAGTTACTATACTGTCTTAATTATGAGGTAAGCCTATTCATGAATCAAGCTCGTGTTTCCTTTGGATGTGCTTCAACACCAATTGTTAAACTGCAAAGAAGAATGTACATTATAGTTGATGCCAATAACTTGAACTTTTGTGACTTATGAGGATGCTTCTTATTGGCCTATATCTGCTTATACTGTGACCTGAAATTTTTCCTTGCACTCTTCTTCTTAGGTAAATGAGATTGCTTGGGATATGACAGGAGGGATGTTCCTTATGACAACTGGGAATGGTAATAAGTAATAACGATTTTCTCAATGACCATCGCTAATTTCGCATTAAACAGTGCTCAGGTTATCTTATTGCTATGAGTTCTTTTTGGAAGGTACCGTTGAAGTGCTTGCATACCCAGCTCTTCGGCCAGTGGACACTCTTATGGCTCATACAGCTGGGTGCTATTGCATTGCCATTGATCCAAAAGGAAGGTCGGGTTCAGAAGTTTCAAAGTTCCAAGCTTTAATGGCATGCAAACTGCACGTGAGTCATAGAACCACTAACCTAAGTTCTTTGCTCACAGATATTTCGCAGTGGGGAGTGCTGATTCACTAGTCAGTCTTTGGGATATCTCAGAGATGCTTTGCGTCCGGACATTTACAAAGCTAGAGTGAGTTTGATTTGTCTTATTTGCAACTATTCCTTTTAGTGGCTTACTGTTAACTAACAACCAAACAAACAAACAAAACTAACTGGGGTGATAAACTATTTGTTGTCAACTCGATCAGGTGGCCTGTTAGGACAATAAGCTTCAACCACACGGGAGAGTTCATAGCTTCTGCAAGTGAAGACTTGTTCATTGACATAGTACGTTTCCTAAAACTTCCTTTTATCTTCAAACCGATACCAATTTGTTTGTCTGACCCTGCAATCCTTCAAAACAGTCCAATGCTCAAACCGGTGGGACAGTTCATCAAATCCCTTGTCGAGCTGCCATGAACAGTGTCGAGTGGAACCCCAAGTACAATTTACTTGCATATGCTGGGGATGACAAGAACAAATATCAGGCTGATGAAGGTGAATGATATCATAAATCCAATCTCACTCCACTTGATTTTTCATGTTATTGCAGGTGTTTTCCGTATATTTGGCTTTGACTCGCTCTAGAGTTTGTTTGTTCTAGAGAATGTGAAATATTGTCTCGTATGCATTTCACTTCAACTTGTAGTAGTATCAAGTTAATTATGACCAACAAGCTCTTAAATCCCAGTTGCTTGGAAGAATGAATGTAGTTAGTTTTATTGATGGATGAATGAAAGAAAGAATGGCAGTTCACACAAGCAGTGTGTGTGGCGGCACAAGTACATGAAGTTCCCAAAGTAGGCAAGTCTCTGAGACTAGTAGTAGCCGCATTCCTCCTGTCATCTCAATCTCCGAGTTCTGTCATAGTATTTGTTGCATGCATAACACCATTAGACCAATTCTTTTGCATTCATATGGCAACGGACTATTAAACGCTGCACCACATTTTGTGCACGATGTGTTATCTTTTCTTGCTCCCCATCCTCATTCGTCACCAACACAAATCTGCACATTTCAACTACAGAAGAATCCAATATCAGATCTTCACCTCAAGGTAATGAAACCAGGCTACCTCGACAAGATCTCAACAAATAAATCAATCAATCATTTTACCTCGAACCATCATCTTCTGTCGCCATAAGTCCTCAGTTTTCCCCTGCTGTACTAATATCCGCCGCAAATAACTAATCTCGAAGCCAAAACGGCCAATCCGGCAAAGCAGAACAAACCGATTGCCACTGAGTTCTGAGAAACCCAAGTCACCGGCTTCCACTTAATCTCCACGCTCGAACTCTTCATCTTCTTGCCACCAGCGCAGTAGGGATCTATCCCCAGCTCAAAGCTTCCTCCTTTCATCCTTAGTTCCTGAATACACCTCGCCACCGCGCGGCCGTTGCACCGATCCCTCCCCACTTTCTTCCACACCTTCCAGTACCTGTACAGCTGGACCTGTACCAACCACACAAACACGAGTGAGGTGCACAAGGAAACTACCCCTGGTACCCACCATTTCCCGCACTTCCTCTCTCCAGAAGAAGAAGAAGTAAAGAGGATGGTGAAGAAGAGTCCGTGGAATATCAGGAAGAAGGAGCAGAGCTGGAAGATCTCCCGCTTGATAGAATCGAGTCGCGATTCCTTGGTGGCGATCCGTCGCCCGCTGAGATCCTCTTCCCTCTGCCACAGCTTCAGGAGGAGTAAGTGGCCCGGGCTGCGGGAGATCTCCGTCAGCGGGTGGTTCTGGATCGCCGTTGCAACGACGACGAGCTGCCTCTGCTCGTCATCGTCGACCGGGATCTCCACCACGTGATGAGATTCCGTCATTGCTAGAAGAGTAATGGAAAATGAACTGTAACTGAACTGAAAATATGGAAACAGAGTATAACACGAAGAGCAATGCAGAAAAAACAAGAAGAAAATGAATGAGCAGTAAGACTGGGGAACAGAAAGAAAGGAAGGAAGGCGAATTGAGAGATTGAGATTGAGAATGAATCGATTGCTTGGTAATGGAGGGAAATAATGGAGGGGAAGTTTCAGGTATTTATAAATTGCTGGAAAAACCGCCTCTGATTCAACGGCTACTTTCTTTAACGGTAATGTTGGTTTCTTCTTTTTATTTATTATATTACTTCGCGGGCCTTTAGGCTCCTGGATTCCCCAGGCAATGATTGGGCTTGGGCCCAACAAACCCAACCCAGGATTGGGGCCGGTTTGTGGGCTTGTTGTAACATAATCAAAGTTTAGTGGCTCGGGAAATCCAATATATATATTTTTTATAGGATAGCATTATTAACCCATTTAATTATTCCACAATTTACCTACCCTTTCAAAAAAAAAAAAAATTTACCTACCCTTTCGACGAGGATTCATCCATTTGGGAAGCGGCAGCAATTTACCCGCGCTGGTTAGATCCTGTAGCTGCTGCCGCCCCCAAAAAGTCTTCGCCGGTAGCGAGTCGTCGATGGATTCCCCCTCCCCCGGGGAAATCGCCGGTCAGCCGTCGTCTCTTTCTTTCTTTTCCATTCACAGTTCTTTCTTGTTTAATAAAAAACATAACTGACCCAACCCACAAGCCAAAATAAGCTTAAAAAAAACCCACTCCAAAATCTACCTCGCGCTATAAATAAATACTCTCCCAGTTTCACTGCAGCAAAACATCAAACACCTTCCCTTCATTTTCTCCCAATTTCAATCCCTTGAATTCCGATTTCTCTGAATCCAGTTGTCGGGTTTGGAGAAAGTGATATGCACCTGTACAATGCATGGCTGCCGCCGCCGGTCGCGGAGGAGACGAAGAAGGAAGGGGAGGCCTTCTCCCGCGTCGTGAGCTCCATGCGAAGCTCGTACAAACCGGACGATCCTGATTCCGTCTACGCCACTATCAAATGGATTTCCGTCCTCGACGTGTGAGAGGAATTGTGGAATCGCTTCGGCTTCCATTTTGCTGATTTGACTTCGGTAATTGGCTATTTGTAATGGGGTTTCTGTTTAATTGTTTGCCTATCTTCTTCTTTTTCCAGCTTCGTCAAGGCTAAGAGCGACGTGGCCTTGGAAGATGTCACTGCCGTCGTGGAAATTGGGCTGGAGCTGTTCGGTGTCTCGCAGGACAAGCTTTATGCTCAGGTATCTCGATCATTTTGTGGCCATGTTCTCTTTTTCTGTTCCTTCTGTTGTTTTACTTAGCTCTAGGCGTTTGCGAATTTTGCTTTGTTCAGGTTAGATGGGGGAATATCTTGGTGAGAGTGCTTAATAAGTATAGGAAGAAGTTGTCTCTGAAAATACAATGGCGCCCTTTATACGATACTCTGGTTCACACTCATTTCTCAAGGTTTGTATATATTTTTTGGCAAGATGTTCTGAAAAATTGGGCGGAAAGTTTCAGTTGAACTGTGTATTTCCTACTTCCCGTACTTCACAAAAATTACGGTTTCATAACAGGAGTACTGGTCCAGAAGGGTGGAGGCTTAGGCAGCGACATTTCGAGACCGTCACTTCGCTTGTTAGATCATGCAGGAGGTTCTTTCCTGCTGGTTCAGCCTTTGAGATTTGGTCTGAATTTAGGTGCGTGGATTGCATCTACTTTCAAATATTCCTGCTTTGTGGTTTCTTTCTTGCAGCTTAAGTAATACATGCTAATTTCATGTGTCCTCGATACTGGAAACTTAGCTAGTTTCACATGTTTATTTCGAATATGGACAGTTACTTATCTGCTGCCATTTGATTTCCCCGCTGACACATCCTTTATACAGAAAGTTTCATGCTTGTTTAGGATAGGCTGTTGCTTCTTCCGTTCTCACTATATTAATGTATATACATAAAAGATAAATAAGACGATCTGCCTTTAACAATTTTTGAGCTTACTATCCTCCCTTTTCCATTGTGCAATACTGATAAATGGTCGAAGTCTTTGCAGTTCTCTAACGGAAAATCCGTGGCATAACTCATCTTTCGAAGGATCTGGATTCGTACGACTATTCCTCCCAACTAATTTGGAAAACCAGGATTTTTATACCAAGTAAGGACGGCTACTTTTGGGGTGTTATGATCCATTTTGACCACATTTATACGACAATCTTGAAGCCCATTCTTTCATGACAGTGATTGGGTGAGAAAGACTATGGAGCTGTGGGAATCTATACCAAATTGCCAATTCTGGAACAGCCAGTGGGCAGCCGTTATAGCTCGAGTCATAAAGAACTATGACTTCGTAGATTGGGAAGGCTTCTTACCTGTGCTATTCACTCGATACTTAAATATGTTTGAGGTAATTTTGCTTGGTACTTCAGTTCCTGCCCTGATATTGTAACCTAGTAGTTTTCGTGCTTTTGGGTTTACCACTGTTTATAGCTCGGCCTGCATCTACACCTTCTTATATGGCATATGCAGTGAATGGGAGGTATCTGTTCCTTGGATTACTGTTTTGCTTAGGAATTTTGCTTGGTTGCTTGAAGTTTCATTGAATCCGTGCCAATTTGTATGTATTGACAATCTATTGTGATAAGATTTTCATGGCCGTCTTTCCTTTTATTCTGTTTTCTATCCTCTGTAACTTTGATAATCTATATTCTTAGAATTTTGAATATTTGGACGTCTTCATGCAAATTTTCTGAAACTAACAGGTTCCAGTGGCGAATGGAAACGGATCATACCCCTTCCCTGTTGATGTCCCTAGAAATACAAGATTCTTATTTTCGAATAGAACAATGACCCCAACAAAAGCTATTGCTAAATCAATTGTAAGATTGACAATCCTACTCCACAGTATTACTATATATGTGTCTCTATGTGCATTCTCATGTGCCACCTTCTATTTGGCCCCAATGCAGGTCTATCTACTGAAGCCTGGTAGTTCAACAGAAAAACACTTGGAGAAATTGGTCGACCTCTTAGAACAGTTTGTTTACCACACTGTCAACTCACTACTGCCATCTCAAATCTGTGGATTTGTTGGTGCTTAGTTCATTGTTGTCTCTTTGTAGGTATTACCACCCATCTAATGGTGGCAGGTGGACTTATTCATTGGAGCGGTTCCTATTGTATTTGGTAATTACATTCCAAAAGCGCTTACAGCATGAGCAATTGTAAGAATATATTGACATTGCTGTCTTATCTTATGTACTGTATGCATGGTATACTATATGTTTGAATCCTTCTTTGAAAACACTGGTGTTGCAGGAACAAAGATAACGATATATATGCTCACCTATTTCTGGGAAGACCAGAGAGGACGGCATTTGTCAAAATATTATTGAAATTAATTGATCGTGGACAGTACAGCAAGAATGAGAATCTCTCTGAGACTGTAGCTGCAGCAACTTCTATCCTATCCTATGTGGAACCCTCGCTAGTTCTACCATTCTTAACATCCCGATTCCATCTGGCCTTGGAGACGGTATGTATTGTATCATGTATCTGTTGCCAGAATAATTTTTTTTTTCTGTAAAAGTTTACTGAATAATTGTGCTTCCTCTATCGGCATTTGAATTCTGTTTCTCATCACCTTAACCTTTGCATTTTGCCTACTTTTGTGTCTAGTCAGATGACTGCCACCCACCAGTTGAAAACTGCCGTGATGTCCGTGGCATTTGCAGGACGCTCATTGTTCCTGACATCCTTGTCAACCTCTGCCAAAGAGCTACACCTTGTTGGTGATAGTAACACATTCATGGATCTTCTGATGATTTCATTATCGAATGCATTACTTGGTATGGATGCTAATGATCCTCCCAAAACCTTGGCAACCATGCAGTTGATTGGTTCTATATTTTCTAATGTAAGTTGCCAGTCGATGAGTGCCTAAAGAGAAGTATTTCGTTTATACTGTCAACCAATGGATGCAATAATTGTGCACCGTTGTTTGCAGATTTCTACTTTGGATGATAGCATGGTTGACTCATCATTCATGCCAATGATTCAGATGTCTGAGTGGTTAGACGAGTTCTTGTGTCGGTTGTTCTCCTTACTTCAGCATTTGGAACCTAGCAGTGTCGTGTGAGTAGCAGGCTTCAGTTCTTCTGATCACCATGTTTTGCTTATCTTTAAGTCCGAATTTCAAGTTACACCTTCCCACTTTCCAGTGCCTGAGAACAATTAATCACATGTCTGCAGGAGTGAAGGTTTACACTCGGCAGCAACGTCAGGGACATTTTTAGTTGAGGATGGTCCTTATTACTATTGTATGCTTGAAATCTTGCTGGGAAGGCTTTCAAAATCACTGTACAATCAGGTTCAGTTCTTATCTCCATTTTCACATACTGTTCATTTCTCTAAATGATGTAGCTGTGGTTTTCATATCAGTTCCATGTTCTGTGACAGGCGTTGAAGAAAATTGCCAAGTTTGTAAGGACAAATATTCTTCCTGGTGCAATTGCTGAGGTTGGCTTGCTTTGCTGTGCATGTGTGCATTCGAACCCTGAGGAGGCCGTTTCTGCTCTTGTAGACCCTATGTTATCTGCTGTTATATCTTCCTTGAAAGGGACGCCAGCAACTGGATTTGGAGGAAGAGGGGTCCTTGAGACCTCAGTTTCGTCGAAGGTTCTGCATCTGTTTGCTGAATTCAGTTCTAATATTTCTTAAATGTTTTTTACCGAGTCTAGCATATTGAAGACCATTATATTTGTTGGTCAGATTTTATTCCTTCTCATCTAGAAGGAAAACTTTATTGGTTCTATATGACCAATGAGCGCGTTAAAAGTATCCTTTTTTTTGTAAATTTTTTTATGCACGAGGGCGGGCTATCTCCTATACACTAACTTAAGTATAATTCTAAATAAATACGATTCCTATTTTCAGGCAAAACCAACACTGTCTCCAGCTCTTGAAACATCAATTGATTGTCAATTGAAAATACTGTCAGTCGCAATCAATTACGGAGGCCCTGTCCTTCTACATTACAAGGATCAATTTCTAGAAGCTATAGCATCTGCCTTCGAATCTCCCTCTTGGAAGGTCTTGGTTTTCTTCTAACTAACTCTACTTCTGTGCATTTGTGAATTAGTTGAGCAATATGTTTGCTCAGATGTTTTATTTTTGCTAATCTACTGGCATCGGCATTTTCTCCCCCTCATAATCTTTATGTTACTGGGTACTTCCTTATCTTTTAGGTTAATGGAGCTGGTGATCATCTTCTTAGGTCCCTCATAGGAAGCCTGGTCCTTTATTACCCTGTTGATCAGTACAGGTATAGAATATCATCTGTGACTGTTGCTTTGCTTTCTGAATGGTTAGTGACTTCTCTTCTGACAACCACAGCAAATAACTGATTATGTTTGTTCCTCAGGTGCATTTTATGGCACCCTGATGCTAGGGAATTGGAAGAGTGGATTGGCACAAAAGATTATGGTAATGAGGACCCATCTATCGCGCCCAAATGGCATGTTCCAAATGACGCTGAAGTTCAATGTGCGAATGAGCTTTTGTACCTTCATTTGCAATCAGCTTTAGATGATCTATTGAGGATTTGCCGAGATCGAATCCATTCCGATCCAGGTCATGTCTGCTCATGCCATCCTGTTCCTTTTCTTCTGCATCCTCTTACTTGCGGTTGCTATATTGATTTTATGGTGACATGTGCACATCCTGTTACTGTTTTCTGGTGTAATACTATACATAAGTGAGTAATCTTGTGTGTATGTAGCTTTTCCTAATATAAGTTATAGCGTCTGCAGTAGACCTAGATTTCAGTTGCATACATAATGCTCAATGTATGTGAACATTTGAAAAGTGTCATTCCAAAATCTCTAGGGTGTACTGTAGACTATCCTATAATATATTACTGTTTCCCTTTTCCTGATTCTTTTTTATTCATTAGCAGGCAATGAGAAAGAGCACTTGAAAGTGACTCTTTTGCGGATTGACTCTTCACTGCAAGGTGTTTTGTCTTGCTTACCTGATTTCAGCCCAGCCTCCAGAAATGGGATTGTCAACGATCCGTCGTACATAACTAGCCTGATAGCTGGAGCAACAGGTGCAACTGTTGGCAGCTCTGAACTGCGTGAAAAAGCTGCTGAAATTGTACATTCTGTTTGCAAGTAGGTTTAACGCGATTTTCATTTATTTATCTTGTTTCCTGCTCAATTCAATTGATTGTTTTATGCTAAGTATTATTTTGGTCTGCTATAATTGCAGATATCTTTTAGAGGAAAAATCAGATGATAGCATCTTATTGGTACTCATTGTGCGGATAATCGATGCTTTGATAAACTATGGTAATGTCAATTTGTATTTGTTATCTGGAAGGAATTTCAGTTTTTAAGGTGCATATTTGCTTTCTCTTAGATTTTAAAATGTGTGCTATTCTAATATTTGCTACATAGGAAGTCTGGAGTTTGATGAATGGTCAAATCACAGGCAGGCTTGGAAGTTGGAATCTTCTGCTATTATAGAACCTCCCATAAATTTTATAGTTTCATCTCATTCAAAAGGGAAAAAAAGGTGAGGTGGTCGTATTTACTTGATAACTATCTTACTTATTCATAGGAATATTGAATAGTGACTTTATTTGTCTATGACAGACCTCGATGGGCTCTTATTGACAAAGCTTACATGCATAATACATGGAGAACATCGCAATCGACCTACCATCTTTTCCGTACAAGTGGAAGTTTCTCTCCATCTGAGCATGCAATTGTTTTGATGAATGATCTACTCAACCTGTGTCTGCATAGCTATGAAACAGTTCGAGGGTAAGTCCTCCAATTGTGTTGCGTCCTGAGATATTTGTCATTTCTTGTTGTTGCATCAAATGTATTGTCTGTTTCTTGGATATTTGCATAACATCATATGCAACATTTTGTTTGATCTATTTCAGTGCCCCACTTGCTTGATACTCATTACCAATTTGAATTACTGACTAATTTCAGACTTGCTGGCAAATCTCTGCTCAAGATGATTAAGAGATGGCCGTCTATGATCTCCAAATGTGTGCTTTCTCTTACTGAAAATTTGAAGAACCCAACTGCTCCAGAATGTGCAGTCTTAGGCTCTTGTGCTGTGCTTTCAACTCAGACTGTTCTCAAACATTTGACAACGGTGATTGTTCTCAAGAAATCAATTTTCGTTTGCATATTACCATGGTCTTTAATTGGCTGAGAGAACTTTGCTTTGCAGGATCCAAAAACATTCTCTTCATTTCTTCTCGGTATCCTATCAAGGTAGTTCTTCTTGGCTTCTTCATTTTCTTCCCTGACCGAGTAACATACAGAATTGGATTGGATAAATTGCTAGTATCCTCTTTGTTATCAGCTCTTTCACTTAAACCTTTTGATTTTCCAGCTCTCATCATGAGTCCCTGAAAACCCAGAAGGCAATCAATGAGGTATATTCACATTGCTCTAAATAGGTGAATGAATGTCTTGTCTATTCATTCTCTTGATGTTTTTTTATTTATTTATTTACAACAGCTTTTTGTCAAGTACAACATCTACTTCTCGGGACTATCCAGGAGCATTTTCATACCATCAGGCAGTGAAGTGGGTGGTTCAGATTTTTCAGATTTGGTTTCTCAGATTATATCAATGAGTTTTGAATCTTCTGGCTTGCACTGGAGGTAGATGTCTTATCATAGACGTGCTTATTGTTAGAATAGTTTGACTAAACCATATTGAAGACTAAGGTCCTTCCAGTGTCAGAGTCACTCTAAGGAAATGGTCCATTTGATTCTTATACTAATTGAAAGTCAGCTTCAAACTTCTTCAAGAAAGTCAATGATTGGAGCAAAATTGAAAGTCGGTTCTTGGTCTTGTGTAGAGTCGGTAGATGGGATTAATAACTGCATCAAGAATGACCACCATTATTTATAAGACAAAATGTGGAATGCTGAACCAGAACATTGATATAAATAATTTTATGCTATGTTAGCTACTTTCTGTATTTTTCAATATTATAGTCAATAATAAGTCAATCTATCAATCATGTGCAGTGAAAACAAAGGAGAGTCTTTGCCACCTTCTGTCTCTGTCTGAAAGTTGGTTTTCCTGATTTTTGAACACTTACTTCTTCCTTTTGCCAATATGTTTCCAGGTATAATTTGATGGCCAATAGAATTCTTTTGCTGTTGGCTATGGCTTCTAGAAATGACCCAACCTTCTCGAAAATCTTGAGTGAAACTACTGGTAGGTTTTTATTTGCTTATTGTGATTTGATGGGGTTTGAGTGAGTGACTAAAGTTTTATCAGTGTGATCTTCTAAAGTTCAACTATATTATACTTTTGTAGGTCACTTCCTGAAAAGTTTAAAGAGTCAACTTCCACAGACCAGGATGCTTTCAATCTCAGCACTGAACACACTCTTGAACGAATCGCCATATAAGCTTTCAGCTGCAAATCAAGGTGGTCCACCGGAGGATTTACACACCAATGTCAAATCTTCCCTTGAAGGAGCATTAAGTGAAATTTTTCAGGAGGAGGGATTCTTTCACGAGACATTGAATAGTCTATCTCATGTGCATATTATCACCGACAGTGATGGTTCTTCCAGAGGAAATCATGGGAACTCTTCTTTTCAAAGCCTGGCAGATAAATCAATCACCCGCTTCTATTTTGATTTTTCATCCTCTTGGCCTCGCACACCTAGCTGGATCTCTCTACTTGGGGTTGATAGTTTTTACTCTAGCTTTGCAAGAATTTTCAAGCGGCTGGTGCAAGAATGTGGCATGCCCATTTTGTTGGCTCTAAAAAGCCCATTAGAAGATTTTGCAAATTCTAAGGAAAGGTCTAAGCAGTGTGTTGCAGCAGAAGCATTTGCAGGTGTGTTGCACTCTGATGTTGATGGTGTATTAGGAGCGTGGGACAGCTGGATGATGGGTCAGTTACAGAGTATTATTCTTGGTCAGTCGGTGGAGTCGATACCAGAGTGGTCAGCCTGCATACGGTATGCTGTCACTGGAAAAGGAAAGTATGGTACAAATGTTCCCCTTCTGAGACAGCAAATTTTGGATTGTTTGATAACACCCCTCCTTCCGACTGCAACAACTACTGTAGTTGCAAAGCGTTACACTTTTCTTTCTGCTGCACTCATAGAGATATGCCCTCAAAAGATGCCTGTGACTGAACTGGAGATTCACAATAAACTTTTGAATGAATTGTTGGCGGATATGTGCCATTCATCAGCCCAAGTAAGTATAGATATTCTTTTGTCTTACTTCTGGTTGCCTTGAATATCACACTCATATGTTTTAATGCTTTTTATTCTTATGAATGAATTGTCCATTGCCTATGTGTTTCTTTTCCCTGTATACAAATATTTGATTGTACCTGAGATTCTTATAAGAAACCGAATGCGTTGTTTATTTGAAATGTACAAAATGGAGTGGGTAACAAGAAAGAATCATGAAGAGAGGTGGTTGTGCTTTGCTACTATATACTTTTATAATCCTAAAGGAAACCAGCCTTTCCTTCCCCAACCTTTGCGCTCTATGTGTAACTTGTTTTGCTTAGTTAAAGTAGCTTTTCCTTTTCCTGGTCATTTTCTAATAATTAACTTGCATGGAACAGGTAAGGGAAGCTATAGGAATCAACCTCTCTATATTGTGCTCAAATATCCGCCTCCATTCGTCATTCTCCCATGAAGAGGCTGACCACGGCAGTGACAACCCAAATAAAACAGAGACTTGGGTTGCATTTCTTACAGAACGAGCATCTGAGATGGTCACAAGTATTCAGAATACTAGTCAGACAGACAACATGGAGACAGCGGCTCATTGTAGTGCTGAAAATGGCACATTAAATGGAGATATACAAGATGACGTGAAGTGGATGGAAACGGTACAAATGAGATTTGAGACTTACTCTCTAACTATTCAAATTGGGATATAGAAGCTGGTCGTTCATACAATTCTGACTAACGGAATTTCTTTATGTTTCTTCAGCTCTTTCATTTTATCGTCTCAACTTTGAAGTCCGGAAGATCATCTTGTTTGGTTGATGTCATTGTCAGATTTATCTATCCTGTAATTGCCTTACAGGTATGTGAAGTACTTTCCTTTGTTTATTCTGAAGTTCGTGTTATATATTGTTGAGTTTTGCCTGTGGGCCAATTTCAGGAAACATCAAATAAGGATTTATCAACTCTGGTGAAGGCTGCTTTTGAGTTGCTAAAATGGAGGGTGTTTTGGGAACCTCATCTTCAGAGGGTTGTTGAAGTCATTCTTTCTTCTTCTACTGATTCCAACTGGCGGACCAGATCAGCTACTCTGACGTATCTACGTACTTTTATGTATAGGTGTGTACTCTGTTGTTGTTGGGCTTTCAATATTCTACTTGTAGGAAAATTTTCAGCTGTTTCAAATGTCTTTTCCATACGAAAGGTGTCTCCTTTTCTGGATTTTAATTTCATGTCCTTTTACTAAGTGGTTTTCTGGAGGTCGGGTTTATTTTTAAGATTCCTTCTGTTTGGTACTCTAGTTCACTCATTCGTCTGCCAGATTGGCATTAGAGATTTGTCAGTTTGTTGGATAAGGTCTTTCACTAGCATATTGGATATAGCCTAAATTCTGATATGTACCATTTTCTTATTTCCAGGCATACTTACATACTCTCTAAAGCAGAGAAACAAAAAATTTGGAGAACTGTGGAGAATCTGCTGAGAGACAATCAAGTCGAGGTAATTTCTGATGGAATCTTGAACCAAATGTTAATTTAGATTCGTAAGTCTAAATCTCAGATGGCAATTTTCTTTTCTTATAAATGTGAGACGAGGATGAGATTATAAATTCTTTTCTTCTAATTATTTGGATAGAGATGGTGAATGTCAGGTAACAAGATCCTGTAGGGTAGTCTTCTATCACAAGGCATCCATAGCTTTGAGGCTAGGCACGTGAATTGGATGAAGGATTTACCTTTTAACTCTATCTTTGTTTTAACAAAAAATGCATTTTTTCCAGGTAAGAGAGCATGCTGCAGCAGTTCTTGCAGGTCTAATGAAAGGTGGGGATGAGGACCTTGCTTGTGATTTCCGTGAGAGAGCTTTAGCGGATGCAAGTGCCATGCAACGGACGAGAAAGCAGCAGAGGTTAGCTTCGTTGCCATGATTTCATGCACATTGAATTTAGTTTCTGAAGAAATGCCTTTTTGTATGTGAATTTTGGTCTCGTTTTGATGATGACAGGAATCTAAGAAGGGGCCAATCGATATCATCCATCCATGGTGCTGTACTTGCACTGACGGCTTCTGTATTATCTGTGCCATATGATATGCCCAGGTACAGATATCGGATTAACATCCTGCAATCTTTTCGTGGAGTTGCATTGTTTTCCTTCTACAGTCTATGTATGCATGTGCAAGAGTACCTTATTTTTGTGAACAGCCAATTCTAAGGATTCTGCAAAGAGCTCATGAATAGAATGAAGGCTATCATCCTACTTCACCAACTGAGTTCTTTCATTAATTCTTATTCTGTTGCTTATTAAGGTGGTTCATCTTCTTAATAAGTAAAACTTTCGGCAAGTGGTCACAGCTTTATGAGCTTTGGTTGTCACCTTGCAATGCCGAGTGCAGGGATTGTTGAGCTGCAAAGTTGACTGGATGAGCGTCCACTCTCTCCTATCATTGGATCTTAATCCAATTGGCTATCCTCTTTGTTAAGTCGTAGGGCTGTAGTTCTTGTTATTTAGTAGATCAGCTGTTTATTTTCCTTAAATTGTTTAGTATATAATCAATCATTTCTTGTTTCAGTTGGTTGCCAGAGCATGTCACTCTCCTGGCACGTTTCGCAGCAGAGCCTTCCCCCATAAAATCCACAGTAACGAAAGCAGTTGCTGAGTTTCGGAGGACTCACGCTGATACTTGGAACTTTCAGAAGGATTCATTCACCGAAGAGCAGCTCGAGGTAATAGATTCGGTCATACCAATTGTTAGTCTACTGATATATTAGCGTGGAACTTGCTGTCCAAAATCTTTTCTGATCTATGTACTGAGGCTATACTTTTCATCAATCCATCGCAGGTTCTTGCTGATACATCATCTTCATCGTCGTATTTCGCCTGAAACAATCACCAATTGAACCGCATCTCGAAACATCCAAAATACTGAATTAGTAAAAAGTGATAGGGGAATAGGCAGAAAATAATGTTTCTCTAGATCGAGGATGTAATGCATGATATTGTATCGGATTTGTGTTTGTATTTACATTTGTTATACACTTATTCAGGTTATGATAGCGATAATATTGGAGTTTATTGGTTTCTTTTTCGTTTCTTTATCTATTTAGTTTGAACTAGTTGATGATCCTTTCCCTAACTCTTTGTCGCCATTTCTGGGACTTTTGTGAACTAGACCCACGGCCAGAGCTTCTCTTTCTGTCTTTGCTTTGGTTTTTCTAAACCATAGGATTCATCAGCTCGTCCGACGGCAAATCCCACAGAACATTGTCGTCGTCATCATCGTCCTCGTCAAGCTTCTCCTCATCCATCCGCCCTCTCCGATTCTCTCCACCTGCGGCGGTACAAGTGCTCCCTGTGCACATGCTCTGGCTCCATGCGTCCCCATCAAACGACGGTGGCTCACCACCGCACTGGAACATGCTACTGATCCCGAAGTGTGCCGACGATGATGCAGGTAACTGGTCGTTATTGTTGGACTCCCAGTTATTGTTAATGTTAGTGTTGCCAGTCTCTTGCATTGCCCTCGATAAGCCCATCTTGATCTTCTCAATCGTGTCCTCGTCATTCTCCTCGTGTTTTGCAGCGACGAAAGCTGGCATTCCAGCAGACGACTGTTGGTTGTGGTGGTGGTTGTTCCCTGCTTGGTGGAGCTGGAAGTCGATCCTTTTCTTGGTGAGCAGGTGGAGCATCTCATCTTTGAAGCAGCCGAGCGCGGCCTCTGCAAGGTGAGCCACCTGGGGTGGGGCGAGGGTGGTGGCTATCTCAGCCATAAGGTGGGAGAATGGCTTGTGGGTGACTGGGTCGATCCCCATCCCGGACAGCTTCTTCTTCAGCTTGGTGTTCCAGTGGTTCTTCACGTCGTTGTCGGTTCTCCCTGGAAGTTGAGCCGCAATCAACGACCATCTGCCAGCCGGCAGCAAGAAGAGAGTAGTTAGTACTGAGTCGCTGTGGGATCACAGCAAAAACAACTAGGGAAATGCCGTGGTGGTGGTGGTGCTTAATTACCTGTTGCCAACGACGGAGTGGAGCTTGACGATGGTGTGCTCCTCTGCATCGGTGAACTTGCCACGCATCAGGTCAGGGCGGAGGTAGTTGGTCCAGCGCAGCCTGCAGCTCTTGCCGCATCTTTGCAGGCCTGACAATGGCAGGAACAAGGATGGATGAGAAGGAAAAGAGAGAAGATTGCATTAGTCAATGTGAAAGGAAGGTAGAAGGGTAAGGGAAAGACCGGCGTTTTTGGGGATGAGGCGCCAGTTGCGGGTACCATGTTGGGCGATGTAGGAAGAGAGTTTGTTGTCTTCCTCGGGAGTCCATTGGCCTCTCTTGACGTTGTCCTTCTCACAACAAGGTATCCTACCCATCTTTTTATATATATATGCACACTCTGTTTTCTTTTTGCTTGGTTACCTCTGTTAGTTTCTTACGGTTTAGTAGTGAATAAGAAACCTAAAAAAGTAAAGAGGGGGGAAAATTGATTTGAAGTGAGGAGGGTGAGAGAGGGAGAGGGAGGAGTATTAATTCTCTAATAACTCTTTAGGTGAGAAAAGAAATGAGGAGGGTGAATAATTCTTATATACAAAAGCAACATGCTAATATTTGCTGCGGTTTTCTTCTTCTTCTTCTTCTTCATAGGTAAAGGATGAGAATGAGAGAGAGAAAGGGTGAAGAAAGGTATGAGAGAGGAAGGGGTATGCATTGCATGAATGGGAATAAAGAATTCAAAGGCTTGTTGGGCGTGTGAATAAGAGAGAGAGAGAGAGAGGCTCTACTTGGAGAAGGCAGGTAGCTCACCCCCAAGACGCCCGGTCAGTCAAGGACTCCCTCTCCCTCCTCGTGTTTCTCTCTCTAGAACATGCATGCTGCTACTTGGATTGGATGGCTTCTTTTTGTTGACTAAAGGTCGTGCGTGTGAGTGAGAGAGAAAGAAAGAAAGAAAGAGGGATTGAGGAGGTCTTGTGCATGGCATGGGGGAGATTTTACTGTTGGTTTGTTGGTGCACGAGTGCATATGCACACAAACCTCCATCTCCCCTCTCTTCTCTCTCTAGAAAGAAACAATGGCCGTTGTGGAACAGGGGATGGGAGGTAGGAGAGGGATGGTCTTCGATTTCATGGTCATGCACGTGCGTTATTAATTGCCTTCGTAGTTGTACACACTGGTATTCTCTCCTAACTTCCTATAGACTAGAGGGGGTAGCTGTTGTGCTCATTGTTCTTGTCACTTGGGTATTCCGAATTTGGAATCTTTACATCCCAAATTTCCAACCATCCATAACTTTGAGCTTATAACCATTCGATAGGTGCATTTTGATAAGTGATTTGGAGAGTAGTAGGCTAGCGTAAATCAAATGTAATCCTTTACGGTTCAACCTCATGAGTTTAATTAATCCCATGACTTTTACCATGCTAAGTGCTAACTAATAGTACATTACCCTCTATAACCCAACTCTTTTTAAGGGGAAATGACATGATAGATTGAAATGTTGCTGTACAAGTAACAACACTTGTCAATCAACAAGACTAAGACAAGACAATACATAACTCATCATACTAACTCCCACACAAACTAAACAACTCGAGTGTGACGTGACGTGACGTGCATGCAGATCAACTAATCACCCCAAGTGTGCGGTGAGGAGGCCTTGAACCGAACCAACGAGAGCGAAGCAAATGAGCAAGAGGCAGAAGACGCTGAACAAATGCAACAGCACCCACTTGAGCGTCCAGGCCTCCACCTCCCTCTGCTTCACGTACATCTCCACCGGGAAATAGATGCTCACCGGCCAGTACATGAACCCTCCCAGCACCCCGATCACCTGGTTGAAGTAGGGGAACATCATCGCGATCGCCGTCGTCGACGCCACGTACAGCGTCCGGAAGCACAGCCGCAGCACCTTCACTTCCACCTTCCGGCCTGCCGCGGGAACTGGCAATTTCACGCTGCTGTGCCGGACGAGGATGCTGTCCGGGAAAGTCTCCACGAACCACTTCTCTGCAGTTGCGAACACCGGCTGGCAGTACACCTGTGCATGTGTTGTTTATACATTTATTGACATCACATTAATTAGTGCCTCATTCATCATATTACCGTCCACTCACAAACTGAGTGTTTGTTATTTTCAGGGTTTATTTGTCCCTAATTATTGTTCGGGCTATTTTGATGGGATGTATTCAGTCAGGTTAATTATCTGGGTAGGTATAGGGAATTAGTTGTATTATATATTCTCTAAAACTACTTCTCTCTCACCTAGCCGAACACTCTTCTCCTCATCTCTAGCCGTCGGTCATCCCTCCTCCGAGAACCGACCTTGGTGTTTAGAGCCAAGCCTTCGGTTATAGAGTTCTCTAAATTTGATGGTCATGGTGACGCACTGTGGCTGTATGCGGCGGAGAGGTGATTCAAGAATCACCCGATGAGAGAGGAGAGGAAGACACATCTGGCGACCTAATTAAGGGGATGCCCTCAAGTGGTGGGAATGAACCGAGAGGGCCTATGCAGCGGCAGGGGAGACTATTTTATGTGTCAGGTTCCATGATGAGCTGCGGTACCAGTTTGTTAGACCTGAAGGGTGGGCATCAGAGCAGTTGGCCAAACTGAAGCAGATCGGCTCAGTGCCGGAGTATCGTGTGGAGTTCATTAAGTTAGGGAACCGGTGCAATGATATGACAAAAGAGACGTTGGTGGGGCTGTGCATGGCAGGATTGCGACCCGAATTGGCGGCAGCAGTTAAGGTCTTTGAACCTGATTCTCTTCGAGTTGCTTTCAGACTTGCAGGTCGCAAGGAGGAGGAGCTAGCCAGCTGGAGGTCTTCGGCAAGGAGGTTCCATAATGCGAGTGGTGGAACAAGCGTCGGCGCAGGCCAAGACGCCGCAGCATCTTCGTGGCCACCGGGAACTGCAAATCCGGTGGCCACTGGTGTCAATCCAAGAGGTAGGATTCCAGCTAGGCTACCGCCGAAGGGGTTCGTTAGATTGACTCAGGCAGAAATGGACTAGAAGCGTAGGGACGGTCGCTGCTTCAATGGTGACGAAAGTTATACGTTGAGACACCAGTGTGCGAAAGGGCACCTGATGCTGCTGATCGAAAAGTGGGAAGACGAGAGCGAGGAAATGGAGACGGACGGGACCGAGGCGAAGAAGGAAGAGAGAAAAGAAGGCCAACCTTGAGGGCAAGGTTGGTTTCAAGGGGGATGAAATGTCAGAAACTCATTATTTTGAAGTTTGTTTGTCGTTAATTATTATTTGGATATTTTGGGAACTATTGAGGTTTATTCGGTCAGGTTAATTATCTGGGTAGGTATAGGGAATTAGTCGTACTATATATTCTGTGTTAGGAGAAAATTGGAGGTTAAACAATAACATAAGAATTATTCTATACAACTACTTCTCACTCTCACCTAGCCGAATCCTCTTCTCTTCATTCCTAGCCGTTGGCCATCCCTTCCTTGGGAATCGACCTCTGCTTCTCTGTCATCTAATTTCTAATTCTTTCTCATCCAAATCCCTAATTCTCTTATCAATCGCAAACTCTAAATCGCACAATTAGATTCGTGTTCTTTCAGTGTTTTACCTGATAGCCACCGAGGATGTGGAGCACAATGCAGGCGTTGGCGAAGTCGAGAAGCCAATGGGGGTGAGTGAAACCAGTCAAGAGGTTTCCTGGAGTGTCTTCCCCAAATGCTGCATACCCGAACCCTCCACAGCAGAGGTAGAACACTGTGGTCACTAGTATCGCCACTGTGGATGCCTTCTTCATCGTCTCATTCTCTGAAGGCGGGGATTTCAAAGTGTCCTGAGTCATCACAAGTCACAACTTAATTAATTGTCAATCACATGATTAAGCCCAAGCATTTGGTCAATTGGTTACCTGGATTTCAATGAGGATTAGAGAGTAGGGATAGGCAAATGCAATGTCCCCAAGCGCTTGAGACACCTTCCACATCTTGTCAACCGGAGTTGCTCCTCTTATCCCTGTCATGCTGCCCTTCACATACCCATTCTCTGCATCCCATTCATCATTACATTACATTACATTACCAAGTGGTTATATATAGCTAGGGCACATGATCAGAAAGAAAGAAAGAAAGAAAGAAAGAAAGAAAGAAAAATGTTTGCCGTACGTACCCAAGACGCGAGCAAAGCCAAGGCCAAGACCAATGAAGGAGTAGGCCAGAGACATTAGAGCAGCAACATTGGAGAGCCACTGAATGTCGTGGAAGTTGGGGATCTGAGACATGAACATCTCAGCCAATCCAAACACCAGCATGTGCCAGCTCATGTCACATGACCCATCTTCTTTCTTCTTCTTGTTGTTGTAAGTGGTGCAGGCTGATTGCTGAATCGACCTCATGCTGATGGCGGCAGTGATGGTGTAGGCAATCCCTATTCCGTACATGCTTGTGTGCACTAGCACCCCGCATGCCCACGCCTTTGTCCTCCCTTACATTACATAAACAAACTTACTTACACGTTAGAAAACCACGACCCGATCGTGAAGTTGTACCGGAGATTAGATTAATTGTTAACGATATTTTTGGGTTCGGAAGGAAGGAAGGACAGAGTAGCTTCAGCATTGAGCTTAGGGCCTTGTTAGCTCTCCTTGCTTGGAGCAGATGATTATAATTAATACCCTATTGATTTGAGTGGAGTCTGACTTTTGTAAAAGCAGCTGAAATGGAGTTTGCTTGCGTGAACCAATTGAGAATGATGTCTTTCCGGTCCATTGATTTCCATACACTTGTGTAAGGATTTAGTATCCAAAATAATCACTTTCCTTGTAATTCTTTCCTAACTTAGATTTTCTTTTTCCTTTCTTTCTTCCCTCACCCAGCAACTATCATAATTTTAGCATATATGTATGCCAAAATAATAACAAACCATGAACAATAGAAAATTAATGCTATAATCCAAAACCATGAAAGGAAATATGTCTTTCCTTCCATGGCTTGCTTTATCATCATCATCATCATGACTTGATAAGAGTTGGTGGGTGATAATGCTTCCACCATACCAAATACATCCAAAAACCTATCCAATATCCTCACTACACAAACAAACAAACATTCCCCACATGTCTTTCAATTTGTATACTAATCCTGATAAGTTGGTCTTGATTTAATCATAGATACAAATAGATTGATATCAATACAATAAAATGTAATCTAGTTGAACATCATCAATCAATTTGATCATTAATCAACAACAAATCTAGTTGAACATGTTTAGATGATGAACTTGTCAATTAGAGTCTAGCCAAAACATCTTAAAGGTAGAGACTTTATGAAAAGATGATGCAAATGAACATTTACAGAAAGACAGAAAGAAAGAAAGATTAACGGTGTGGATGTTTGCTTACCTAGGGTGAGGTTAACGGCCTGGAGATAAGAGCGGTTCCGGGAAGGGCCGAGGAGCGGATGCGGCGACCGGTAGCAGTCGCAGAGCAAGAACGCCGACACCAGAGTCACGGCGGCGAACATCACCATGGCTGCCGGCCCCGCCGCCCACCCCAGCTGGGCCACGCTCCACTGCAGCGACAGCACTCCCGACCCGATCACTCCCGTGATTATGTGCGCCACCGCCGTCCACACCGTCCCGCTCCGCTCAACCGCCGCGGCTCCATCTCCGCCGCCGGAGTAGGACGAGGAGGAGTTCTGGTCTCGCTTTTCTAGGAATGCGACTCGCTTCTCGTCGTCGCCGTAACTAAAAATCACTGCTTCCTGACCGGCTCCCATCCCCGCCGGCATACTACCATCTATGTGTTATAATACACTCTGTTTCCGGTGAGATTTTCAGGGGACTTTCGATTGAGCGCGAAATAGTAGGGGACTGAATGCAAAGATTACTTCTTTCTTTGGTGTTTATCTGTACTGTATATAGGGATTGGATTGGATTGGAGCGTGGTGGGCAGTGCGCTTTTGTAGATGATAGCTAGCTGAAACAGTTGCGACGATCCCGCTAGAAAATCCGCGCTTCCTTCTCCTCCGTCCCGTCCCCTCCTCCTTTTATATATCACTTCACTGCCTTTCTGGAAAGGGGGAAAAAACACAAACTATTTTCCAATTTCTTTTTCTATATAAATTTATTAGTCAATTCTTAACTACTGGCATGAGGACATCTGTTGTTTCCGGCCAGGCCACCAATGAGTTTTGTCGTGTAGCATCACAACAATTAAAGAATGAATTCAATCATGTGATGAACGAGTTGGCCAAGTCATGTGTGATTGAGTAGAGTTGATGAACAGAGGTTTTGGATTCCAGGTGTCCCCAAGAGTAAATAGCTTGCTCCTACTGTATTGAAGTTCTTGATTAAAACCCCAAAAAGAAGGTAAACGTTACATCAATGCAAATACGAGGTGGTTTGAAGCCTCTTCTGGATTCTCAGAATACATGCACTTCCGATTACATATCATTCTTGGGAAGTAGGACCATGTGATGTCGATAATAACATATCATTCTTGAGATCAATGAACATATTCTTATTGGACTCCTCTCTTCACCCCAGAGAAAAAGGGCAGGGACGACCTAGCATAGTTGGTCAGCAATCTAACGTCGTCATTGAGCATGCTTCTTGTTGTTTCCACATATTACACAACAACGGACAGACGGCCTAATCGTGAAACAATAACAACAAACTTGATTCTCAAGCGTGACTCGTGTACAACATTAATCGACAATGAAAACTTACATCCATTTCCTTCCCTCGGCTGAAGGTAGGGAGGAAGGAAGGTGAGACACAAATTCATACAACAAGATGAAACAGCATTCACCAATGCCACCGCAGCAATTGCAGATTGAAATGATGATGCTGACACTTTGAATTGTGGGAAGGCCAACACAAGGATCTCGGGTTTGGTTGAACGATTGGTCGTTGCAAGAATCCGATGACCAGACCAGACCATAGTACAAAGCCATACACCGAAGCTGCATTTTGTGGGAGAAAGAGGATCAAAATGGCTTCTCAAACCCCTGTGGTGTTGGCTGCTCCCAGTCTGGTATAAAACCTGCAGGAAAATTTTGCAAGTGTTACCAACCTACAAGAGAATGGCAGGGTAATGAAGCAAATGCTATTGATAGGAGTATGCTCTTAGCAAGGGACCATGAGAATCCTACAGTCTAAAATATTCCAAAGAACAACACTAGGAATCGTCAACATCATCCATCTACCTTGCTTCAATAGCTCTATCACCTATAAAGGAAGTCACTGGTCATGCATGGGAGCTGAAACCTAAAGACACTTCCTTTAACTGATCTACCTGAGAAAATCATATACACCGAGGAGAGCTGACCAATAACTCCTTTCGATTCTCTAAGCAAACATGGTTGAACATGGGCAAAAGTCTTGCTATGACGCCGACTCCTTAAGCAAACAAACATGAAAAGAAGCAAAGCACTGAATTTAAAGATCAAACATACTTAATGGTATTTCTTCAAGGGACGTATAAATCGAGTCATCATATCCAAGAGTTCCCTGAAACAAACAAGAGAATATGCAGTTATTTGACCCATCAAGTTGAACAGTTTGCCTATGCTTTCACATGAACCAGCACGGTTGTGATAATGTTGAAAGGAAAATTTATTTCCAGTCAAGTGCTTCTAGTACTTTCCGTACCTCTGCATGGTGAAGGCCCATTTCATTCTGCAGTGGGTTAATGCCTTCAGTTACGGACGTACAGCTTGAGAAAGTGCTAAGGAACTCCGAGATTATAAGACCATCATAATTATCTTGAACGTCAGTTATATGGCCAGATGCTTGTGCATTGCCAGAAAATCCCTCTGTGCCACCAAATTCAACTTCCATCCTGAAAATATGAACTAAAAGTCCAAATGAACTTGCATACTAAACAATCAGAAATAAAACCAAATCCAGACAAAACAACAGAACAATACGAGAGAAAAAACAGAGACACGTACTTATTCTGTGAACTTCCAACAGCCTCGTTTTCTGGAGGGGAAACATCATTCTCCAGATCAATTATTTCTATCTCCTTACCGGTACTGACATGCCTAACATATTCATTAGGCATCTTTGCATTACTCATCGACAAATCAACACTTGCTGTTGCTTTTTGGGAAAGCACAACAGGCGGGAACATAAGAACCGACTCATTGCCCGTATTGTCATGGATATCGGAAGATTCCATCAGGTTTAAATCGCATATCTTGAATGAACCAGGAAACTGCTGCTTCTCTTGATCATATTCGTCATCAATATCCTCTGGGCACTCACGACTATTACCCAAACTACTTTCAGTTATCAACGGCTGCTGAGCAAGTGAAACCACTTCCTCTTTTGGAGTCACGAGATTTTCTGTCACTTTATTGGCAACATTAGGAATGAAGATAGGAAGAAGATTCTCTCTAGGTTTTTTCTGTTGCTGACTCGTATCACTGTCATCTGCAGGACGCTTCTCGCCTCTTTCCTTAACAGAGCTAGACCTTCCAAATTTCACTGCTTCATTGCTTGTTTCAAACTCGTTATCAACATCAAAAACTCCATCTGAGAACGACCGAGACCTGATGCACTTGCCATGCTCCGATCCATATGCTGGGCTTACTTTGTTATCCTCCTCGTCACACTGAAGAGGCAACTGTTGAGATAATTCAGCATGGGAATGCTTTGGATCATTCATCTCGCTTACTTCCTCAACAATAGTTGGAAGGGGATCATCACATGCAACATCTTGATCTAAGACATCTGAGCCTTTGGGCGGTACAGTTACCAATAAGTTTGCTCCATCACTAGAAACATGATCAACCTTGGAAACCTTGCTGGTCAATGCAGATCGTATTTTTGTCGGTATCTTGACAAGGTTGCAGAAAGCTAACAAATCAGATCCATTTTTGCTTGAGATATCATCCTCAGGAACAGTTTGTGTGCCACTTTCATCATTTTTAAAATCCTCCATCTCTTCATTCCCGGGAGTCAAGTCCACCGAATCTTTAGGCCCCTTCAAAACTTCAGTATCGGCCTCCTCTCTCTCAGCACCAGGAGAGCTTGCCTTGGAAACCGAATTATCAGGGGGGCAATTGTATTTCTCGAATCCCGATTCGTCGCCGTCAGCTGCTTCCTCTTTTTCTGGTCCTAATGCATTATTACGATCTGATACCTGCAGCCGATCATCCGTACCCTTACTGCCTTGTTGCACTTCATACTGACCCTCCCCTTCAGGTGACTCCCGATTTCTCTCCGACCCAGAACTACTCCTTCCAGAGTCTCTCACCCACTCGGAACTGTAACTCCGAGGATAATCACCTCTTCTCCGCCCTTTAGACTGATTCCTAGAACCAAACTCATCGGTATATCTTCTGTCACTTGAGCCTGCATCAGAAGAACCAGTACCTAATCTTGAGTGGACGGATACCCGGCCCTCTTGCACTGGTGGGGGCTCTTGCTGTAGATAATCACGAGACACTTTCTTCAAGCTACCATTCTGCCACTTCCCAGCAAGTGCATTCTGAGGTAACATGCCTTTGGAGACTAGATACTCAGCAGCAAGCCTACCAGCCTCCATCAAGATATCGCCTTTGCGAGCCGGCAAATCGGGTGGTTGCTGAAAGGCTCTTTGCTGGTGCCCAGGAGCATGGCCATGACCACCACGGACAAAGCCTCGATTGCGGAAGGTTCTGTACTCAGAGTTATAGAACCCATGACCACCACCCCTAGCTGAACCATCTGGGGACATCCTTGAGCCACCGCCAAAGCCCATTCCCATAGAACCTGACCTATTATAACCATTTCCAGGATTTCTATGCCTAGCATGCATCTTCCCCTCTCTTTCTGATCTAATCCAGCTAAGAAACCAACCAGGAAATGAAGCTATGGGACAGAGTTGCAAGTTCACAACTTTCAATTAGGCAGACCCTCTGCCAAACTACCCTTCAATATTTCGAACCCCACCAAGTCAAGTTGTGAATTGTGATCCCCACGCCCAGATTCCAAAAGGACCCAAACCCCAAACCCTGCAAACAAAAATAAAAATGCAATCTTTAAGCTAAAAATACGTTCAGCCGCCACGATCCCAGTGAATTTGTCCAGATCAGCAGATGAACAATCGAAATTAAACCAGCAAATGTTGTAGATCGGGCTCCAAACATCTGGATTGTTCCATGAACAGTTGAAAATCTGACCTTTGATCCAACGTTCAGGCCAAGTGCGTATAGGGTTTTGGCGCAAGTCAAAAGGGCGCCTCCAACTGTCCAGCTCTGATGCAGTTATTTAGGGTTCGCGAGGTAGCAAGAAGCCAGATTTATTGAATCCCACAAGTTCCTTCATCGTCGTCTTCTGCTTCACCATCATCATCAAGTCCAATTGTCCAGACGAAAGGAAACCCTAAGGAACTCGGTGTTCATCTCCAATTCAGAGGAATAACAGTTCAGAACTCGTTGGTTGATATCCGGGGGGAGAAAGTAGCAGCAGAAATGGTAATGGCAGGCAAGGCAAGCGAATCAGAGAGAGCCTTGCTGGTGGGTTTAGCTTAGCTTTAGCTAAATGGTTCTTTCCTTTTTCCGTCACTTTTTCTTGCACTTTCTCAGCATTTCTTCCGTATAAGTATTAGGCACTGTTTCGTTTCCCTCCCCTCAAAATCTCACGAACGAGAATGTGGCCAGCCAACAACCAACGTTTGTTTTGGGTTGGGTGTAGTTTTCTAGACTAGAGACTTTAGGACCTCAGATAGTTTATTTTGCCCTTTTTTCCAACAACTGCACGAATTTAAGAATGGGGAAGGAAAAAAAATAAAAGCGAACAGGTACAATAGTCGGCAATGGCTGGCCTTTTTGGCCTAGTTGGCGCAATTCCAGGGTTGTATGGTTGTCACTTAGATTACAAAAAAAGTTCAAATTTGGTCATTCGAAATATTTAAATTTAGGGTATGCCTACTATGACATGCATGCCATCGTAACATGGACTTTTCGGTCGACCTAATCCTGAAGGCGGTCGACCGAATTGATTAATTTGGGCAGCACGAGAAAGCATTGTGGTCGACCTCAACGACCACCTGGTCGACCGCACTTAGTTTAAGTTGTTATTTTCGGTGGAAATCACGCATTAGGGAAGATGACGGCGAATGCTACATTAGGTCGACCTCACCTTAGACGTGGTTGACCACTTTCGACACGTATAACTGCAACCGCGAACAATCTTCTTCACAAAGGCTCTAAATCGAAAAAAACCTAATTTAGACTTTTGGTGGCGTTGAAGGGGACTTATATTCATATTTATAGAGATTTAGGACGTGAATGGGTCGACCCAATTCGTCTTCTTGTCCAACTGTGGAACCTTTCTACTGTTGGAATCCTTATTCAATACGAATACGGTGTGCATGCGGTCGACCTCTTACTAATGAGGTCGACCTGATAGGTGCACAAGGGCCGGCCTATGAGGTATTTGGGTCGACCTTTCATTATGTTATACCACCAAAGAGGTCGACCATTTTATGTAGACGGTCGACCGCGTCTCTGAACCTCACATAACTGAATTTGTCAATTCGGTCGACCGCCTTGTGGATTAGGTCGACCGAAAAGTCCATGTCACGATGACATGCATGTCACCGTAGCAAAATCCTTAAATTTATTGGTAGTATTTCAGTTTACTGAAATCGTTCACGTTTGGTCACTCTTCGTCCAATCCCGCTAACTTTTGCTTACGTGGCAGTCAACTCTAAAAGTTGACCGTTAAATGTGTGACGTGGCAATTTAAAAATAATAAAAAAATAATTTTTTTAAAATTGTCATCTCATTTCCACCTCATTATCACTTTTATTTAAAATAAATAAAAACCCCTAATTTCTTTTGATCCCCAATACCAATACTCCGGCAGCATACCCCCGCTGTCGCTTCCATTGTTGGCCTTCCTTCCCACGGGACCGGAAATCTCGCATTGTATTAAAAGCATTGTTGGGCGTCCGAATGGACACGCCGCCTCCTGTTGGGATTTTTAGTGGTGTGAATGGAAATAAAAAGGGGAAAGTTTCAAGAGAGTTCTTGAAGTACCATGTTGGTAAGATGTGGGAAGGCACGGCCTTGAATTCGATCGATTTGATATAATATGTGGTTAATCGGTTAAATTGGTTTGTGTACCAAATGAACCAAACCAAACCGAGTTGAACCAAATCGAATCGAACTGATATGGCGGTTGGAATAACCAAACCGGACCAACTACTATAGGCCGAACCGATGCAATGGTTCATTATTTTAAAACGAACCAATGTGTTGGTTGGGGTGTAACCACCCATATGAAGAGTCGCCTCCCTTCGTACGCACCCCTTCATTTTCTATAAATAGCACCTAACCCCCTCTGGTTTTTATATAGATTTTTCCGATACGAAAATTCTGCCAAAATCCAAAACTAGTTTTCTGCATTCTTTTCAAAGAGAAAATAGAGTCAAGTGTGGTTCTCGCCGGTTCGCTGCGTTCGATGGATTCCGGGGTTTGAGGTACCGCTACGCCGGAAAAGGTACGTCCTTTCTATCTTGGGAGGAATCATTCCATAACCTTGGGTACTAGAGGGGAATAAGATTCTTTAAGGAGAGATAGTGAATTCTATCGGCTAGGACGCTTGCATGTGTCTTTGCATGTTTTTCTTAAGCTTATATGTTTGCTTGTGTTGCAAGAAAATAGTATACGTGAACAATTTCCCCAACACCTCCTAGATCTTTCCCGATACGACGGCGGAGGCGAATTTCTTCCCGGGGGAATCCATGTGGGAGATGGAGGGAACGGTGTTGGTCTAAATGTGGCAGCGTAAAGTGTGGGCCCAAGCAAGGATGTATATTGTGGGCCCCATTGCGGCCAATCTGGCGTGGGCGAAAATTACGGGAGAGAAAGATTGGAAGGGGAGAGAGGAGGCTTCGACATTCCAATCGGCGGCGGCGGGGGAGTGGTGGAGGAGGAGAGAGGTCGCGGAGACGGCGGAGTCGATGAAGTGGGACCAGCGACGACAGACGGCAGAGAGGGAGGCGGAAGGGAGGTGGGAGAGGCAATCGAGGAGGAGGTCGTCGGGGAGAGAGGAGAGCGTGGTGCCGGCGGCGGTGAAAGTGGCGGCGGAGATGGGGTGGTGGAAGGATTTTGAGGGGAGTGGTGGGTTGGATTTGGGAGGCAGGATTTCACCAGCCATGAGAAATGCCAGGAGTTGCAGCTCTCCGACATGGTTTGATAATTCGCTTTGAAGTGGAGGAAGATTTCAAAGTGGGATTTTTAAATTGCCACGTCACACATTTAACGGTCAACTTTTAGAGTTGATCGCCACGTATACAAAAGTTAACGGAATTGGACGGAGAGTGACCAAACGTGAACGATTTCAGTAAACTGAAGTACCACCAATGGATTTAAATAATTCAAGTGATCAAATTTGAACTTTTTTTGCAATTTCAGTGACCAACCATACAACTAACCCCGCAATTCCAATTGGAGACCCCAAAAGAAACTAATCTAACAGATTAAGGACCGAATAGCTACCATCCTCAACTTCAGGGACTGAATCGGAACTATTCCCATGTTCCCTGTCCCCTGACCTGTTCAAATCTAAATAAGCCCATAATTTATTAATTTTCCCGGAATTAAATCTAATGGCCCGAAATTCAAATTTCCAGTAAACCCCACTCTGCCACTTTCCCCCAAATCCCAAACCAACGGCACACACAGACACAGTTCTTCTTCCTTCCCACATCCGTCATCCCAAAAAAGTTACAATCTTTCGCTGTGATTCTCGCACGAATGAAGCAGCCAGTGTTCTCGTCAACTTCCTGGAGCCGAATCCACCGGCGGGAAGGAAACTCCAATACCTCCAACTCGTCGACGAAGAAGAAGAAAGAAGGAAGAGAAGAACAGGGGAACAGCAGTGGCAGTAATAATAGAAACCCATTTCAAGATCTCAGCAATGGCGGCAGCTTCACTGATGTCAATAGCAGCATTGTGACAGTTGGTTCTTCTTCTTCTTCGGTTTCCTCCATCGAAGCTCCTAAAGGCTGTCTCAGGTTCTTTCTCAATCACTCTGCTGTTTCCACTTCAAAACCCCAGGTCAGAAATAGAAACAGCGGTAATCATCACAGACCGGTGAAAGTCAAATCAATGCCCTGCAAAACCCCTAAATCGGCGCCTATCTCGCGACCCAGTAGGGTGGATCGGGAGAAAGTTAAGGGGATCCCTTCTGCATGCTTGTACAAGCGGCAATCCGGGAAGAACCCTAAACCTATTCCTGGGGTTTCGAGGTTGGATACTGTGAGGAATCCTGTGAGCAAGTTGGAAAATTCTGGATCTGGAGATAAAGGTTGTATTGTGGAGGAATCAAATTCGACTCCTTTGAGACTGATTGTAGCTGGGTCTGGTTTGGATGTTACAGTTGATAGGTGTAAGAAAGGCAGTAGCTTGAATTCGAACTCAGAGAGCAGCAACACAAAAACGCCTCCACTTCATGCCTCGATATCCCCGGAGATACAACAACAATGTCAATCGTCAGCGCTTTCAACTGCTGCCACCAAAGTTGCTACTACTGCTACACCAGTTTGTTATGGTGCTGGGCATCTTCTTTCTGGGGTTACTGACAAGAGAAAATGTAGGCCTAGGGGCTTACTTGTTGTAGGGGAAGCTAAATCTGTTGATAAGTTTGACGTCAACGATGATCATGAAGCTGATGATGCTATAATAGATGGTAATGGGATCAATCTTTCACCGTCGAATTTGCCTATCATGGCTTCGATGCATTGGCTTTTGTCGCCGGTTGAGAAGGACAATGAGTGTAGTTCTGGAAATGGAGGAGCACAGGATCTGTCAAAAGAGCACACAGAGAGGAGAATGAAACGTGCTTCTGTGACATCATCTGATATGGAAATTTCTCCTCTAGAAGAGAAAATCGCTGGCTGTGGTGGAGAAGATGGGTCTCGATTCTCCATGAACTTGTTGTGCAGTGTCAATTTATTACAAACCCCAGAATCTGACTCTGGAGAGAAAGGCAAGAAATACAATCAGGGCTGGGGCTTCGAATTGGATTCAGTGGATCAACATTGGCCAGCTAGTTCATCGTTCCAGTTTAATTTGCCAACTACAGCTTCCCATTCTGTTGTTGATCTTTCACAGTTTCAGAACCCTCTCGACATCAAGGAATCCCGGCTTTCCATTTCCACTTTCGACGATATGTCGCATTCTGAAGTCAGAATCTCGTGGAGAGACGGGTTAGTGAGTAGGATCTTTGAGATGGATGAGCTGGATTGCTGTTGCAAGTGTGTATCCGACGAAGAAGAGGATGAACCTCTTCAAACTCGTGAGCTCGATCTCGATATAGAAAACAGTCGAACATCGGATGTATGCATTGAAACTTGCTCTGGTGGAAAACATCGTGTGTTAGATGGGAAAGCTAAAGATGGTCTTCTTCTTCCTGCAGAGTCTATGAACATAAGCCGTGATGGTGATGCTCTATTTCAATCGGATGACTCTGATTGGACACAATGTTACAAAAACCAACTGTTCAAGGTATAGATTCATAATCAGCCTCATTGTTCTGTCAATTGTAGTAGTTCTCAAAGCATCAACTTGTTGTAATCTTCTGCTGTTATAGACCGCACACTGTATTTGTTCCTCGGATTTTCAATCATCTTAGATATGAGTCGCAGTCTTATGTTTCTTCAAGCAAAAATTCAAACTTTCAAACTGGATAGCCATACGAGATACGACATCTACATCGATGGGGTAAAAGAAGAAAGAATAACAAACTAAAGGACTGCTCTGCTCTCTATTATATTAGATACACTACTCTTCTGCCGGTTGCTGGACCCTAACCTCACGATCTCCTGTTGCTGCTTCCTCGATCATAGCTCTGTCGGCGACGACCTTCTTCAAGTAACTCTTGCTCACGGTTGTTGTCAACGAAGCAAAATCTCCTGCTGAGGTGTGACGCTGATGTTGGCCTCCGTTGGTGACTTTCTGGAATTCTGATGTGGATAGGCACTTGTAGTGGCGATGAGCCTTGTATTGTAGTTGTAGCTCTTCTTGAGGGCACGGTATGCCATAGAGATTAGGCCGTCCGTCCATGGCGTTGTTGTGGTCTGTCGTGGGAAGGGTTTAAGGTAGTCGAGAGAGGAATCTGAGATGGGGAAAGAAGTATGTTCCCTGTTGTACTGCTTCGTATTTCAGGTGTGATTCGATATTTACCTCAATTGGTTATATATATATATCGTTTGGATGAGGAATTGTAACAGATCAATTTGACACAATTGTCTCGTTTTGAGACAATTGTACCAAATTGCGTCGTTTGCCAGCAAAAAATTTGGATGGATCAATCTGCCTGAGTCATTTTGAATTTGATCCGTTTTGAGTCAATTTCAATTACCTGGGGTTGGGGCAGGTAATTCGAATTGACTCATTTTAATTGCCTCGTTTATAAAACGAGACAATTGATCAAATTGACTCATTTCTCTTAACTCTTGCATATTTTTTGATTAAGACTTGTTAAGTTATTGAAACTCCGATTAAATCGCCACCAATCAAATGTTTCACTTAAAACTCAATCGTGTATTTCAAAAGATAATTGATAGATGATATTTCTTCGTTAATCAAACATATTGAGTAGACACAATCATATCATCACACATGTACCATGCCGTGTTAATCCAATAACGAGGAATTTTACAATGCTATATAGTATTGGTGCTATAGGTTTTTGCTTTTATGGTACAACTTGAAATTGTACATTTAACGTTATGGTACAACTTTAGATTGTACCTATACTTTTTGTACAAATTCTTTTATGGTACAACTTAAACTTGTACATTGTCTGATGGTACAACTTCAAGTTGTAAAGTTGTACCATAACATAATGATACAAATTCCTTTATGGTACAACCTAAACTTATACATTTAATGTTATGGTACAACTTCAAGTTGTACATTAAAGCACCAATACTATATAGCATAGTAGAAGTGCTCTCCAATAACACTTGAGAATTATAGTTAGTTGTGGGATGTTTGAAGCAATAAGCATCATCAACTTTGGGATAATGTAATCTAATTATGCTGATGCACCAACACATGTACCATGCTAAGTCAAAGTCACATGTCATCATCATCCACCTTGTTCTTATTCTCAATATCCACATCATTGTTTTGTAGATGTAATCCCATTAAATTTGTAAAGCTTCTCACAAGATCCCTAATGTTTTTATTCTGTTCAAAAAAGCCCATGCAGTTGTATCTTCAACTTGATGGGAAAATCCAATTTGTACGAAGTAATTTATTAGTTGGAGCAAGTAGAGGTTTGAATTATACAAAGCAAGTTGAGGTTATTGAGAAGGCATTGTGAAAGCTAAGCAACAATGAGCAGAAATACAAGTAAACGGTAACGAAGGAATCATTTGGATGCCGGAATTGTAATTACTATGGAGACACACAAATGGCCATTAAAGAATTATAACCCTTGATGATGGATGGTTGCTATAAGATTTGCATCATTATCACATAATTTATTTGGATAAAATTCAGGCATCACCTAATTGATATCTATTGAAGAATGATTTACGTTCTATTAGAATATGGCATCCATAAATGATAAGATTGATAGAAACTTATATTTTCGTACTTGATTAGTTGTCGGTTTATTATTATTCGGATTATGAGGACTATTCGGGCATAATTGATAGATTGGGTAGTGGTAGGAAATTAGTCATTTTCTATATAAACTATTGTAAACTAGAGTTAGGGTTAAGAAAAGGATTAATCATAAACCTAGTATTCCTAATTGCATTCTCTTCCCTTCCCCTCTGCCGACCCCACTTTCCCCTCTCCCTTCCCTGCTGCGCGCAGCACTTCCCCCAACCCCTTTCTTCTTCTTCTTGGCAGGCGACCAGCCGCCATTCCCCTGCCCTCTTGTCATTCCAAAAATCCCCAATCCCAATTCTCTTGTCCCTTCCTAAACCCGGATCAAATCCCTAGTTGATCCTAATCCCTAAACACCGGTAGAGCTCTCCTTGAGTTCTATCATTTGGTATCAGAGCCTGGTTCTTTCTTGAGTTCCGGAGCAAACGAATAACGAAGAACGCGATGGTGTCGACGAAATCGATGCAAGCAGCTGAGAAGGCCGCCAAGGCGGCGGCGCAAGGACAAGCCGCGATCGCGGCCACGTCGGGACTGCCGACGGCGGGTGAGGGCGGTCTTGAGGTCCCGGTTCAGCGGGATGGGGAGATGGTGGATGAGACGCTGGGAGAAGAGCTCCGCGCCGAGATGGCCAAAATGGCGGAGGCCATGGAGCAGGAGCGCCGGACCCGACTGAAGGGCGAACGAGCCCGGGAGGCGGAAGCGCGAGCTCGGGAGGCGGACGCGCGAGCCCGGGAGGCGGAGTCGCAGAGGATGTGGCTCGCCATTGGTGAGCTGAAGGCGATGGTGGCTGAGGTCCTAGGGCGAGCAGGAGGAGGCGGCGGCGGTACCACCGGGGGCGCGGGCTCGCTGGCGGGTGTCGGGGTGGGCGGATCCGGCGGCGAGGGCTCGGCGACGGAAGCCCCGGCAGGTGGAGGCGGCACGGCCGCCGAAGGAGGAGTGGCGGCGCCGGGGCTCGAGACGGCGGAGAAGGCGCCGGTCGGGCGGGCGACGGCCGAGGGCGGGCCGGGAACCGGCGGAGGCGGAGCGGGGACAGGGCCAGTGCAGGTAGGGCTAGGCGTGGGCCCAGGTCTGCTACCGACACCTACGGCCCAAGAGATTGCGGCCCGGAAAGGAAAGGCCAAGATGGCCGGTTATGACGTAGATGTACCTCCGCCGAACAGTGGACCGGAGCTGATGGGCCAATACACGAAGATCCATAACGGATTGGGGTGGTTGGATCTGGAGGATGGGCCCGAGTATGACGAACTTAGCCTGACAGACCGACAGGCCAAGTGGGCTGAACCGGAGATGGATCAGAGGGGGCCGGATGGGCCGAGGAGGCCCACAGAACCGGGCGGGCGACCAGGGGCGGGCCCCATGGGGCGGACCGAAGGGGGCCGGACCGGGTCCGGTCGAGCCGGGATCGGTCGGACCGACGCTGACCGAACCGAGGGGAGCCGAACCGGGCCGGGCCGGACCGGGATGGGTCGTCCGGAAGTGGGTCGAACCGGGCATCGCCCGAGTCCGACGGCCCAGCAGTACAGGAGGGTGGACTACCGGGAACCAGCCAGCTGGGAGATTCCGTACGGGGCGACTCACGTGCCAGGAGGGTACCCAAACCTGCAGGGCAACTATCCGGGTGACTATGGCTATGAGAATCCGAACCGGATGCCGGGCTCTTCTTTTGGGCAGCCGTGGAGAACTCCAGGAAATGACAGGTATGGGCCCCCCTACATGAATTATGAAGGAATGGATGGAGTGGTTTTTCGAGCTAAGCCTCCGACCATTGAGTTTCCCAAATTCAATGGGCAAGAGGATGCAGGTCTTTGGTTGTATGCAGCAGAGAGATGGTTTAGAAATCATCCGGTCCCGGAGGAGAGAAAGGCCTATCTGGCGTCGTTTTATCTGGAGGGAGATGCGCTCCAGTGGTGGGAGTGGATGGAACGGTCCTATGCCGCTGCAGCCACCCCGATCACCTGGCTTATGTTTCAGGAAGAGCTCCGTTATCAGTTTGGAAAGTCAGAAGGGTGGGCGCCCGAGCAGTTGGCAAAACTGAAGCAGACCGGCACGGTGGCTGAATACCGGGCAGAGTTTTTCAAGTTGGGAAACCAGTGTAAGGGGGTCCCAGAGGACACCTTGGTGGGGCTGTGCATGGCGGGTCTTAAGCCCGAGATAGCAGCGGCAGTCCGGGTGTTCGAGCCTGATTCTCTGAAGGCGGCTTTTCGTCTTGCAGGTCATAAGGAGGAAGAGCTCGCTAGTTGGAGGGGCGCCATTGGCCGGTTTCCGAAGTCGAGCAGTGGGAGTAGTGGAGGCGCAGGAGGAGCGGCGGGGGTAGGGCCGACCGGGGCTAACACTGGCAGTGGAGGCCCCGCTCCGGTAGCCAGGATGGGGCCGCGGGCCATACCTAAGGGCTTCGCGCGGCTGTCACCAGCTGAGATTGAGCAGAAGAGGCGTGAAGGCAAGTGCTTCAAGTGTGATGGCCGGTTCACCATTGGGCATCAGTGCCCCAAGGAAGACTTGATGATGCTGGTGGGACGATGGGAGGATGACGCGGAGGACTATGCTGAGGATGCCGGAAATGGTGAAGAAGAGACCTAGTGAGCTAGAGGATCAACCTTGGGGACAAGGTTGATTTTCGAAGGAAGCGGGGATGATAGAAACTTATATTTTCGTACTTGATTAATTGTCGGTTTATTATTATTCGGATTATGAGGACTATTCGGGCATAATTGATAGATTGGGTAGTGGTAGGAAATTAGTCATTTTCTATATAAACTATTGTAAACTAGAGTTAGGGTTAAGAAAAGGATTAATCATAAACCTAGTATTCCTAATTGCATTCTCTTCCCTTCCCCTCTGCCGACCCCACTTTCCCCTCTCCCTTCCCTGCTGCGCGCAGCACTTCCCCCAACCCCTTTCTTCTTCTTCTTGGCAGGCGACCAGCCGCCATTCCCCTGCCCTCTTGTCATTCCAAAAATCCCCAATCCCAATTCTCTTGTCCCTTCCTAAACCCGGATCAAATCCCTAGTTGATCCTAATCCCTAAACACCGGTAGAGCTCTCCTTGAGTTCTATCAAAGATCTACATATTTTAAAATTTTCTTGCTATTGTATAGCATTCTAGACGAGGGCTCTCACATCTTATTGACGGACGAAGAATCTTCCTGTACTTAGCACCTTATAGACTTTTCATGTGTGATCATTCTCCAACTATAATCGTAAATAGTGATTGCCTGAAAAATGAAGTTGAATCAGCTTCAAACATATCACTACCACCATCAAAACTCTCCCTTTAGTCATAAATAAAACACCTTATAAGCTTTTCATGAGTGATCATTCTCCAACTATAGTAGTAATTACCTGAAAAATGAAAGTGAATCCGCTCCAAACATATCACTACCACCGTCAAGACCACCTTTTTCTATAATCACAATGAACATATTTTACAACAACGGCCATGTTTTCCTTCTTTTTTTACACAACGATGTACTTTATGTACGCAAATCTTTTGAATACATATGGAATGCAGATTGAACTTGAAAAGCAGATTGGTGTAACGTGTCTTCTCGCCGCCTTTTGCTTGCTTCTTTGCTCGGATCGAACATCCACCGTCTCTCTAGAACTTACACATATCATGGCCTTGTGTAGTACATGAAGCTTCTTCCCCCCTTTCTTTCCATCAATGTCAGCTCATTCACCATTGCTTTCTTTCACCGTGTCCCCTCCTACTAACCCATGCCTCCTCTTATTTCCTGCAGGAGTGAACTCAAATAGGAAGGTTATGTAGCTTAGAGAGGGGGCCATGACCCGCGTAAGCGTGAAGAAGGCTGCATTTGCATATATGACTACTATGGATGAAATGTGGTCAGAGAGAGAGAGAGGCATACCAGGGAAGCTTAAAAGTGTCTTTCCACCATCCATGCTTCGAACAGTGTGAAACTATTCTGTCCAGTCGCACGATTATCTCAGAAAACGTTGGCCTGGCAACTGGTTCAGGATGCCAGCATTCATCAATCAATCTGTTTCACAGATTCGGCACAGAGGGGAATGTTATCCCCTTGAAAGAGATTCATTACTAGAGTTAAGGAACAATGACATATGAGTATGGCTAGAGTAACTCGGTGAACACGTAAATCACCAGAACTCGGTGTATAGACTCTTTAGAGTAACTTAGTATATTACGATAGTGATGAACTCACTCTTTCATATCTGGAGGATAATGTCTGGACTTGACCTTAAACGCCGGTCTCTTTGTCTCGACACCCATCAATTTAACAGCCTCTGCAAGAGGCTTGGGGTAGAATGGGTACGCTCCCTCGATCATCTATCCCCCATCAAGAAATAAACAAGAACTGTCAAAGAGGTTGTGTTTGCAAAACATAGTAGAATATCATCCTTACGACTTGAAGCATTAAGCCTACTGATAAAACCATTACGAAGTAACGGTGCGTTCATTATAGAATGCAATAGCAATAGGAAACAGTGGTACCTCATATAACATAACACCAAAAGAGTAAGCATCCACAGTTCTATCGAAAATTTCATCTCTATAAACTTCAGGCGCCATATATACATCTGTAGATACATAAAAAGCACTTCAAGTCAAGACGGGTTGTTACAGACACAGTTAACAATCAAAATAACAATGGAGGAACTGTTCATCATAGTTGCCTCAATTTCTTCACTGAACCAATATAAGAGGTACGTGACAATTTTCCTTACTTGAGGAGTCCAATGAAGACCCTGCCGCAACTTTAGCTTTGTCAACTGAAATTAGGGACAGCTTTATCAAACCAAAACCAGCAACCTTCAACTGGCCTCCACTATCCAGCATAATGTTTCTGGCACCTTACCAAAATTTCAGATATTAAAGAATAGGACATTCCACTGAGAATATATCACAACTCAGCTACCAAATATGCTTGTGCATTTGGTTGTCTTACTTTGGCTTTAGACCGCAGTGGATAATTGGGTCTGGTTTACATTCATGAAGATAGTTCACACCCCTGATAACAAAAAATACAAATACACTGTTAAAATCAAGTGAAGATTGCCACAAAATGCAAATATGACTACAAGGTACATCATCCATTCCTGGGTACAAGTGGGAGATCTGTGATCAGTGGGTTAAAAACTCTAATTTTATCGCAGAAACGGCTACTTAGAATCATTTTTAGGAGTTCAAATCGGACATGCCTGGCAATGTCAAGGGCAAATCTTAGAGTTTTGGATGGTGACAAACGGCCTTTCTTTTGGAGATAACTTCCCAAGTCTCCCTGTGATATAGGAAAAAGATAAATGCTTGTGTTAAAGAACCATACATTCACAAGCTCTTTTTCCCCGTCACCTGGTAATGATTGATAAATGAGAATGCTACAAGAAGAATGATAGAGGACCAGTAACTTACTCTTGGGTGATACTCTACAACAATCATCATTGGTATGTTTTGGGTAACCGCTCCAACAAACTGAACCACGTTTGGATGTCGAACCTTCTCTAGTAAGGTTAGTTCATGTTTGAATGCGCTTCTGCAATACAAGATCATGGTCATTTGTATTTCTATGCAAGTAATAGCTGAAAGTCTTCCTGTAAAGGGAGGGAGACATAGAAGGTGAACGCGTACATGCTTTCAGGATCAGTATAGCAGTCCTTATCAAGTATCTTTACAGCAACCTTTGTACCATTCCATTTAGCCACTTGATATGTACCCTGTTTTAGAAGCAAGCCATAATGACTAAAACACGTCAAGGAATGAATACCCAAAACACCAAATACCCACCATTTTCGTAGCAACAACATGAATCGACCATACATAGAAAAGATGGGACGTCACACCACAACTGAGAGGGAATCCTCACACCTAATGCATTGAACAGACATATCAGTTCCCACTTGCCTTTGTGATGCCATCGGACCTTCGAACTTGAAGTTCTAAGGGATTAAGTTCATACTCGGGTACTTCTCGAGGATTCGCTACAGCCATTGGCGTCTTCCTGGTTTTCTGAGAAATGAACAGTAAGTTACCCAACTTACCATAATCTGCCTAGCAGAGCTACATTCCTAAGAGGGTTGAAAGGAAAAAATGATAAATACCGGAACTTTGGCCCCTCGAGCCTTGAGAATGTTGTAAATTTCTACATTCCCGTAGAACTTAGCATCAGCACAAGCCTGGTGCAAATTACCGAGCATTTAGTACAAGCATTCGAATTACCCAAAACAGCATCCATCAGAAATTGAAGAAGGGAAGCAATAAGGGACTCACAGTGCTCCCCCAGCGGTCGCGAGCGTCGATATTGGCCCTACGACTGAGCAAAAGCTTAACGACCTCGGCGTGCCCCTCGCAGGCGGCAATGTGGAGCGCGGTCCTCCCGTCGAGGTCGATGCTGTTGACGTCAATCCCTTGGTTCAGCAAATCTTGGACCGCAAGCACGTCGCCACGGGACGCCATGAACAACAGCTGCATCGTGCAGTCCAAGTTCTCCGGGACCGCCAGCAGCTCCTCCTTGATCGGGCTCCGCCGTATGGGATCCAGCGACGACTGGCGGCCGAAGCTGAAGCGCCTGTTGTTCCGCCGAGGCTCCAGCGACGCCTGCCGTGACAGCTGCCGGCTGAACGTCCTACGCAGCGAGCCCGTCGAGAACTGCCGCGATATCCCCCGCTTCAGCTGCGACGCTATGTTGTCCATGGTCACCGGCGGCGACTCCTCCCCTTCCTCCTCCCACCCCTCCACCTCCACCTCCAACAATGGCGAGGCTTTCTTTTTTTGGGGGGGAATGGCGGAGAAAAGAGATGGAAATTGGAAGGGGAAAAGAAAGAGAAGAATAATTCGATTAACGGAATTGTTTTCCAGATCCGATAAACTCGCCAAGCAGAAAGAAAATAAATAATTTGATTTGGGGATTACGCGAAAAGGCCGGGAGTAGTTGAGTTGAGAAAAAAGGCGCGCGCAGATTCGTTCCGTTCCTCCTCTTATTATTCCACCTGTCAAACTCAAACATAAAAAAAAATATGCCCAAAGTAGAATTCATTGGGTGTGAGTAAAATAACGGATTTCCATTCCTTGCCTTGCTTGTTTTTCCGAAAAAGCAAACTAGTCTCGTTGACCCAATGGGCCGGTACTCCGACGATCCTACTTCGCCGGCGGTTTACCGACCACCCAAACGAACAATCAAGCAAACGAACAGAAACAAAACAGTGAGCAAAAGTGAAGCACGTGGATGCTGGCTTGCTTCCAAACTTACTAACCTTTCTTTCTCAGGCGGGGGGACGGATCTCCCTCCTATTCCTTTTTCTTCTTCTTCTTCCTCTTTGGCTCCTCCTACTGCAGCAGTAGCAACTGGATAGTCTTCCTCACGGGAAGGACGGAAGGAAGCAGTAGCCGATTTTAAGCACAACACCACAAGTTGGTTGGGTTGGTTCTTTCTTTCCCTTGCACGTTAAAAAATGAGTGTGTCATATTTAACATTGGACAAAAGGGGATGGGGTCCCCTTCCCTTCCCTTCCCTTCCCCCAATTGCCCAATGCTAGTCTATGACTGCACTTTAAGGGTGTGTGGTTTGGAATTGAATGGTGGGGTAACTTAACTAGTTGCCTAGCTAGTAGGCGTTGAATATTCATCCTCCATGTCGATGATGGTCGACATGGATGATCGATACAGTGATATCTAATATTCACATTTGGTAAACAAATTAGTTTGATTCATTATTCGAGCCACGCCCATAATCACCACGCAGGACGTAAGTTATGCCAGCCCAATCGCCGTTTTTCCCTACCGCCACAAGCATCCGGCGGCAATTCAGTTCTATCGATTTCTCCGCCGCGGCAGTAAAAGTTTCTATTCATCGCCGCACGCGGCTCAAAACCACCATGATCTCAGGAATACAAGAGGAAAAAGGCGGGAAACTATAGCATAACCATGATTTAACAACTGTGTGAAAACCATGACGACGTTCTTGATAAGAAAGTATTCATCGAGGACATGGATGAACTAAACAGTAGTTAATTATTTATGGGGAGCATCATCATCACCTGAGGATTTCTTGTTCCACCCGCCAGTTCCAGGGCCAGCTTTCCGCTCCCCTCGCTTCCTCTTGTTCCTAGGGATTTGCACATCTAACGCCAAGCACGATTTCAGAGTCGCCGCCGACGACGATTCCCCTCTTGTTGCCAATTCCTCGGTCTTGGAGGTGGTAATTAAAACTTGACGACCATTAGTCATCTTTTCTTCCTCTTCCGCTGCTGGTTTGTCGCCTTTCTCCATCACTTCGCTGCCACCATCATGCTCCTCCTCTTCTTTCAGTTTACAACTTGTCGTCATCATCGTCGTCCCCATGAAAGCATCTGTGTTATCCGCTGCTTCATTTTTTATCAGGACATTTTCCAGCACCTGCAGATACAAAGGTTTTTTCACACACAGGGAGGGAGGTAGCCTTCTCAGAGTGGCTTCAAAATTCCAATTCCAAACCTGCTTCCTATCTATCCAACAAATGCATCGTACGCCCCTAGTAGTAAGTCGGTAAGATAATTTGCGGATCAGCCATGCCGAAAATTTGATTTGGGTAACACCAGTTTTCTTGTGAGAAAAGAAAGATATGCATAATGTATCCAAATAGAAGTTGATGCTTACATCTTCACAGGGATGGTCGATCTGCGGCTCATGGAACGTCACTTCAGCATCAGCCAGCATCCCCACCGTGCTCTCTATAATATCAGGAACATGGACAGCCTCTCCGAAGCTCGACACTGCACTACCAGGCAGAACCAGTTCGCTCATATCGTACCCTGGCTGAGTTCCCGCCGTATACCTACCACCACAGGGAGACATCGTCTCGCCATCGAACCCAACCGATAACACGGGGCTTGGAGCTGAGCTCGTCTGCCCTTCGCCGCCACAAGACGCTAGAAGGCAGAGGTTGTCCCATGAAGAGAACTTGCCGGCATTGTTCGTTATCACTGAATCGAGCTGGTCCTTCAACTTGTGGACGTGAGAGTGCACTGATTCGATTTTCAGCAGGATGTTCTCCAGATAGGCGTCAGAGTCTCCAAATGCAAATGGCAGCTCGACGCTGGTGTCCACGAATTCGTCTTTGGTGTCGGTACGTGGTGCGTCTGTCGATGCTGCACTCGACATTATAGAAAGCCAAAGAAACAGTGTGAGCATATAATAGTTTTATGCGTGTAGGAAACTGATAAACCATCTTGAAAGCAGAAAAGCTAACCTATAGGATCAAAGTCATCACCCATAGCAGCTCCATCTGCAGTAGCCCTCTTGCTTTCTGCAGTAATGGCACATCAAAAACTGTTTGAGAAAAGCTGTGAATGGAAATTGGAACAAGAAGAAGTTGGTACATCAATACCTAGAAGCCCATACCAAAGTAAGAAAATATTGGATGATCAGGAAAGAAAGACGACGATGATGATATATCCATTGAGTCCTCGACTCTTTTTCTCTTTCGCCTCTTCTTCGACTTTCTTCTGTTACATGCATTCAAAAATGGCAAAGATTTTGTACAGACCCCTTCAGGAATTGACTGATAGACTCCAGATTGTTTTCTCTGTTCATAGGCTGCGAGTTCCCCAGAATACTTCATCTGTTGAGACTCAATCTCCTTGATTTTGAGCTCTGCCCACTTGCAACGCCACATGAGGGGCCGTATGAAGTTCCTCCAGTGATTAGATACCTTTTTCTTCCTAGGCCAGAACCAAAGGAATGTCAGTGAAGGGTGTCCTACACATCCATCTCAAATGTCGAAATACATAATTCGAAATCGCTAGGTTGGTATAATGGACTAATGATGTTCTACTCACTCTTTACATAATACAGCTTTGAAGTATATGAAAGGTAACCCCAGGAAGAAATCCAAATATCAAATCAAAGTCTGGCTTAACCTGATTTGCTGACAAGAACACTAAGAGATCCTTAAGGGTCTTGTCAGAACAAAATTGGCACTATGACCCCTTAAACATTTCATCAATCCAATTTTAAATTTGAAACATCTTAATACCCCCAAAACAAAAAAAAATGGTAACATTCAATTCAATCACAATCCAAACCCAACGATTCCAACTTGGTCCTGAACTGAATTGGGTCATCCAACTAAAAAATGCAATCCCTCCAAAGCAATTCGAGTTGCAAATTCATCATCACCGTTAAGCCAAAGCATTCCAATGGACAGAGAAGTAGGTAGTACCTGGAGTAGAACAAGCTACTGAAAGCATCGAACGGAGAAGCAATATCGCCATCGCCGAAAAATTCCGACTCCACTTCCCCCTCGCTGTTGCATTTATCCGTGTCGGAGAGCGTTTCCTCGAACGAACTTGAGTGCTCCGTGGCGTCCAAATCAGCCGCCGCCGCAGCCTTGTTTGGCGGCGGGAGAGCAGGAGCAGCAGAAATGGCGGCAAAAGTCACGACGTCGACAAGAACTCCATCTGGATCATCAGCAATCACAATGCCCGTTTTAGAAGTTGAAGGCTTCTTCTCATCTACCACTACTTCCTCCGGAATGCGGCTGCGGATACTCTTTTGCCCGCCGATTGCTGCTCCGGGAGCTGCTGCTGCTTCCAAGTTGCGCTCCGATTTGACTTTCACCAACATGGCTCAATATTTTCCGCCGGAAGGAAGCTTTGACTTATTCCGCTGCTGATGGGGAACTTGTAAACGGGAAGACAAATTTGTTCGGTTGAGCGGCGGAGGGAAAGGGAGGGAGGGACGCCGGTTGGCGCTGAGTGAATAGAGTTGAACGTTTTTTGGGATTCGGCCTTTGCGGCGACCAACTTTAACGATATAAACCTAGTGTCCGCGTTTGTGGTTTACCGTACGACTACACGGCGCCGTTTCGGGTCAGAATATTCAGAGAAATGATTCCATGGACCCTTCTTCGGGCCTTCCAATGATTCCATGCTATTATTGGGTCGAGGAATTCCTTAGTCCGACCTACATAAATTAAAAGCGGGCCCAGACTGGTTGGGTGAGTCTTGATGGGCCTTGCAAATCTCGGGGAGGCAAGGGTTTTTACTCTTTGGTACAATTAGTCGTGTCGGATAGGATTAGTTGTTCTTGATGATGAATTTATTTGGTATTAAGGTTGTTAAGGAGGTGGTTAATGGTGGTTATAAGGGTCATCTGGAAATTGATTACCCACCAAACCCAACCACAACGTAGGCCCAATTTCAGTCAATACACTAAATGAACCATGAGATCTTGGGTTTGAAAGTTGAGTCACAAGCCGCAACATCAAGACTTGTAGAAGAACAAATGTGTATGGATTGATTAAATACGAATTCATTGCTAACTGCAAATAAATCTATTATTGATGATGCATTTCAGAGGGGCCAAGTCTTTAGAGCAACTAGGCCAACTATCCAATCTTATTAGAACATTTTTCACTACCATTCCAAAATATCTAACCCTATTGTTGAGCAACCTCTCAATTCCATTGAGGGTGACATTGGAGAAATATAGAAAATTTGGAGCCAATGGCCCACCTCCAAATTTGTGCCTACTTGTGATTAATTAAGTGTTTATGGGGAGATTATGATTTGTTTCATTGGTAATGATTTGGTGTAAGAAACTGATTTTTAATTTCTCTGCTGTAAAATGTTGACTATTGTGTGACATCCACTATATATATCTCACGCATTTTTCTTTTGTTTTTGTTTTCACTATTGATTGGTTTGGTTGGATCGGGGATGAGCTAATTATGCATACATTACATAGAAATCAACAACTCGTGGTAAAAAAATATAGGAGAAAATATCTTCAAAGATAAAATTATCGATCGAGTCATTATACTTTTTTGTGTGTAAGTTTTCGTTGTCAAAAGTTGCGTTTGGGGCTTTTGTATGGACTTCATATAGTGAGAGTTAACCATTTTCCCAACTTGATGACACATGAAGTTAATATGATCAACATGCAACACTACTGGTTGTAGTTGGTTGTAGTTGTCGAGAGTTAGTGTTAAATTACAACTCAGTATATCTTATAAATACAAAGGAATACGAGAGGTAAGTTAGACTAATTCGGTAATAAATACAATTCATAAATAAAAACTTGACAACACTAGCATAGTCGAAAAAACAGGTATTGTAATTTTTGAATACCTCCCATCCATTTGAGGATGTTGATGGAAATAATAAAAGTCACAATATTAGTTGAGAAGTAGAATGAACACTCCACTCACTACACAAATTAAATTCAAGTGGCTCTTTTAAATCTCCCCCACCTTTCTTAAAAATAAAAATAAAAATAAAATCCCCCCACCTTTGTCCCCCAACAAGTACCCTACCATATTAAATTATCAATGTTAACGTGGCGTTGGGAGTTTATTCCCATACAAAAGATTCAAGGAATCCTGGATCAAACGGCAGTCATCAATTAATGATAAATTATTATTATAGTAAATCAAATCATAATTGGATTCCCAAACAAATGTACGATTGTGATTAATTGGGAAGTCATTTACATAGAGATTACTTGCAAGATAGGGAAGGTGTTAAAAGGCAGATCATCCATCCATACAGCACACAATAATCCCTGTCCCACCCCCACTAGATACTTTTCTTGCCTCCTGGATTAGTGAATAAAACCCTGCCAAATTACCTAATCACTAGGCTTCATGACCTATTTTTTGTGTTTTTATTACGAGTGATCCTTAATCGAAATATACTATTATCAATAATAATATGCTCAATTATATAAATATGTATGGCTATTAAATTACATGAAGTCTATAATAATAGATTGAAAAATAGACGATGAATGGTAAAAAAAACCACCTAATCAATTAATTTAGTAACGAAATACATAAAAGACTGTGAGGTAATATACTTTACCATAAGCCATAAGGATCAATAGGAACAAATGCTGCACCCCGGCCCATGCTAGAGCATTTAGATGATGTGCTTTGCTAATCAATAAGAACAAATGACTTGGTCAATAAGTAAAATGCTATATTAACAACAATATTCTAAAAGAACTTGGTATAGATATGATATGAAAGCACTATATCATTTATGCTTTTACACTTATATTACAAGCTATATGCATATTAGCAATCATCAACTTATTTATCAACTAAATTGTCATTGCATGCATCAAACAACACGGTTGTGGATCACGGAATGTGCAATCCAATAGTGCAAACAATGGAGTTAATGAATCATAACAATTTAACCCATGCTGCAAATTGTAGCAAGTCTGAAGGACAAGAAAGGGAATCCAGTGGTGGGGGATGGAGTGGGGCAGTGGGCTCACTCAATCCAATCAAACCCCACGAGACGACTCTGAATCTTCTTCTCCCATTTCCAACCCAAAACCCTTCTCCCCCACTGACAAACTACAAGATACTTTCCTTGAAAGCACCAAAGTTTGCACTCAATCCCAGAAAAAGCAAACCCAAAACCAAAATTCTTTCCTTTCTTCTTCAACCGTCCGTAACCGTGAAGCTTCCCCCAATAAAATGCAGTCGTCCAATCAAAGAATCTAAATCCTTCCTCCACAAGGAGTGCAGTGTAATCCACCCACCCACCCTTTCCCTTCCTTATTTCCTTCTTTTAAAAACGCCGTGTCTTCTTCACTCTTGAGCTACCACAGAGGGAAGGGAGTTCGTCAATGGCGTGAAAGCAACAATCAATCGGAAATCCCCTCCCTTTCCCCCCAACCCTTCTCCCATATCCCCAATTAAAACAGACCCATTTCATCTGCTCCCTGAAAAAACATCATCCATTCCGACGATCGCGCTTCGTGTTGTGGGCGTTTATGACGGACGCGAGCAGGGGCGAGTACTGTCTTCTTAGCCGGCGGGAGGGTAGAGTTAGTTTCCGGCAACCTGGGAAAGGCGGGAGCGTATTTCTTGGACGGGAGGATCTTCGATTGCATCAATGAGATCACCTCGGCTCTGGCCTTCGCTAGGATGAACGATTCCGCTTACCGAGTCGACACCACCTCTCGCCTCGCCCAATGGCGGATCGACAACCTCTCCTCTTGCTCTTACCGCAAATCCGATCCTTTCAAGATCGGCAACTGGAATTGGTAACTCCCGCCCAATTAACTTTCTCATTTACCCCGTTGTCTTAAAACACACAGAAAGCAACCTGCTTAGCTTGGTTGATGATACTTCTTCTTCTTCTTCTTCTGTTTATTTACTCGTCGTAAGAAACTTGCTTTACTATGGCTGCCAAGTGGGTGTCTGTTCTTTCTTTCGCTTTGAATTGCATGGATGGGCAAAAAGGCAATCCAAACTGAAAACTTGGGATAGGGATTCTTTTTTGGGCGAACTTGTCAAGTATGGTCACACAGCTGCCAGAGCTCAGAGGAAGTATGGAAGCAAATGGACTTTTACCAATTGCCCATTATAAGAATTATTGCTTCTCCGTTTTGTCTCTTTCGCTGTCCTTCCTCATTGATTACTTCGTTTTGTCCTGACCTTTTTGATCTCTAATCTCTGGTATGAAGATGGATGGCAACAAGCCTAGAACGGCGAAACGAAATGAATTCTGGATGAGATAATTGATTTGTCTTTTAACGATCTTCACTCGATTTGGATTGGCAGGCATTTATCAGTGGAGAAGAACAGGGTGTTGTTTGTTAAACTATATCCAGAGATATCCAATCTGACCAGAGAGAATCCTCCCATCGCATCCTTTGTTATTCGGGTTGTTTGCTCCGCTGGAGGTCGCAAGTCCTTGATTCATCCTGGTATAAATTCATGATTGACCTTTCTACTGACTCGAGGTAGTTGGATGAATCATTTCTTAGCATGGTGTTAGAGGTTTAGGAGTCTGGACAAAGCTCAGGGATTTTTATGAAGATGGTGTAAGATCTTGATGAAAGAGTTTTGAGTCATTCAATCGAAATGGTTTCCTCTGGGACACAGTGAAAAGAGTAAAAGACTCGCATAGAACTCAAGAGATAGTGAATAAGTAATTAGTATTGATTCTTCTTTACATGTTAAGCTTTGTGGTGTTCAATTGATGGATGGAACTGATTGTCTCTCTCTCCAATGTGACTTGCTGCAGAAATCACAGACAGGCAACTAAAGAGCAACGACGATTTCGTGTGGGCGATTGAGGTTCCACTGACTGGCAAATTCATCATCGACGTCGAATTTCTCGACCTCAAGACTGCATCACCAGAAGTATGCTTTCTCGAATCCTCTTTATTGTGGTTGATGCTAGCAGAACAATTAGTAGACACATTTTGCTCATCCGCATAAAGAAAGGACTCCCCTGTTTCCCTTTTAACTATTTCAGTGAACTTCCAATGTGACGCACCCTTAAGGACATACTTTTGAACATTGTAATCAAGTTCTTCTTGATGCATTCAGGGAGGAGACCCTTGTTCAATCTGGGGAGAAGGCCTGACGGAGAGACGTTCAAATGCGACAGCGCTCTCGTCCCTTGCTCGAATGTTAACCGAAGCCATCCACACCGACATCACCATCAACGCCTCGGACGGCACCATAGCCGCACACCGAGCTGTCCTGGCGGCGAGATCCCCTGTGTTCCGCAGCATGTTCGCGCACAACCTCAAGGAGAAAGAGCTCTCCACCGTCAACATATCCGACATGTCCATCGAGGCCTGCCAGGCCCTCATGAACTACATCTACGGCAGCATCAGCCACGACGAGTTCATCGTGCACCGCCTCGCATTGCTCCGTGCAGCAGACAAGTACGACATCTCCGACCTCAAGGAAGCTTGCCACGAAAGGTACTTAGTTAGTTAGTTAAAAGTTAGGATCTTTACTAATTAAAAATCTTACAATTCGGCCATCCTGTCTGATCGACTGACATTGTTTGGTCATGGTATAAGCCTGTTGGAAGATATAGACGCGAAGAATGTCCTTGAGAGGCTTCAGAGTGCTGCACTGTACCAACTGCCTAGACTGAAGGCCAGCTGCATGAGGTATCTGGTGAAGTTTGGGAAGATCTACGACATTCGTGACGATTTCAGTGCCTTCTTGCAGTGTGGAGACAGGGATTTGATTGCCGAAGTGTTCCATGAAGTCCTCAATGCTTGGAAAGGCTTCTAAGTACTAGTGATGCTCTTCCAGCTGGGCATTGGCTTTGGCTGCAGTGATCCCTGGTTCTGAGTCCCGCTGCTGCTGTTGTTGGTGTCTTGAATCATCAAACGGGCGATTTATAATGACGGGGGGTTTGTTTTATGACGAAACTGTGAAGGATTTAGGTGGGAAGGTATAAGGGAGGAAAGGAAGGGAACAGTATAGTATATGCTATAGATTGCTTGATTTGTGTACACTTTGATGATCATGACCTGATTCTTTTGTGGCCAAAGCATTGAAATTTGCTGGTGTACTGATTGTACAGATAATATTTAGATTGAATTCCTCAGGTGGACAACCAGACCACCATGCTCATATGATATATGTATTGCTATTTTATTTATGTGTACTTATTCTCACGATTGGAATGGAGATATGAAATGTAATGGTTTCCCATTGAATGGTATCATCATCTTTGTTATATAAGCCTTTCTGTGCAATGTACTATTTGCTTTGTTGTGAAGGCATAGGCAGATTCATTCTATCAAATATAATTTCTAAGCAGACGACATTGGGAAGGAATCCATGGGTCTCGTCTGGAAGGAAATCAGTCAGTAGTTCAGTACCTTCTTCTAGTCATTCGTTACCGGTCGTAACCAAACCCGATCGGCACAACGTGCGTGGCGACGGCCACGGCCCACGGCCAACAGGAAGCCAATCGAGGATTCGATTCGAGGGCGATTCTGAATTGGTCGGCCCGACCCAAATAAATCCCACAAGAAGCCCATCTTCTCTTATCCGCATTTAGCCAGCCCATGGCCCGTCTAAACAAAAACAAGAGTAGTCCTCTTTTCCCGGAAAATAAAAATCCCGCGAAACGTAGTAGATGCTGCACGAAACGGTGTGTTTTCCCCTCTTTCCCTGATATCTTCCAGAGTTTGCCCTAATTCTGCCGGCTCGCCTCCCTCCTCCAAGCAAAGCACTAAACGCACATCGCCGCTGTCTTTCACCAGCCAGCAGCTGCTCCTCCATTTTCTCCGAGGTAAGGCCCCTCCTCTCCTACCACTCTACCTCTTCATCTCTCCCTTCCGTCAAGCTAGTCTATCAGTCTCTCGTTTGCGCTACGGTTTGGTAGTGTGTTGATTGAATGTTTCAGAGGGTTTAGAAAGAGAAAATTTCCAAGAAAAAGGGGTAATCTTTCTCTCTGTGATTCCAATTGTTCGATTTTGTAGGGAAGAAACCAACCTAGCAGCTATGGAGATAGATGGTGTAGCTCCGCCTGTTGCGGAGAAGCCATTGTTCGAGCCGCTCAAGGCACACGAGATGTCCGACGGGAAAGTCCAGTTCCGGAAAGTCTCCGTCCCTCCTCACCGATACACTCCGCTGAAGAAAGCGTGGATGGAAATATACACACCGGTCTACGAGCAGATGAAGATCGACATCCGAATGAACCTCAAGGCACGGAAGGTCGAGCTGAAGACGAGAGTAGACACCCCTGATATCAGCAACCTGCAGAAGTGCGCCGATTTCGTCCATGCCTTCATGATGGGGTTCGATGTGATCGACGCAGTGGCCCTGCTGAGGATGGACGAGCTGTACGTCGACTCGTTCGAGATCAAGGATGTGAAGACGCTCAAGGGGGAGCACAAGTCAAGAGCCATCGGGAGGCTTTCGGGGAAAGGAGGGAAGACCAAGTTCTCCATCGAGAATGCTACCAAGACGAGGATCGTGTTGGCGGACGAGAAGATCCACATCTTGGGGTCGTTTCGGAATATCAAGATCGCCAGGGATGCTCTCTGCAGCCTCATTTTGGGTGCACCACCCGGGAAGGTGAACTCGAAGCTTAGACAAGTTACTGCTAGATCAGCTGAGTTGTTTTGAGCCTTGGCGATGGTTCATATTTGTTGTCTTGCTTGCTTATGAATTTGGTGATTGAGTGAAGTGGATGAATCTCCTGGAGATGGGTTCCATCGGCCGTGGCAACAAGGTGATGAAATTTTTGTATGGTTTAATGGTCTCAAGTTATCTACATACATGGGTTTCTGTACGATGTTTGATTCCGGTTTTGGATTAGAGCAATAGAGCATGTAAGAGTAAGAGAGCAGTGGTGTTGACTCAGTTTTGATGAAATTAATACAGTTTGCCGCAAGAGCATTGTTGAAGTGCATATTCTGTACCATTAACACCTAATAATCAGTATGCATTTCTGGCTTATGTTTCTCCATTGTGATTGAAATAGCTTTTGATTTGGGCCTACTCTGTTGCAAAATCCCACTCTAATCTCGAGCTGAAAATGACAATCGAAGAAACATTGCCAAGCAGTAGAGTACCAGAGCATCAGAAACAGAGGCGGGGAAATGTGGTATGGGAACTGGAAATAGCATGAAGAGCTCTTTCCGTTGTAACAAAGAATCTACTTGTTAATTTGTGATCAGTTCATCTAGAGGATTCTCTGCAAGTGTAGTGCTTATATATATTAGTTTGTAACAATTTCAACACGGCACCAAGCCAAAGAAGCAGCCAGGAGACCAGGGTAGCGCCAGCAAAGCAAAGGAAAAGGTCGCCATCAACCAAGGCAGCCTAATACATGTACTGTGTGTGAGGAAAGCAGCCAGCCACATTGCTTCTGCACTACTTCACTTCTTATCATATGTATGCAAATGCAATGCACTTTGACTTTGTCTTTGTCCTTTGAGTCGAATTTCATCCCTTCATGAAAACGACCTCCCCCTCCCACCTCCTCACGAAGACAAAGGTAGAAAACAATGACTTGTAGTGAATTAACAACGTCATTTCATCGTTACCAGGTGAATAAATTTAACCTATGTAGTTCCCTCATGATCGTTATTTTGATTCAATCTTCATCTTTTATGATGAATGACAAATTGTAAATCTCGCTAATTCAAGCATGATATATATATAAGATTAAATCCCATTTTCTTCTTGAAAGGAACTAGGAATACAACAAAACTCTCACTATTTTAGTATCAGGGACAACTATATCATCACCAAGAGAATGTCACCTCAGTCTTGTTAGGGTATTAATGGAGGCATTTTGCCAACCTCTACCCTACCTTCATCCAAGGCAATAATGCATTGCTCCCCCCTACCATAGTAATAGCAATAGTAATTGACTACAATTTCAATAAGGTACACATAACATAGTAGATTTGTCTGAGAAGAAAATGGGTGTAAACCGATATGATAATCCATTAAAATATTGCATCAAAACTCTCTTCGGCGGAGGTCATAGGAGACTCAAGAATACGCTAAAATGTAACTCAACTGATCAAACAAGTTAGCCCTAACATCATCTGCTTTGCCTAATTTGGGTTAAGGGCCATAAAACTAAACAGACGTGTAATCCACGCACTTTGAAGCATACAGCAAATAGCAAAGACATTTGCTGCTGGCGTCTGGGAATGACTATTGAGATATCAGCATGAAAGCACAACTTTGTACTCAATGAGGTAAAAGAATAAATGACAAAGTAGAAGAAAATGCATGACATACGACATCACATATTATGTATAGGTAAAACAGTAAAAGTGGTAAAATTTACCGACTTTTTGAAGCCAAAGGTTCCTTGCAGCAGAGAGGGGTCAAAAGCTGCTTATATATTATTCATGGGCTTCTTTCTTCTATCACTTTTTAGCTTTTATGATGCTTATACATTTGATTGTCCAGTCAACTTGTAGAAGAAAGGCTTCAGAGTGTTTTTGACACAGGCAAAAAACAAAGGAAAAGGGTACCTCTCTCTATATATCTATCCTCCCCAAGCTACATAAAATTATGCTTTGTCTTCTCTCTTCCCCATTTCTCAGTACATCAGAACAGTACAACCAACTGAACCTTTCCTTTCGATCTCAGCTCTGCTCGTTACTTCATCTACAATAACTCTCCCAACGACAAACGTTCGATTTCTACTGCAAAGGTAAAATGATAGATAAAGTTTCATGAATGCAAACCTGGTGCAGGAGGACAAAGCTTTATTATCATCATCGACATGGCGTTTCGCTATGAGAAGCTTGGAGAATAGTACAACGCTGACGAGGATGGCAGCATACCGTTAGAGGATGGTGGTGGTCGTGGTGGTGGCGCAGCAGCCTGCAATGGACTCTGATGCAGCATTCCAGAACTGACTGCTGGCCACCGAATGTTACTAGGAGTTGCCAAATGAAACCTGTTACCACGTACAGTCGGTGATGATGATTCGCCGATGGGAGAGATATGATGGTGTTCTTGAGAGGGAGGATAGCAAGCGCTAGGGCGCATGTGAATCGGGATATAATTACTCTGCATTCCTCCTGGCAGGTACATGCTGCCTGATGAGATGACATGGTTCTTATTCTCTCTAATACTAGTGCCTTCACCATATTTTGAAATAAGCTTATTGGCCATCATGGGATGCACCCTTTCAGGATCATCATCGATGATGATAACCTCTTTTGTGCAGCGGGGAGCTGGTGATAAGTATGCACTAGTTGCCAGTGGATTGCATTGTGGAGGATAGTTCCGGGACATGCCATTAGGTAGATGAACAGCTGCAGCATTGGCCAACCCAATGTTCGAGTAAGGACTCACATGATGCAGATTGCTAGGGAAAACTACCGATGAATGGGAACGAGGAACCATCTGGTTCAATGAATGAGGCTCGTGATTCAGGACATTTCCAATTGTGGCAAACGTTGGGAATTTAGGATCAGCCGAATAGTGATTCTGAGGATGACATAATAATGCCAGCTGCTGCTGCTGCAAATATGTAGGCTTGGGTGCTTCATCTTCCTTGTTGACAACCATCAAGTTCTTTCCCATCAGCCTCAGCACTGGATTGGGAGTTGACGGACTACTCGATTCATAGTCCATCGAGGGAATCACATGAGGTTTAATGACCTGGAAACCCACATTATCAGCACCTGAAGTAGGACAAGAGCCAGGAGGAGCATATTCAGTTCTCGTGTCAAATGTACTAGACGACTCGGGGATCAATGAACTGCTGCAGCCTTTTGGTTCACCACCAGGATTATCTGTCGTCATTAAAGCAGCAGCCATTTTTCGTCGTCGAAGCAGCAAAGAAGAATCATGCTGGTTCAGCACAATACTGGCTGGAGCAAGTGGTACTCTCTCTTTCCTTTGACAGCAACATGGCTGATGATGATCATCATTTCTCACAGTGAATGATCCCTTATCGAGATGGTTTCTATCAAATCTCATATTTAGCTCCTTTAAAATGCATGACTTGCTCACTGGAAGATCGTCTTCATTTTGCACAAGAGGCTCGATGTCACTACTTGTAACAGCCGTTGAGCCTAATGATCTCTTGCTTTCAACAAAATCAAGCGCACATCCATTGTGTGCTGCAGTAGTAGAGTTGGAGATGCTTGAGGCAGCAGAAATAGGAGATTCTGAAGAATCTTTATCAACAACATTACCAAGATCAAGAGACGACTGAGCTCGGCTGGTGGTGGTCACTGATGAGTTCCCTTGAAAATCATCTGATCCTCCCATGTCCCTGGGGCTTGGCAAGAACGAGCCTGGGGGACCAGGGATAGGAATTGGATCGACCTCAGGAAAGGAGCCCATTCCTCCATCTTCAGCTTCTTCAGAATCAAATTCTGTGTCCATTTCCATTTCGTGTTCGTTCACAAAATCTGGCTCAGCAGAATCAGTTGGTGCGTCAGACCCACTTAGAAACCCCCTGTAATCTTCCATAGATAGTTTTGAAGCGTCCTTCACCGAATAAAATACCGCGTCAATGGACTTACTCAAACTAGCACCATCATGCATTCCATCTGTAGTCTTGGACAGTGATTCATTGACAATGCCGTCTCCATGAACCAGTTCTCTAGTCGAGTCAAAACCAGGAGATACAGAATCCAAGCTGTTCAAACCCAATCGTTCCTTCCCTTGCAAGTTATTGCATATCATAATCCCTTCAATTTGCCTGGATTCAGTCATAGCATTACTATCACCACAAGCCAGTTCTTCAGTTACTACATCACTCTCAAGTTGATACTCTCTATGATCATGCATCAAATCAAGTTGTTGATCCACCTCATTATTGCCTGCTAACAACTCATCCCGTCTTCCATCGATCAAATGAACCTGAGGCTCCTTAAAGTTGGATCCTTTCTTAATCTTTTTCTTTCCTGCCTCAACAACAGAATGATCGCTTGACACCTTACCCATCGTGTTATTCTTGCAAGTATATGACGGTTTCAACGAACGATCACAATGGTAATGTCTATTTGATTCGACAAACTTCTGCTTCATTGAACTGAAAGACTTCCCCACATCTTCATTGCCAGTAATGACAGGCCTCCTAGACAAGGGTCTCCCACGTTTCCTTTTGATGCTAACTTCCTGCTGGACTTTGTTCTTCTCAATCCTCTCGTGACGAAAAGCCAGATTCTCTGAAAGATTCGTGAACTTCTGAATACCTGTGCTCTCTTCACTAGAATCGCCAACAGGAAATGACTGGTCATCAGATTCCACAAGAGGGGAATGCCATTGACTTCTTATAGGAGGTTGCTGTTGCTGGTGACCCTCTTGGTGGTGGTTGTTAATCTTTTTCGGAATACCTCTGGGTTTGGAACAAACCCATGGTCTTAGATTCCCGGAATTATTACCAGGCGTGATTTGTTGTTGAGAGGCAAGAAGCTCCTTATCAGAAAATGCTCTCAGATTGGCAGGCTGCTCATGGTTTCCACCAATCTGTTTCATCAGCATAAATTCAAAAAAAATAGGAAAAAAAGGTTCAACTGCTAAGCCTATTGAATCTGCAGAAAGAATGAAAATAAACTCGCCTAAACCTTACATATGTTGCAACAAGTATGCATTCCGAAATTTCACCAACTATGTATTCTCGATAATCTACATATCTTAACAACCCATGACTCACAAAGAACCCCTTTGCTCTCAATGGAACTTTTAAAACATGCGCATCTAAGCTAAATTCTACCATTCCAAGATATCTGGAAGCTGAATAAACATACATACCTGGGAAGAACAAGTCGTTTTATCTGAGAAAAGCTTCTTGCTTTGAGCTGCAAGTTTCAGATACTTCTTATGCTTATGAACAAGACTCTTCCTCTTCTTCATAACCACCATGTTTTTACTTCCTCTCAAACATTTATTCTTCTTGTTCTTCTTCATCCGAACCCCACTCTCCCCTACTACTCTCGCCACTACTAGAGAAACCTCATCAAACTTGGACGACAAAATCCTCACCTTGGTCCCGCTCTCATCAATATACACCGGTCCAACATCACCAAGAATTTTCTCAGCTCGAACTGGTTTTAACCTCTCACTTTTTCCTTCCAGACACGTTGTCTCATCATCATCAACCTCCTCCGTTGACAAGCTTGAAAGCCTCCCATTTCGTCGATCGAGCTCTTCCAACGTGCAACGGGGAGCCGTCTTGTATATATCAACCATCACTCTTGTCCTCCTCGGCTTCACCCTATGATGATGTTTTACCACCTTCGATTGATCATCATCATCATCATCTATTCTCCATTTGGACAGTGTCGAAGAAGACTCCACAGCAAGGCACTGATCAATGTGAGCATTTAGTGTAGTGTTTGACGACGAAGAGAAAGTCTTGCACACCGGGCAGACTTTTGAAGCCATCATAGATGATGATTCAGATACTATAGGCGTAACAGTAGTACTAGTTGAAGCAATGTATTCTCCCGAGACACCACGATCACCAAATTTCACTACCAGCCTGCACTTCTTCGAGGCTCTCAACGATGCTTTGGGAAGTGATTCTACGTCACTAGTAGTAGCAGTTGTTGTCAAAGATGGGAATGAGTTACCATCTACTTCGGCATGTCTACATGAACTTATTGTATCAACTTGTTTCTCTGTCAACTTCACAACCATATCTGTATCGTCAGATGATGGCTCTATCAACCCGTCATTCTTCTTATTATTGAATTTGCTTGTATTAACTTTGTCAACGATGGTAGTAATGGGTGGTTCTTTAACTGTGCGTGATCTGCCGAAACTTTGAAGATTCCTTATGGTATCAAGAGGCTGAAATGGTGGCAAAACTTCTGTCAAGCCATGGTTCAAACAAAGCTGTAGGTTCTTCAATGAGAATGGCCAGTTAGTTTTGATGTCCTTGCTTCGTGCTGTGAACACATAATCTCTGCAACCAACGAATAGAAGGTGACATGAAATCACAAGCCTACAACTTTGTGAATGAAGCAAAAAGGAAAGGGCATGAAAAAAATTGAAAGCAGAAAGAGTAACTACTACAGCATCCAATTAGGAAGTAAGAAGAAGCAGAATGGTTTGAGGAAATTAAAAGGAAGCCATGAAGGTTGAAACTCTTACCAAAATAGCAAAAGTTACCATTGGCCGGAATTGAAGATTAGTAACAATAATAGTGAAAAATACTAGACACCAAACTAGAGGTGGTATATGTCATGGAACAGGCCCCATGGTATGTCTGGCAGAGAGCCACAAAGTAAGCATAGAGATGTAACCCTCTGGATCTGAGTCTCAACAAATTCACCATAGAATTTTTTTTAATAGTAACGACATACGAAAGGAGAGAAGAAGCTGTATGGCGTCCAGCCAAAAAGAAGATCAGAGGGGAGGGCGAGAAGAAAAAAATCTACTTGGCACTGTTCATCCTTCAACATAAGTCTAAAACAAAGACCAAGAAAATATTAAGGCAAAGTTTAAAAATTATACATATATGTTACAGCTTTCATTCAAACTTTTACCTTATGGAGAAACTATGAAGTGGGTTTGGTAGATCTGCCTCTATCTCGAGCTCAGGCGACGAGACCGGCTGCTGCAGCTGAGGCACCAAAGGCTTTGAGGAAGGAGAAGAAGAAGTAGAGGAGGGAGAAGGAGAAATAGAGAATTGGGAGGGAAGAACATGAGGTGATGAGGGATCTGGTGGTTGAAGCAGGTTTTGATCAATGGATGATAACATCTGATGCTAAACTTCTCTCTTCTTGTGCTGCTGTTGTTGCCACAACAACAGTAGTCACAAGCAACAGCTTCTTCGTCTTGATCTCCTTCACCTTATTGCAGCGTCTGTTGCAGCTGCTGCTCTTAGGCCTCCTTATCTTTAACTTCAGCATGTACACAAAATCAAATGAAGTCCTCTTCCTCTGCTTACTTATCTACTTCTCTCTTCTTCTTTTTTCAAACTTTGGTCTAGAAACTGTGCTAATTTGATTATTGGCAGCTTTGATTCATTCACTCCTCCATGAAACCAAAACCCCACCACCACCACTACCAACAAAACAAAGTACTCCTTCTCCACCACAGGAGGGGACCCAAACCCAAACACAGAAAAAGATGCTTGGTTTGAACCAAAAAAAAAAAACTCCAGCAGCAGCAGCATCTACTTCTTCAAGCTAGATGAAGTGTACATCAGGAAGATCAAGAAAGGATGAAACTTTTAACTTCAACTAGCTCATCAGCCTGCAATCATCAAAACTAAATCGATTCAAACATAGGATATAATCATAAACAACTGATTAGAAGTGATAGAGAGGGTTGAGCGGTGGGTTATTTTATGTAATGAAAAATCAAGCAAAGCAGCAAGAGATAAGGGAGAAGACTGAGATTAGCAGAAGCAAGTATTGGAGGGAGTGTTATTTTATGTGGCCGGATTAGATGAATCCACAAATTAACAAGAAGAGGGGGAGGGGCGAAAGGAAAGGTAAGCAGGTAAAAGAGCAGAGGAATCGATAAATGGAGTGGCCAAGCAAAACAATAGTGAAGACAGAAATCAACGGATAGTTACAGTGAGAAATCAAAGCAAATAACATAGAGAGAGAGGGAGATAGTTGAAATGAAGAAGAAGAGAAATCATTCCAAGCCCATCTCTCAAAATCATCCTAATAGAGCACATCGAAGAGCTTAAGTTCACAGTCATAAAAGGGAAATAAGGATATAATCAAAACCCAGAGACTGAAAGAAGGAAAAAAAAAAAAAACAAATAAACAAGCAAAAAGATTCATTCTTGGGAAGAAGAAGCAGTCTCCTTTAGCAGTTCCACCCCATAAACAACAGTTACCTTCTTCTTCATTAGATCATCTCTGATGATGACAAGAGCAGACGAAGAGGGTTTTTATCTGCCTACTGCAAGGGAAGGAAGAACACAGAAGAACGACAAGTGAAAGAAGGGGGGATGGATTTGGGGAAAGGGAGGAAAAATAATTCACAGAGATGAAAGAAGGTGGAAAACTTTACGAGAGAGAGAGAGAGGGAGAAAGACCACCACCCACTCATACATCAAAAAGGGCATCAGGTTCCACTCTTTCTCTTTCTTTTGTAAATGTTTTCCTCTTATTTTTCTATTTTCCTGTGGTTTTGTTCAAAATACCAAAAAGTAAAGATTGTGGCATGACATAGTTATTAATTATTAAAAAACCTTAATCAAACCTTAATCAAACCTGTTGTTTTTAGTTTTTGGTAACTTTCTTATTGAACTTTTTTTATATAATTAATTAAAGGATCGCTTGGATTTGGTGATAGTTTAATTGAGATTGTTACAATGTGTGCATTGTTAACAATGCATTTTTTTTTGTTGATGTGATGGAAACTATTACTCAAAAGGAGTGATAGTAATATCTATACTAAACTAGAGATTGTTGAAATTGTTCTGAGAAGATTGTTGGGTTCATTTTTTGTTCCAGTTATACCCTAATTATATATATATGTTCTCATAAAAGTAAGAACAAAAGTAATTTTTCCTACAAAAAGTAATATAATTTGTTAAATACTAAAAGAACTATCACTGAAGCCAAACAATGTAAAATACATTACATAATTTTCTTAATTGCATGTATATTACAATTTACAATGCATGTATTGATCACAATGCATTGATTTAGATATCACCAAAACCAAACGGCCCCTAAATTATTTAAATTTTATTAATTATCTAGAGGAAAGGTTATAATTTCTTTTGATCTTTCATGTATATACTACCAAATTGAAAATCTATTTATTCTATTCGATTCGATATAAACGTTATTCAAATTATTATATGAAGTAACATCATAAAAAAAATCTAAATATTTATAGTTGAAAAAAGACGGCATATTCGAACTTTAAGCATTATATTTAAAAGTCTAACATCTCAATCATCGTACCCAAATATGTTGACAAATTCTCTTGTTGCATCATGAAATACTTTTCGTAAGCAACTATCTTTTCAATGGCCTCTAATACATGAAGAAATCGACAATTTGTGGTATTTGATAACTTTGTAATTTAGTTTTAGAGTTTCATCAACCATGAAGGCGAAAATATTTATTAGAATTCGCCAATTGCCCCAAGCCAAACTCTAATGGCATAACCAACCTCACAATTTTCTATTGTCTGGGAAATTTGTAATCTTTACTTGGACTATAAGTGGAAAATAAATGGAAAGGTGAGTAGAAACTTGTGTTCCTTTCCTGGTTTTGGGGTCTAGGTAGTAGAGATAGCAAACTTGTTAGGCCCGCCATTGCACATTCGTATGAAACAGCCATAAGTAATTATTGAGGAACTCAGCAAAAGTGGGTGTATATGTATGTGTTTTTGCTTTTATCGTCAAAGTAGATAGACAATATACATCTCGATTGGAATAAAGGATAATAATTAGATAAGAGAGGATGATAATTACAATCCATTTATATTTCATATAGTTTGTATCTAATCAGTTCCTTTCGAAGTAGTTGTTTTCAATTACTCGATTTGTTGTTAGTTGTTTGATTATGAATTTTATATCATTTATTAAACATCGCTTTAAACAAAAGCCAATTGATACAAGTTTGAAGTTTGCACTTGTATGAATACAATTAGGGATGACAATTTTGCCTATATCTACGGATATTTTACTATCTAACCCAATTGGGTTGGGTATGAAATCCAAATAGATGGTAGATGAGTAGAGTTCGATGGGTTTGTACTCATACCCATTTACTATTGGATTGAGTTGGATTTTTAACAAATTGATTTGGGTTTGTATCCATGTCCTAATACAAATTACAGTTTGGTACCTAAACTTAATAGATATGTATATTTAGTACCTAAATTTATTTTTTGTATATAAGTCCTCAAAATATCGATGAAAATTTACATTTTAGTACCTAAATTTTGTTGGTCTTACATTTTGATACCTAAACATTTCAAGTTTTACAAATAGGTCCAATTTTTGTATTTGTAGTTAAAACAGCCTCAAGTAATTTGATATTCATATCCAACCCATACCCATTTAGATTCTGAAAACAATATCCATATACGGACCATACCTAACCCAAACCCACACCAATAACCTACCAAGTAACCATAATAAATGGGTTTGGGCAAAATTACCGATTGGTGGTTCTTGTTCTTCATCTTCTCCACTCCATGCATGAACCTTGCTTAAATGTTTTTATAATTGATCACATCACAGCTTTCATGTTTCACTTTCCCTTCCTTTCTACTTCCCCTCATTTTCTTTCCAAGTTAAAATTGATGGGAACAAGTCAAATAAGCAGTCTTCTTTATGGAGTCACGCATGCCATTGATTAAACTGTTCTTTTATGACAGAAATCACTGTTCTAAAAGAAACCCCACGGAAAATATCTAAGCTTAGCTAGCTCGTACTACAAATAACTATAAGCCAAGCCCTAGCAACTAGCAAGGCAGAAGGCTCATGTCCAAGTCCATGGTCATCCATCCCTGGCCGGGTTGGGTTATTACGGTGATGGAAATAAGCACACTCTGCATCCTTGGTCCCAGCTCACAAGATTTCAATTGTTATTAGGCCTATTTTGTACAAATTATGATCAAGTCAAACAACGACGGAAACTATGTAGAGGGTCGATTAATAATATCGATAAGTTCTTGGTTGTTTGATTGTATGCAAGGTATAAATTAAATATGCGTAAACAGATAATATGATGATCTCTTATTATAACTTGAGGTCTTAAAGTGAAACCCGATCATATGACCATGGTATTATAAGGGTTGTGCATTTAAATCCGAGTAACCCTCAGTATCAGCGATAGATTAGTGTATAATAAGCAATAGAAGTGCACGATCTTCATTACTCTTCAAGCACAATACTAAAGATAAGTTGGTGCACATGAAATAAGAGCCAAGGGATCTTCACATCCTATAAATTTTCGTTTGAACAAACATAATAAACACTACAAGAACTATAATGTCGATTATATCCCATGTCTTTTTGACTCTGCTGTTGCCAATAAATACATACTTGTGGGGTTTTTTTTGCCATAGAAATACATACTTGTGGTTGATATTTTAGGTTTGTCCAATTCGATTTTTTTTTAAAGGGTAAATACAATTTAATATCCAAACCTTTCATTTTAAACAATATAATAGTCAAACCTTTTCGAAAACAATCTAATACCCAAATCGTCAACTTTCCGTTCGTTTAACCGTTAGTTGACACTTCAAAAAGCTTTGTTTAGGGGAAATTGTCACAATACAACTTTGTTTTCTTGTTTTGGCATTGCAAATGACTGAATATTTAGATATTCTATACCATCATGGTGGAGTCATGGACTTCTCGGGTTCGAAACTACGATATGTTGGTGTCTTTTTAGAGAAGATATCGATGGATATTGATGAAGTGTCGTACTTCGAACTTTTTTGAAGTGTCAACTAACGGTCAAACAGACAGAAAGTTAACGATTTGGATATTAGATTGTTTTCAAAAAAGTTTGGATATTATATTGTTTAAAATAAAAAGTTTGGATATTAAATTGTATTTACCTTTTTTATAACAAGTGACTTCATGTTGGTGACATGGGGTCCATGTTACATAGTGCTCTTTGAAATCTCCCTTTCCTTCCACCTCTCTCTCTACCCTTCCTTTGGCCCTTTTGCCGTTTTCAAAACGGCAGCAAAAAGTCCATGTTGCCATGTTGCACGGCCCACAAAACGACAACCACTAATTATTTTAAATGTAATTTTCATAACCACTTCTCATTTTTCTTCACTTTTTTCAATTTTTATAAATGACGATAGAATTAGGGATGGCAATGGGTCGGGTTGGGCCGGGTTTTGTCAAACCCAAATTCAAATTCATGAGTTTATCCGTGAAAAAAACAGGGGTAAAATCCACTGGGTTTGAAAAACTCAAATCTAACCCAACCCGCTGGGTATCCGTGGGTTCATGGGTACCCACGATTTTTGGTCGTAAAAAATTTACAATAACAAGTTCCTATCAAAATTAAAGTCAAATATCAATCTCTCAATACAATTATCCATATATAAAACATCATTATAGAAAATTCAAGCAAATCACAAATTAGCTATACAAATTGTTCAACACCAATCTAGAAAACTCAAGAAAATTGAAGCCAATCACAAATTATCCATAAATAACATGATTAATTGAAAGTTTCTTTCTTTCAATTAAGTTTCTTCACTCTCCACTCGATAACATCAACTTCATTCTACACAATTAGAAAGAAAAAATTAGACATGTCTCCACAAACATAAATAAGATTAGTTGTTTAGAATATTAAATATACCGAGAAAATTAATTATATGAGTGTGGGCAGGTACCCATGGGCCGGGTTTACCTAAACTCAAACCAACCCGGCCCAAACCCGTCAACACGAATTTTACCCGCGTTGACCGGGTTGGGTTGGGTGGGTACCCGTGGGTTCGGGTTTTGTTGCCATCCCTAGATAGAATCATTTTCTATCATAAACCAGTTTGTTCTAATAACTCAAGTTGTTGGAAGAAAATTATGTTAGATCTGGTAGTATTAGGTAGCACGCTAAGCACAGCCTAATGTATAAATCAGAGCCCATTAGGCGTGACCTGGCAGCTTGTCCATGGGCTAGTTCCGAGTCTTTGTACACTTCAATTTGGGTTTCTACTTGTCCATGACCCCATTTGGGCCCTTTTTGCACTGCAGAGCGAAGAGATGGAAGAAGAAGAAATGAAGGGAAAAGATTTCCGACCCGTTATTTGTTGAACTTGTGGTCTAGGAGAAGGAATTTTTGAGTGCAAGAAGTGGGGTTTACACTTAATTAAGCTGGAGCTATTAAAATGGTTCTCGGATCCACAAATTCGTTTCTTATTCGTTTTCAGGGAGGGGAACTAGGATGGCAAATTACCCACCCATGGGTAATTATATCCAAACCTAAGTAGACCCATTGATAACGGATTGAGTATGAGTGAAGTGCATATAGATTTGGGGGTTTATAGATGGGTTTGGGTAAGGTATGAATATTGCTTCCATAATCTAAATGGGTATGGGTTGGATATGGATATCCATTTACTTGAGGGTGTTTTAACTACACATGCAAAAATTGGACCTATTTGTAAAACTTGAAAAGTTTAGGTACCAAAATGTAAGACCAAAAAATTTAGGTACCAAAACGTAATTTTCCATCGATATTTTGAGGACTTATATGCAAAAAAAATTAAACTTAGGTACTAAATATGCATATCTATTAAGTTTGGGTACCAAACTGTAATTTGTATTTGGGCATGGGTACAAACCCAAATCCATTTGATATAAACTCAACTCAACCCAAAGTAAATGGGTATGGGTACAAACCCATCAAACTCTACTCATATCCATCTATTTGGATTTCATACCCAACCCAATTGGGTTGGATAGTAAGAAACCCATGAGTATAGGCAAAGTTGTCATCCCTAAGGGGAACGTGACAGCAGACTATCTAGCTTCGTTGGAGCATTCTCTTAGCGAGGGTGAGCATGCGATCACGGCACCCTCCCCCGAGTTGAATGATCACCTACTGCTCGATGATTTAATGGGTATCCAGACCTCTCGCTTTGTGTTAAACTAACCGGTTGGAGCGCCGTCTCGCTCCGTCCTATTAAAAAAAAAAAAATAATAGGATGACTTGTTTGGTGTTTGTCATACTTATTTGAGCCATTGGATTTTGTTTTCGAATTATGTAACAATATGTTGTTTATATAAATCTTGATTTCTTGTTTATATTTTGAGTGATCTAAGGAAAAGAAAAGGGAGGAAAAGGGCGGGCACATAATGTGAATTCACAAGTACATCAACTAGTGTCATAAGAAATACCAAAAAACTCGATTAGGAAAAAATAGTATCGGTTCGGTGGTAACAAAATCATCATAATTAAAGAGGCTACATTACAAAGAAAGAAATTAGATGTGGATCCACGGCACGCCAGGGTGTAGCGATGCGATGATCACTTCCGGAAGCAACTCCTAGGGCTAACGACACCGCTGACGCCGCCGCCGGCATGGGTGCAGACCGACGACGCAATGGCTTTGTGGTACGTGAGCTTGACGTTGTGCAGCTGGAGGCCCGTGCACGGCCGGCTAGCGCTGCACACGAACTTCACGGCGATCGGGGACGCCGAGGTGCCGTGGATGTTCCTGTACGTTACTCCCGTGATCTTCACGCCGGAACCCTGCAGTGCAGGAGATAGATATTACGTTAGTTACTTAGTTGTGAGAATTCAAATACGAGAGAGAGAGAGAGAGAGAGAGAGAGAGAGAGAGAGAGAGAGAGAGAGAGAGAGAGAGAGAGAGAGAGAGAGAGAGAGAGAGAGAGAGAGAGAGAATTTGTTCTTGTTCTTGTTGGCGATCGAAGAAAATAAATAAATAATTAATTGATTACCATTCCAGGGCAGTTCTTGTTATAGGGGCAGTAGTTCTGGTCGATGATGATGGGGTTGTAGGAATTCTCCATGGCGATGTTCTGGAAGAGCACGTTCCTGACGAAGCTGGTGGTCTTCCGGCCCCAGGACTTGATCCGGAGCCCGTTCTGGGTCCGGGTCATGACCGAGTCCGTGACGAACACGTTCTCCACGCCGGCCTCGTGGGTGTGCAGCCCAAGGCTCCCGATGCTGATCCCGTGGCCCGGCCCGCAATGGACCCCGCGGATGTGCACGTTCTTGGTGCCCGGCCCGATCGCGATGCAGTCGTCGCCGGTCTTGATGACCGCCCCGGCGATGGTGATCCCTTCCGACGACATGATGTGGATCCCGTCGGTGTTCAGGCTCCGGGACGGGGCCTCGATGTAGAGCTTCTTCAGCAGCACCTGGTGGCAGTGGTCTATTGCCAGGTGGAACATCTGCGGGTTCAGCGACTTGAGCCCCTTAACGACCACGTTTCGGGACTGGATGATGGTTATGGACTGCAAAAACCAGGACAGGACAGGACAGGACACCATTTTTAATTAATTTTATACGTCCATGTCGATCGAATTTAGCTGCTTGCTAGATTTGTACGAAGATTAAAATTGTACGTGACAACATCGTATCGTACGTACCTTGGTCCCTTGAGTGCACTGGCTTTGGCTCCTCCGGCAAGCCCAATAATCCGAGCCTTGAGCGTCGTAAGTCCCACCGAGGATGGTGAGCTTTTCCAGCTTGTAGAACAGGATCCAGAACCCGGACTTGCCGAACTCCCAGTAATGCTTTGGGCCGACCACCTTCCCCTCCACGTGGAACAACATCTTGCTCTGGCACGGCCCGTAGAACACGATGGGCTTCAGCATGTAGGTGCCACGTGGCACGTACACCGAGGCCGGCCTCCACGACTTGCAAGCCTCCTCCCACGCCTGCGAGAAGGCGGCCGTGGAGTCCGACACCCCGTCCGCCTTGGCGCCGTAGTGCAGGACGTTGTGGGTCACGTACTGGACGCGCCCGCCCTTCTTCCTGTGCTGTGGCACCCACCTGTGGTTCCAGTACATCATTGAATCGTTTAGGACCGACGACGACGAGGAGGAGGCGGCTGAGGCTGAGAGGAAGCTGCAGGTCGAGATGAAGAAGAGAAGGAGAATTAGCGAGTAGGCTGGCGCTGGCCAGTTGCTTTTCTCCATCTCGATCGTGACTGGCCTCTCGATCTGTCTCTCTTCCTCCGAGTCCGAGAGAGAGACTTCTTTAATTTGGTTGTTTTGGGATGGTTGGTGATGAGATGGTTTCGACTTCGAGGGATCAACAACAAACAATTGTGTTTCTAATATATATATATATATATGTCTGCAATGGATGTGCTTAGATTGTGTCCAAATCCCATACCCAGTCGTCTCCTGGCATCACATAATTAATTGCAAGTTTTGGATGTGAAATTTTGTCTCTTTTCATCTACATTATTCAACAACTTCCAAATATATATATATATATATATATATATTTGTAAAGACCTGTTACGTTATATACCATCATCTCATCTATCTAAACCATCATCTAAATTTACTCTTTACCAATACTGCACGTTATATGCTTCACTTTAGACATCGGCATGATCCACACCGACGACCTGGTGTGCCTATATCAGGTGCTTGCTGCCGCAAAAGGGTTGAGAATAAGTTAGGGAAGAATATGGCGAGTTAAAAATATAGTAATTATATATTAGGAGCCAAGTTTACTCACAACTGGAAATGCTATGCTTTGTAATTTTATGAGACCCCAAATTCCAACCTCGATTGCATGCGTATTTATTCGCTACGTGTCCTTTTCTTGGCAACGTGATCGACTGCAAACAAAAACATAGACCCCACAATTTAATTAGGTAATTAATTAATCTTGTATTTTTCATGTTAATGGAGACATGCATGTCTGGCTTGCCCTTTTATAATCTCTGTCCAATGATTCACTAGTGTTTATCCCTAATATATGTCTTAGTAATTAGTATACACTTCTCCTCCATTGAGTTGTTGCCTTGCTGTACTAGGTTACAAGATTATGGAATATTTTGGGTTGTTTTTACTAGGGGCCATTTTACTTGGATTTTGAAGGCTATAGATCACAGATTCATCCTGCTATTCTTTAAAGACGATTTGGACGGACTTATTTCGGGTCAATTTTTTGTAGATTCTTGTTGAGGATATTAATTATTTAGTCAAAAATAATTAATTATTTGTCCTCCAAGTCCCTTGTTTCCTTGTCCTCGTCAAAGAAGGAAAAACTTGGTTGTCATTAGGGTTTTAACCCTATGTCTATATAAGACTTAGCTACGAACATGTCGTAAGCAAGCCGTCACAATGTAGTCTCTAATAAAATATCAGTCGTGAGCTCGTTCCGAGCTCACCGTGGATTAGTCTCGATCAATCGATCGAGGATACCACGTAAAAATCCCTTGTGTTCTGTGTCCGTTTCAATTCCGCGTTATCAAATTCTACATGGCATGAGAGCGAAACTCGATCCCTTGTGTAGGGTTTTGAGCTTCCGTAGTCAACACTCAACATATGTTGCCTCTCCGTGGCAGCATCGATGTCATCAGTTTGATGTCTCCTCGTTTCCTTCCTCCGTCCCGCAGCTAGCCAGAGTCAAGCGGTTGGCTGAACTTTTGTTTTCCTCTCGATTGGTGATGTATGCATTCTAAGACCGAAGTCTTGTTCGTCGTTGGCAACAAGAAATCCAAGCTCAAACGGAATCATATCAGGCGCCGCGAGCGTCTCAATCAAATCCCAATCGTGGGTGTGACTCTTGTTCAGCTTGTGAAAATGAGGAGGCAGGTTTTGTCAAGAAGCACGGTCGCGTTTTGGTAATTCGACGTCGTGACTTTCCAACCACAATCTCAAGTTGGCAGCGCCTGAATCGCAGGCCAGTCAAGAGTCCTGCTGCCCGGAGATTTTCTACGGCCGTTGCGACTTCAATCAACCTGTCAAGAATCTCGTGGCCAGTCAAGCCTTCCCGCCGCAGAGCGTGTCGCTGTCCCTAGTCAACTCAAGCTCAGTCGTGGCCTTGTGGCTGTTCAGTTCCTATCGTCCCGTCGATCTCCGTCTCCCGCTCAAGTCAGTCCAGAAATTTTGTTGGCATTGTGGAAAGGTCGTCTTTGAAGGCTATAGGTCACGGATTCGGCCTTAGATATTCTTCAACAACGATTACGTCCATTAAACACCAATTTGGGAGGATTTATACCGGGTCAATTTTTGGCAGATTCCAAAGGGGTACCATCACAGATTTTTGTCAATTTCCCGAAATGTCATTTTCTTTTGATTCTCAAGGCTACAGATCACGGATTCAGGCCAAGGCTATTCTCCACCAATAATGAAGTCTATTGATCTTATTCTCCACGAATGATAAATCCATTAACCACCGATTTGGGTCAATTTATTTTCGGATGGCATTTTTCGTAATTTTTAGAGCAGCGAAAAGCCATTTTCTATGGATTTTGAAGGCTGGTCACGGATTCGGCCTGAGGCTATTCTTCAAAAAATATTACGTCAATTAAACACAAATTTGGGAGGATTTATTCCGTGTCAATTTTTGACCGATTCCAAAGGGGTACCATCAGAGATTTTGGGCGATTTTCCCGAAATGCCATTTTATTATGATTCTCGAGGCTACAGATCACGGATTCAGGCCGAGGCTATTGTCCACCTATAATGACGTCTATTGATCTTATTTTCCATGAATGATAAATCCATTAACCACCGATTTGGGTCAATTTATTTTTGGATGGCATTTTCGTAATTTTTAGGGCATCAAAAAGGCATTTTCTTTGGATTTTGAAGGCTACAGATCACGGATTCGGCCTGAGAGTATTCTTCAACAACGATTATGTCCATTAAACACCAATTTGGGAGGATTTATTCCGGGTCAATTTTTGGCAGAATCCGAAGGGGTACCATCACAGATTTTTGCCGATTTTCCCGAAATGTCATTTTCTTTTGATTCCCGAGGCTACAGATCACGAATTCAGGCCGAGGTTATTCTCCATCGATAATGAAGTCTATTGATCCTATTCTCCGCGGATGATAAGTCCATTAAGCACCGATTTGGGTCAATAAATTTTCGGATGACATTTGCGTAATTTTTAGGGCAGCGAAAGACCATTTTCTTTGGATTTTGAAGGCTATAGGTCACGGATTCGGCCTTAGACTATTCTTCAACAACGATTAAGTCCATTAAACACCAATTTGGGGGATTTATTCCGGGTCAATTTTTTGCAGATTTTTTTTTTTTTTTTTTTTTTTTCGTTGAATAGGATGCTTTATTTCCAGAAAATCAGATCCATACAACGAATGAGGGAAAACCCCCTGCAAAGCCTCTGCTATATCTTTCTACTATCTTCTATATCTTTCTACCTACAAAACTCAACTAAACTCAGAAAAAAACTATAAGTAATGTAGCCTAGTAAGCGCATCCCTCAACCCTCTATTCCCACAAGCCAAAAATTGTAGGTCTTCACGAATTTTAACAGCAACTTGCTCTGGCAAACTCCTGTCACCGCCATGAATCACCCTGCATCTTTCCCGCCAAATAAAAGCAACGATCATGCACCACAGCAAAGCATGCCAGGCGCCTGCACTTGTATCTCTAAGCAACAAATCACATAGACCCTGTATCATTTCATCCCAACTTCGGTAATGTAAATGTCTGAACTGCAGGAAGTCAGCAATCCTGCGTGAGAAAGTACATTCGAGAAACAAGTGGTCACGACTCTCAACTCCAGTATCACACAGCGGGCAAGAAGCATTAGTAATCTTCCCCCATTTCAGAAGCTTATCCCTGGTGGAAATTGCATTCCTCATTATCAGCCAAGCTATTATACTGTACCTCGGGGGGCAATGCTTTGTCCAGACAAGCTTATGCCAAGACACTGTAGCCACCCTCCTCCTAAGTGATTCCCAAACCCTTCGGACCGAGTAGGTAGACATCTCTTTAGAATCCCAGCAGAGAGTAGTCCCTTGCTGAGAAATCCAAGGCAGAATAGTGTCCCTGAGCTTTAGCAGTCTTCTCCAAGTCCAAGAGCTGCTATACTGTACCTTCATACTCCACAAATCCCCTTGTTTACACTTATAGGCCAACATCCATGCAACCCAGATAGTACCAGCCTTCATGAGGAAAAGCCACAGCATTCTGATAGCACAAGCCTGATTCCAGGCTAGTAGATCCCTTACTCCCAACCCACCCTCTTTCCTAGGCAAGGCCACTGATTCCCAGGCCACTTTGGCCCTCCCAGATTCAGCACCATGCCAAAGAAACTGTGAACAAACCTGCTGGATCCTCTTCAGGGCACCTTTTGGGAAGACAATGAGCTGCATCCAATACTGTATTATTCCCATCAGAACTGAACTCACTAGCTGTAGCCTCCCAGCATAGGATAATTTTTGAGCTCTCCAGGATTTAACTCGCTTAGTAAGTTTTTCCACCAGTATATCCACCTCCCTTGAGGACAGTTTACCTGTCATCAATGGGAGACCAAGATATCTGACTGGCAGTGCTCCTTCCTTGAAACCAGACAACGCCAATGCATTATTCTTATACTTGACTGACTCACCCCCAAAGTAGACTTCACATTTAGCAGGATTACAGTTAAGGCCAGATAATCTGTAAAACTGTTGTAAGACCTCCTTCACTTGAAGAATAGCATGAGAGGAACCAGTAGTAAAGACGAGAATGTCATCAGCAAAGCACATATGATTTAAGCTAATTTTCTTACATTGGGGATGGTAAGGTATCTTGCCTGCTTGGCTAGCAGTTATAAGCATAGAAGTGAGCCCCTCCATGGCTATAGTGAACAGATATGGCGATAAGGGATCACCTTGACGAACCCCTTTTCTAGCTCTAAAGAAACCACATAGACCCCCATTGATGTTTATGCTGTAATGAGCTGTTTGCAGGCAGGTCCTTATCCATACCATAAACTGAGGTGGAAAACCCATAGCCAGCATCATATGAAACAGATAATGCCAACTAACCGAGTCAAAGGCTTTCATAATGTCAATTTTGATTGCACATCTAGATGATAATGCAATTCTGTTATAGCCACTTACTAATTCCTGAGCCATCAGTATGTTATCCATGATGCTTCTACCTTTAACAAAAGCTGACTGGTTGGCACTAATGATTAGAGGCATCACCTCACTAA